TAAGACTAGGTAATAAAGGAAATACCTATACTAGAGAAGTAGCTATAGTATTAATATAACCTAGAGGTAAAGGGAATATAGGTTAATATACTATTTAGCTAGATAGAGTAGTTAGTATAGTTATAGTTTTAATATAAAGGCTTTATAAGGTTTAATAAAGGCTTATTAAGAGATTAAAAGGGATAAATAAGTACTATTACTATTTAATAATAATAACTAAAGAGGTAGCCTAATCTAGGAATACCTTATTATAAGTCTACTTATTATAAAAAGTTAATATAATAATCTAAAGAATATAAGGCTAAGAAAAGATATAAATAGAAAGTTATAGGAGGATAATATAAAGGAACCTATTTTAAAAGTAAATTAAAGGACTTTTATATTATTCTATTAATTATTTACTAGCTAGTAGTTACTAACTAATAACTATAATATCTATATAAATTGACTATACTATGTTTATAAAATAACCTATTACCTAGGTATATATCCTATTTATAATAGTAAAGAATAATATAGAGGCTAAAATATAGTACCTAGAGAAGCACTTCTTAAAAGGGGAGGTAATTATAATACCTTAATATATATAATCTAAATTAAACCTAATTTAGTACCTATAATTATAAAGAACCCTAGTAATTAAGGGACTATATACTATTAGTAAAGTTAGTATTACTAGTATTAAATATATAGTAGCTAAAGATCTATAGTAAGTATAAATTATATAAGATAACTAATTAGCTATAAAGTAAAGGGGTATCTAGAGTTAGCCTAAGGAAGAATTAGTTATAAGATTAGTAAGACCTATATATAAGTTAAGCCTAAATTAAGACCCTAAGTAAACCTATAGGAATAAGACTAACTTATATAAGTTTTAATTAGTATTTAAATAGTATTTAAACTCTAATTAAAAGGATAGGTTATCCTCCTTTTAGTTATTATAAAATAAGGGGGATATTTCCTAGAAGAAAAAAGGGGATAAGCTTTAGTCTTAATAAGCAATATAACCTACCTTTTTCCTTCCCTACTTTTCTACCTAATCCAACCCAACCCTTATAATATCTCTTAGTATAATATAGCCTAGGAAGCTATCTAGATTTAGTAGCTTTACTATATTATTATAAAAACCCTTAAGGAAAAGCCTACCTATACTAAGACTACTATCTAGGCTAATAATTCTAGTACTATTACCTAAGCTTCTAGTATCTAAGAATACCCCTATATAAAGTATATAGATATTTAATACTACTAGTTATATAATAAGAATATACTATACTAGTTAAGCTTTAGTTAAATTCTAAATATTAAGAATACTATTAATATTATAATTAAGCTACTATTAAAGCTAGCCTTTTATAAGTATAGGTACTACCTAGGACTATACTAAGTACCTTCTAAGCTATAATTTTCTAGGGGTCTATTCTAAAAGTATTATACTTTTAAAGCCTTTAGTCTTTAGGGTATTACCTACTAGAGCTATTCTATAAGTATTATAGTTAATTAGCTCTATACCTTTAAGGTATTACCCTCTATAGGCACTATAGTAGGCTCTTTATTAGCACTATTAGTACTAGCCTTTAAGGTATTACTTACTAAAGGCTAGCTAGCTCTTTATTAGTATTAGCCTCTAGGGTATTACCCTTTAAAGGCTAGCTAGCTCTTTATTAATACCTTTATTAGTACTAGCTTTTAAGGTATTACTTATTAAAGGCTAGCTAGCTCTCTATTAACACCTTTATTAGCACTAGCCTTTAGGGTATTACCCTCTAAAGGCTAGTAAGCTCTCTATCTACTACTATCTCCTTACTTCTAGGACTATTATAGGCTAACTAGTATTAAGCCTCTAGGGTATTACCCTTTAAAGGTATTATAGTAAGCCTTCTATAGTTATAAGTTATAAGGCTTTATAGGTCTTATAGCTACTAAAGCTTCCCTATAGCTTACTACTATTTTATTACTTTTAGGACTATTATAGGCTAACTAGTACTAAGCCTTTAGAGTATTACCCTCTAAAGGTATTATAGTAAGCTTCCTATAGCTATAAGTTATAAGGCTTTATAGATTTTATAGCTACTAAGGCTTCCTTATAGCTATAATCTTATAAAAGCCTAAGCCTTTATAAGTCTATTATTATTCTATTACTTTTAAGACTATTATAGTTAATTAGTATACTTAGTACTAGTATAGTACTAGTATAGTATACTTAGTACTAGTATAGTATTAGTATAGCGCTACTATAGCATACTTAGCATTAGTATAGCGTCTAGTACGCCTTAGCTAGTAGTCCTTTATATATTCTATAGCCTTTAGGATAAGGTGCCCTTACTAAATATAGTTTATAATATAACTTTTATTTTCTATAAAATTTATTTATATAGGTTTTTAAGTTAAATTACCTTATAAGTAAAAAGTAGAAAATATAGTAGTTATAAAGCCCCCTATATAGTAATAAGGCCCCCTATATAGTAGTAAGCTACCTTATACCTAATATAACTATAAGCTATCTTATACCTAGTATAACTATAAACTACCTTATACTTAAAAGAAAAAGGTAACTTAGGTATACTAATAGGTACTATTATACCTATTAGTAAGTAGGAGAATTAGGCTACTATTATAGTATATTATAATAGCTATAGTAGTTACTACTTTTCCTTATAGTTATTATTTTATTCCTTATAGTTATTATTTTATTCTTTATAGTTATTATTTTATTCTTTATAGTTATTTCTAGTTATTTTTCTTAGTTAATATAGATTAAGTAAGAGTAATAATAGGTAGCTCTAAAGTTAGAAGAATAATCTCCTATTACCTAGTATATCTAGCACTTACCTATACTATATAACTAGATAGAAGTTATATAATATAATAACTTTACCTCTTACCCTATATATACCCTATTGGTCTTAATATTATTAACTAAGAGGGAACTAAATAGTAGTTTCTTTATAGATTTTAATTTAATAGTAAATAGTTTTACTAAAAGCTAATTAGGCTATATTAAAGGGGGTCCTTCTTTTAAAGAAAAAAAAAGGTAATTATTTTTATAGCTAATATATTTACTAAAAATAGTCTTCTAGATAGTTTTAATAATCTACTATCCTTTACTAGTATATAGAGTAACTTTAGTATTATTAAGATAGTCTTTAAACTTATAAAGGACTTCTTTATTAACTATTTTCTAATTAACTTTAATCTAGTAGGTAAAATCCTTATAAAGGTATTCTTAAAAGTAACTACTAAATTATTTATAGTAAGTATTATATATAAGGGTATAGAAAATAATTACTATAGTAGTTTATTAATTAAGGTTAATAGCTTCTTTAATACTCTAAGTAAAAGAGTATAGTTAGAATAATTTCTAGTTAGTTAGAAGAAGATAGGTAAAATAGGTAAGGCTTTTAAGTACTTTATTAGGAATTATAGCTAATAGGTAGCTTAAGATTTTAAAAGTAGTTATATAAAATTATACTAAAGACTTAATTAAAGGTTTTTTATTAGTTAAGTTACTAGGTATACTAGGTAGTATACTAGGCTTTCTAATAGTTATACTAGATATTATAATTAATAAAATAGATAGTTCTAGAAGGTTATAAGGCTATAAAGGTATAAAGGGAATAGGTATTCTATTAGAAATCTATAATTAAGGTAAAGGTAATTACTAATTAGTATTAAGATTACTATCCTAAGTAGGTAATAGTTATAAGATTATAGGTATAGAGTACTTATAAAGGTATTCTATAAGAATAGTTATATAATAATAATTCTTAATTAACTAACTAAATAAACTATAGAAAGGAAAGGTAATAATTAAATATATAAATAGGTAGTACCTTAGGTACTACTAGGAAATTATAAGAATAAAAGAATAATTAGTAGTTATATATATTAGTAGTTAATAGCTTATAGGTAGTTACTTTACTTACCTATAGAAGGTAATAATACCTTTATAGTAGTCTAGTTTTATTAGCTTAGTTACTTACTATAGTAGCCCCTATAGTACCTTATATTAAGGCTATAGGTACTAAGACTTCTTTATATACTATTATATAGTATAACTACTATATATATACGCTATATAGTGTAACTAGCCGCTATATATAGCTATATATAGTATAAATCTATCCACTATACGCCTCTGCGTATAGTATATCTTACCGAATATCCGCTGCACTTAGCCAACTGCATCCGCTGCAGCGCCCGCTGGCGCAACATGGTTATCCCGGAGACCAAACGGCAAGGCCGCACGGAAGACGGAAGAACAATCCTCCGACCACGAATTGTTTATATATATGTCCAAGTCAGGGCCTAAAATATTTGCCGAACCTAAATAGATAATTGTCGATTTTTTAAGTAGCTAGTAACTATTAGGGTGGCTAGTATAGTGCCTAAACGCTAAAGCCGGCTTTTCTATAGTAATATATATAGCAAGCAAATAAATACTATCTAGCCCTTACTACCTACTACTACTTACTACTACTAAGTTAAATATACTATTACTAAGTTATTATATTATTACTAAGTTAATATATTATTATTATCTTATTAATTAGGAGTTAAGATAGTATATAAAGTAAGAATAAGTAGCTATAAATAGAATACTTTCTTCTTAAAATAAATATATTTAAAACTAATTTAAATAAGTTTTAGCTAAAAAAGAAGCTAAAATATACTTATTAATAATTACTATAAAAGCTTATAAAATCTTTTTTATAATTTTCCTATTTTTTATAATTAAATATAATTATTATAAAATTATAAGTATAAATATAAGTATTTTACTATTCTTAGGATATTAACCTTATAGAATATACTAAAAATTAGTAGGTGTTATAGTATTAGCATTAAGCTATAGTAACCTACTTTTTTATTTGATAATTATATGTGGAGGTTCGGTAGATATCTTAGGCCCCAAGTTAGGTACCTGTTCTGACACCCAACACCAACCTCACTCTTCAAATCAGCAACATTATATTAGTGTTTTCTGCCATTCATGACCAATGCCTTCACTCCCCCCATTCGCGCCGCCTCTGGCTGATGCCACACCGATACGTCTTACTTCTATACGACATCCAGCATACCCTGATACTGAGCTGCCATTGCTACGGCTGGCTGCAATAGACGGCGAAAGCCATGGTCTCGACCATCAATTTGCCCTCACCGTCTGTGGCATTCTGACAGGCAACAGTTGGACGACTGGCTACTTGGCCACAAAAAATGCGGATGGAACCTTTTTGAGGATTGAACGGCAAGCGAATGACATATTGCTAGACAGCACATATTACTATCTGCTGTCTACGCACGACAGCAGTTGTAAGTAGCGACTTCTTGGCGACCGCTTCCCAGCCGTAATATGTGCTACTAAACATGAACCCCTCAGACAAATACCCCGTTACTCTGTCTTTTCAACACTACCGTTTTCCCCATGGTGATCTGCCAAGCTTCTGGGACAATGTTCAGATACCTAATCTTACTGCCCCAATACGCGTCAATGGAAAGGTGGCGGCTTTGGTGAGGGATGGCACATGCCGTGTAACGGCTTGGGCAACCGCGCTTGAGGTTGCACACCTTGTGCCGTACTCTGAGGAGAAATGGTTTCTCTCCAACGGCATGAACAGGTTTGCCACCCGAGTTAGAATTGTTTTGCCTGGTCTAACACAAGCAAGATACTGCACTACATCGTCTAGTTCTAAGCCAACAGAGGACCGGAAAAACCTTATAACCTTGACAAGGGATCAGCATTATCATTTCGATCACCGCCACTACACGATTGTACCATCCCAGGATGAAGATAGCACAAGCCTCGAGCTTCGCGTTCTTGACCCAGGTAGCGATGAGCAGCTCATCCCTAACTACCATACACGAACATTACAACCTATAACCGATATATCTGTTGAGTTTCTTCACGCGCGTCTGGCTTGGTCAATATTTTGCGACTCTATATTCCCATTCTTCAAGGGATCAGCTGAATACGAAGCCTTAGTCTTTATTGCGGACAAAGGCGGATGCGAAACTGTCAAACTTCGATCCTTGGAGGTGCCTGCACGAAGTCGGAGTGTCAGCCCGAGAAAACGGAAAGTCCGCGATGTTGATGCTGACGCTTGGTCCTCGGCTGGCGAAAGTTGGAGCTCGCAAGAAGATTCTTTATCGAGCGACGATAGTTTACATAACGGAACTTAGGATAATTATCGTCGAGGTACATTTAGTAATAGACTATAATAACAAGTGCCTTAACTATAAGTATATAACACTCCTAATAATAAACTATATAGAAGGATTATTTATTAATAATAGCTAGTATATATCTATAAATATTATTATATTTATATAAAAAGAAAAAAAAAGATAGAAAGAATAAGAAGAATAAGAAAGAGAAAAAAAGGAAAAGGATAAGAAAGATAGGAAAGATAAGAAAGATAAGAAAGATAAGAATAATAGAAAGAATAAAAAAAATAAAAAAATAAAAAAAAATAAAAAAATAAAAAAAATAAAAAAAATAAAAAAAATTAAATAACTTTAAATTACTATAAATATATATATTTTTAATATATATAAGTATAAGCTAATTTAAAGTTAGCTTAGATAGTTTATATTATATTACTAAATAAATATGTTTGCTTTTTTTGAATAATTAATAACTCTAAATCCTGTATCTTTCTTTGGTTGCTATGCGCCTTGTGTGTTTTCCCTGGTTCCTGTACCTGTTGAAATCCCATGCAGTAGCTGCCGGGTTCGACGATTTGCAGCCGCCTCCGACACCGGTCGTTCAGCGAAGATAGCGCCCGTGCCCAATGAGTGAGTGCGCCCCGAAACTGGCCATCACGTCAGCTGCACCGCGAGCCGTCGAATTAATCCACAGCGCTGATACAGTGTTATTATTTCTAGAAACACACATGCATGTCGCGAGGCTGCTCGCGCTGAGCCTGGGCAGCGCCGCCGTTGCCCGCGCTTACGCGGTCCCAGAAGTCATCTTCTCGCCCGAGACATCTGGCATCCGCGGCGCCGTCGCCTGCGAAGCGAGCGAATGTAGCGCCATTGGCCGGGACATTCTCGCCGCCGGTGTACGTCTTTTTGAACCTCTATCATCTCTCAATCTGCCGCTAATCCAGCCACTAGGGCAACGCCGTCGATGCCATTGTCGGCACCACGTTTTGCGTCGGCGTCGTCGGCATGTACCACTCGGGTATTGGCGGTGGCGGCTTCGCGCTGGTGCGCGACGCCAAGGGAAACTATGAGGCGGTGGATTTCCGCGAGACGGCGCCCGCGGCCGCGTACGAGGACATGTACGGCGAAGACGAGCGGCTGAGCATCGCGGGTGGCCTGGCCGTCGGCGTGCCGGGCGAGGTGCTCGGCCTCGAGTATATTCATCAGAAATACGGGGTATGTGTCTGTTGTAGAGATGTAGCGATTGAGTTGAAATGGCCGTCCCATGACTGACAGTGTGCGCAGGTCCTCGAGTGGCGGGATATTATGCAGGGCGCCATTCGTGTAGCAAGAAATGGCTTCAGAGGTGCGTCGGCGAGCAAGTCACAAACCCGTGTGTTGCTTGCCCTAACTAAATCCGGTCCCAGTATCCGATGATATGGTGGACAAGATGAATGCCACAATCAAGAATGGCAAGACGTACCTGCTGGATGACCCCATCTTTGCAGCCGAGTTTGCCCCGAAGGGTACGTCAATGCTGGCAGACATATGATTGCAGACTCGCTAATTATATAATAGGGCGTCTGCTGAGGAAGGGAGAGGTTATGACTCGCAAGAACCTTGCCAGGTACGTGTCTTACCACCACGCGCGCAGCACGCACGACATGTCGCTTACTATCGCAGCACTCTTGAGAGAATCGCCAACGAGGGCTCCAAGGCCTTTTACTACGGCGAGATCGGTACGGAATCCACGCCTCCCACACGCTCCTCCTAACTAACACTTTTCCCAGCCGAGAACCTCGCCAGCTTTGTGCAGTCGCGCAACGGCACCCTCACCGTTGCCGACCTCGCGTCCTACACCATCACCGACCGGCCCGTCCAGGCCGTCCGCTACCGCGGGCTCGACGTGCACGGCATGTCGTCGCCCGCCAGCGGCGCCGTCGCCCTGCAGATGCTGCGCGTGCTTGAGCGCTTCCCCGCGTCCGGCTGGCGCGACGATCGCAACGTGACGGTCCACCGACTCGCCGAGGCGCAGCGCTTCGCCTTTGCGTACCGCGCGAACCTCGGCGACCCCGAGTTTGTCGAGGAGCGCGACGTCCTGGCGTACGAGCGCGACTTTCTCTCGGACGCGACGGTGGATCGCATCTACCAGGGCATCCGCGACGACAAGACGAGGCACCCGAGAGAGTACTTTCCGCGCGAGGAGGACGTTGCGGCGCTGCCGGAGAGTCACGGCACCTCGCACATTTCGGCGGCCGACGGCTCTGGCATGGCCGTGTCCCTAACGACGACCATTAACATTTACTTTGGCGCACAAATCATGGAGCCCAAGTCGGGCATCATCCTGTACAGCATCCTTTTCCCACCGTCCTACCAAAAGCAGCAACCGGCTAACGAACTCACAACAGCAACGACGAGATGAATGACTTTTCCATCCCCGGCATCAGCAACGAGTTCGGCTTCGCCCCCTCGCGCGCCAACTACATCCAGCCCCGCAAGCGGCCGCTCTCCTCCATGACGCCGCTCATCGCCACGCACCCCAACGGCACCCTCTACGCCGTCATTGGCGCCGCCGGCGGCTCTCGCATCACCACGGCCACGGCGCAGTGCCTCTGGCACGTCGTCGAGCACGGCATGACGCTGCGCGAGGCCCTCCGCGTCGGCCGCGTGCACGACCAGCTCGTGCCCAACCGCCTCACGCTCGAGACTCTCTTCCCGGACCTGGAGGGCACGGAACAGGCGATGCGCGCGAGGGGCCATGACGTGTTCGTCGTCAAGCCGGGGCAGAGCGCGGTGCAGGCGATTCGGAGGCGCGAGGACGGGTCGTTTGAGGCGGTGGGCGAGCCGCGGCAGGCCAACAGCGCTGGGTATAGCATCTAGTCCCAAGTCGTGTGCGATTGTGCCACATTCTTTGACGGGGCGGGTGAATAAATTTAAATCTATAAACGCATGTCTGAGCAAATATGTGCATTAGATATATATAGTAAGGCGCAAATAGAATGTTCTACCTTTTTACAAAATGCAGCGTAAAAAAGGGGGGGTATCGCGAAATCTATACCACAAAAGCCATGATATATGCCTAATCCATCGTTGTGTAATGCGTGTGAGTAATAGTTTACCGCGCCATGGCAATGAGGCGCTCCATTTGGTCTATCCACTTCCTCGCAAACTCGGCCTCTGTGAAGCGCTTGGCCGACTTGCGCGCGCGCAGCCTGGTCGGTACCTTGTCCGAAATCTCAAAGACGCGGCGGTAGCTCTCGGCGAACTCTTTCGACGTGGTAGCATGAAATCCTACAATAGCAAAAGGAATTAGAGTTATGTCTGGAACCAAGTTTTTAGATTAGTAACGTACCACTGGGCAAGCCGTCCATAGGGACGACAATGTCCAGCTTGGGCCCGCCGCTATCGTGGACGACGGAGATAAGGCCGGCGGCCTGGTACTCGACGACGCCGATGCCAAAGTGCTCGTTCCACATGCCATTGACGCCAATAGAGGCTTTGCGCAGCCACTCGAGGATCTCGGGCCACGAGGCGTCGACGTGGAACTCAACGCGGTCCTTGATGCCGAGCTCGTTGCACATGAGGCGCAGCTCGTACACGCGCTTGGCATCGGCGTCGTCGCGGACGCTACCCACGAGCACGAGCTTCGACGTCTCTGCGGACTTGCCGCCGAGCTTGAGAAACTCATAGTACGACTGCACAATCAGGCGGTGGTCCTTTTCCGGGCGAAACTGGGCGATATACAGGATGATGTCTTGGCGCACCGTCGCCTCGCTCATCGCCGACACGTCGACGGCGGCCTCGAGCTCCTCGACCGCGACGGGTGGGAACACGGCCGTCGTCGGGTTCTTGGCGTCCTTGGCTCTGCGGTACGGGCCCCAAAGGGACTGCACGTGCGCCTGGGTCCAGGTCGAGTTGGTCATGACGACGTCGACCGAGGCGCCGCCGAACCAGCAGTAGACGCGCGCAAACAGTTGCCAGTAGATCTTCTTGGCGAAGCCGCGCAGACCGTGGCCCTGGCCGCCATTGACGCCGCGCGCGCCGAGCGGCGAGGACGGGTCGAGCGCGTCGAGCATGTCGGTGGAGATGGTCGGGTAGTGCACGTACGCAGCCGTAGGCACGCGCGGGAACAGCAGCTTGCTCAGGCCGAGGACAAACGCAAAGCCCATGGTGTCGATAAGCACGTCGGGGACGAGCAGGGAAAAGGCGTCGAGGCCAAGGAGGAGCGAGCCGAGGGACTGCCCGGCGAGGGTAAAGTGCGGCCAGCGCGCGGCGAGGACCCAGTGCCGCTTGCTGAGGTAGAGGAACTGCACCGTGGGCGCGTGCAACTCAATGTTGAATCGCCTCTGAGATAATGTTAGCGGGGGGGTTAAAGGGGTAGAGAGCTTCGCTGAGTGTCGCACCTTGACACGGGCAATAATGTCGGCCTTGGTGACTTCGTGGTCGCCGGTGTACACGACGCACTTGGCTTTGGGCCAACGGAGCTGAGTCGCGCGGATGGCGGCCCAGAGGACTCGCTCGCCGCCACCGCCAGCATTGCTATCCCATGTTAGTCGCGTTGCCCTTCCTCAACACAGACGCAAAGAACCTCGGCCTACCAAAACGGGTGGAAGAAGCCAATGATGCCGTCCCAGTCTCTCGTCTTGTCCTTGAGCTTCTCCGCCACGGCATCTGCGGCGCCGCCGCCCGCCACCTTTTCCCACTCGTCGCCAGAGCTGCTACTTTTGCTACCCGCGTGCTTGTGCCTATACTTCTCATTCTCCTCGTCCATGGCCGCCACGAGCACCGCCCGCCGCCCCTCGGTCTTCTTGCGGAACAAGAAGCCAGCGGCGCGGCCGAGCAGGCGCCAGACGACAGGCGTGCCGAGGAACAGGATAAAGGGCACCATGCTAAGAAGGACGCTCGTCACGACAATGGTCCACCCCGAGGCGGGCGCGCGGCCGCGGGAAGGCATGTTATTGCTCGTGCTGATTGTACAGTTTGTCGCATATGGTGAAGGAGGCGCGGGGGCGGGCTTGCGATGGGGGTCGGATGGTCTGGAATATTAAATTCGTAAATCCGTACGTGCGAGCACCAAGATCGTTTACGTCCGCGGCGGAGGAGAGGAGAGAGAAAAGAGAATGGGAAATGGCTAGGGAGAGCCAAGGTCTAGCTGGAGACAAACGAAATAGTGGCGTGCATGACACAGCTGTCCATAGCTAACTAGAAACTTGGACACGGTTCACATCAACGTTATGAGCCCCACAAGCGCAGTTAATAATGGCCAGCAGGCATGAATAGGTACATAGGTACGTGGTTTTACAGCTTTTGTACAAATTAATTGTTTACATCTCATCAGCTAGAGAAGAAGATAAAAACGCAGAATTCTTCTCCAGGCCATCCGCGAATGTAGCCAGCAACCGTTGGAAAGCTGCGTGCGGACTGCCACCCAAAGCTGCACGATGCATCGACTGCATCGCTGATTCGACAGTACCTTGGACGCCTGAGGCGCGCTTGTGGCTGAGGCGCGTGCTGTACTGTGGCGCCATTTGAATTCTAAACGCCTTACCAAAAACCAACCAACCCGCTTTTCAACATCATCCGTCTTCTCATCATCGCCTGCCTTCCGACCAGCCGAGTCACACCACCCTCGCCCCCGTGAGCGCCGCCAATTCCCCCCTCTCACACCAAGGCCCCCGGGGAATGGCTCGTCATGTTCCACCTGCGACGCCCTGTTAGCGGCCTCCTCGTCGCCGCGCGCCGCCTCGGTCCCCGGCCGGGGCCTGCACCGCCGGCGGCCCGCCGGACCTTTGTCAACGAGGCCCTGACACCGCTCGTCGACGCCACGGCGCACGTCTTCACGGCGCTCCACCACGGCGCCGGCGTCCCCTGGTTCCTGACCATCCCTCTCGTCGCGCTCGGCATCAACGCCGCCGTGCGCCTGCCCATGCAGCTGTACATGCAGTCGCTCGACCGCCGCCGCAACGCCATCAAGCCGCTGCTCATCGCCTGGTCCAACCGTCATGCGAGCCGGCCGTTTGCCGGGCCACCGGGGCGCAGGAACGCGCACATTGCGCGCGAGACGGACAGGTCGCGCAAGCGCCTCTTCAGGGCGTGGGGCGTGCCCCTGTGGAAGCAGTTCATCCCCTTGTCGTCGATGCTCCCATTTGTCGTCGTCTCCGAGGCTCTGAGGCGGTTGTCTGGCGTGTCCATGTTTGACACGGCCGCGGCGGACGGCGCCGGCGAGGTGGTGGCGCGCATGTCGTCGACGGTCGTGGATCCGTCCCTGCACACTGGTGGCTGTCTGTGGTTCACGGATCTCATGGCCTCTGATGCCGTGCTAGGCCTGCCGATCATCTGCTCTGGACTCCTGGCGGCCAACATCCTCAGCCGTATGAGTCTACAGCAGTGGAGGGCTGCACTCATCGAACGACCAGCTTACGAGACAAGGTCCCAAGGGCTCCTGCGCGGGTTGGTTCGACTGGGCATTTTCCTACCACTTATTCCCCTTTGCGTTACGCACTTGCCCGCCTCGGTTTTTCTATATTGGGCCGCAAATTTTGCATTGCAGCTTGTCAATGTGAATCTGGTCCGGAAGATTCTTCCGGAACGAGAGAAGCTACTAAACTGGAAGCCTATCCAACCCAAGATCATCTCATATGTCAAAAGACCGCATCTCGATACACCTCCAAAGAAACAAGTGTACAATAAAAATGTATAATTAGATAGACGTTGACTGGCTATCAGTCGTAAATAATACCCGGACTCCCAAACTCCAGCGCACGCAAATAGCAGAATGCATGCATTACGACCCAACGGTATCTCATACAAACGTTCTTGACAATGCTAAAATCAGCCCAGGAAAATAGCCAGCAGGACAATAGTCATGATGACACCCAGAATCAGCAGCAGGCAGAATCCCTTGTTTCGGGCTGCCTTTTGGTATCGTGCCGCCTGTCGGTTCTCAATGTCGGCCTGTCTAGTGTCGTCGCGGACGTTTTCGACATTGTCCACAATCGTGTTGAGCGACTCGCCCTGCTCGCTGACAATGTGCGCCACCTGTCGGAACAGCACGTTTAAGTCGCCCACGCCCTGCTCAATGTTGCGAATCTCCTCTTCCCGCTCAACAATCAGTGCCTCCTGAAAGTCCACATCGTCCTGGTCGGCGACCTGGACAAACTCTTGGCGCTGCAACTGCTCCAGGGGCGCGCTGTCCTCGCCGCCCGCCTCGCCGCCGTCCTGCACGGCCCGGGCCGCTGAGACGGAGGCGCGTTCCCTGTCGAGGGCTTTGCGCTGCAGGCCCTGGAACTCTTGCAGGGCCGCCTGGAAGTCGCTCGAGATCTTGGTCTGCTCGTATTTTTGCTGCTTCTGTGGCAATCGTCAGTCCTGCTGCTTGAGTGCAGGCTCTGGCGCCGCTCAACGTACCGAGAGGTCCTCCCAGGACTGAAACTTCTTCACGCCCTCGCCAATGTCCCGGCAGATTTCGCGCGTCTTCTCCATCGTGTTGTGTACGCGCTCCCGCAGACGCGGCGTATCTTTTTTCGTGCCGAGGACGGTGAGGTCGTTGGAGAGCTTGCGGTTGTTGGTGAGCAGCGTCTGAAGCTTGCCTTTGAGCTCCGACTGCAGGTCCCGGAACGCAGGGTCATCGCTGTAGCCGCCGGACCGGCCGGCCTCCATGCTAGAAATACGATCGTTCGACATGTTTGTAAGGAAAGCCAGAGTCTATATGTCGAGGTATCACGCGCGCAGAAAATCAGCAAAATCCGAGCTGTGTAGATGTAGGTTTCAAAGTGGTGCCTAGATGACGCTGGCATGGTCACTGCGTAACACAGACGGTCGGGGTCCAATCACAGTGATCACAGCGGGTCTCCCTCCACCAACCGCCGCTACGCCGGCTCAAAAGCCTGCTATCACCACGTGATACATACATAGGTCGATAGGTAGCGTGTAATCCTTTTTAGCTTAGCGCCTTGCTTGCAACCATCGACTTCTTAGCGTGTTGTTGACTTTTGACTGTCAAGAAGTCTTGCTTCCCGGACTCTGCCATCATTGCACATCTTCCAGCCGACCGGGTGATGCGACGTGGCAATGGCAGCCACTGTTATCCGACGATCTTTCTATAAAGACACCTTGCAACCGGCTCTTCACAGGCGATTCTCGTCGACAGCGACTCTGCTACTTGGAGTGGCCTACCTTGAAGCTCTTGCTCTAGCTTCCTGGAGCTCTCGTCAGTGCATCGTCGCATACCATGCCACCAACACTCATCTAACAATTTTCTAGTGCTTTGGTCCTGGTTTCCTCTGGGTCCCACAGGTATTCGAACCGCGATCATTTTCTCCTGCGGCCTGGCCCTTCTCATCCTCCGCATCGCGCACTACCACGTTGGCGTCAAGACTGAGACAGGCGCGCAGAGCCTAAAGACATCACTTCTCAGCCACTCAACCTACGAAACGCTCTTCTGGTACAGCCTTTCCAGCACAATATTTTGCCCGGTGTATCTGTGGTCCCTCGACGACAGTGCTGGCCTACGATGGATCACATATTTTAGCGGCGATCGCGCGCGACTCAATGAGCGACCCATATTCCTCGCCTGCTATCTCGCCAGCTGCGCCTTATTGCAAACGGTTATACACTATCGAAACGACATCGATCGGCTCACCATTATCAAGCCTGCCGCCAAGAAGGAGGAGCCAGCGACAAAGACTGGTGGATTTCTCACTGGATCGTCTCAGAAGATTGCGCAGCAGTTTCCTACTGTCTTTGCAGGCTGCATCAGGCAAGCGACATACTCACTTGTTCTAGCCATGGTCTTATACTATGCACTACTCCGGTCTTTCGCCTGGTCTTGGGCGTTGATGCTGTTCCGCCCCTTCTACAACCTGCCTCGCACCAACATTGTGCCCAGCAGCTGGCCTACCGATCTGTTCTTGATGATTCGCTGCATCTGGGCTGGCGCTCTTATCCATGGCGTCTGGGCGGCAGGCAACACTGGTTTCTCCATTTTCATGGCCAAGCCTCCTCTGAAGGCTGGAAGGCCCTTCACCAGCGAGTCCAAGGATCCCAACGGCAGCCTTCTCAATGGGCTCAAGAGCAAGAAGCCGTCTGTACAGGTATGTGCCGGTGTCCCTATAGATACAAGCATCATTAACAGTCAAAGTGTTTCGCCATGTGGGAGCTTGCAATCATTGCGCAGGATTTCGACGCACAACGAAAGGCCATTTTTGCCGACATTGATCGCAAAGACGGTCCCATGTGGTCTCAGGTGTACACCATTTGCATGGCTGTTCTGAAGGGCATGGAAGAGCGGGTTGATGCTTACGGCAAACCCTTACTTCCAGCCGTGCCTGTCAAGGCACCGGAAGAACCAAGGCAGCGGGTCTCTGCGCCTCTCAAGCAGGATCAGATTTTTACAAAAGGCAGCGTACCTCGCGGTGGCGTCGACAAGGCATGGGACCAAATTGCACGCTCACCTGGTACATCGCCAATTGCCGAGCTTAGCCCATTGGCCAAAAAGACTTGGAAGCAGACCCGCGATCGCATGCTCACCAAGGAACAGCAGGAGGCTGTCTCCAAGGAGAGCATACGATCATACGTTGATCACGCTGCCTCGTACTTGCTGAAGTTGGAGTGGATTGGTAGCGTCTTTCGCCAGGATTTTGCAACCGAGTTCGCTGCTACTGTCCTGGGCCAGCCATACGCAGAGCCCACGGTGTACATTCATGCCACTCAGGCATTGTGCCAGCTTGCTATTCGCAGTTTGGCAGAGGACCAATATGGCAAGGTCCACCGTGATGTCCCGAGCATCATTCGCGTTCTTACCGCCATCATCAAGAAAGTGGAGGGACTCAAGGCTCGGTTCCCCATTCACTGGACAGACTCGTCACGGCGCCGAGAGAGCCCTGAGGTGGACCAGGTCATTGACGCCATGCGCCTCGGCTTGGAGCAGGTTGTCGCCAAGTTTGAGCCCTATAGCAGTGATCTCAGATTGAACTTGACGGATCTTCGCCTTGCCAAGGAGGCCATGACAAAGCCGCAGGCTGCCGCAGAGCCGCAACCGGTCAAGGTGACCAAGAAGACTACAGAGAAGAGCGCAAAACGGACGGACTTGTCAAGGCCGAAGCCGATTACGCAGAGAAAAGCAGAGCCGGCCGTGAGACAACGACTGGATCAGCGCAGACCAGAAATGGAGCAAGCTCGGTGAGGCGCCTGCACAATACAAAGATGAAAATAAAATAAAAAGGTCACCATTTGGATGCACGGACGATACCAGGGATAATGGTTTGGTGTATAGATGTATAAATAGGAACTGGTGTAATTGACACACGCTCATGTTACCACTTGAAGTGACACGTAGAGGCCACCACGTTTCAACAAGTTTGAAGCTCCTTTTTATGTAGAGGTGCTGTCACTCATTTTCGCATGCACACATTATAGTCATCAACTAATTTAGCTTGTCACTTGGTCAAGCTGTGGCTGGCTTCAAGCGCTTCAAGCGTGCAACGCCAGAGACACGGGCCAAGCCGAGGCCCACTCCATTCAACCACCTCACTTTCGCTGCCCAGATTAAGCTTTGCTCTCCTCCCCTCAGCCACGGACCGTCACCGCCCAACGCAAGACCAATGCGTCTATTTTCTTCTTGCTACATTCTTTGTTCATCTTAACCAACGCTCACACATTAGTAGCTCTCGCTATGCGGTTACCAACGACAATCGCCGCGCGCTAGACACCGAACGACGACTGCCACACCCCCCTCTGAGCAGCCCACCCCTCCACCCGTCATGCAGCGACGGCAGATGATCCAGCGGATCCTGTACCGCTCCGTGTATATTCTCTTCTACCTGATCCTCATCGGGCTGCTCCTCATCACGCCCGGCGACGTCATCCAGCGGTCCATTACCAATCGCACGCGCTATAACATTCTCGTGCTGGCACTCGTCTACGCCGCCACCCTCCTCATCATCGCCTTTGTCTACGCCACGCGCCTCTACGTCAACACGACGTCGCTCTCCGCCATCCCCAAGTCGTGGATCCCGGTCGACCGCGGCGACGTGGCCGCCCGCGTGCACCGCCTTGTCGGCGCGGGCCTGCAGCGCAGTGCCGCCATCACGTTCCTCTCGCGTCCGCGGGACCGGTCCGTCGCTGACGACGATGCCGCGCGCGAGAACCTGTTTGCGCAGCCGCGCGTGCCGCTCAAGACGGCGCGCACCGTAGCCCTCGAACTTGGCGTCGTGCTGCCCGCGCGCGGCACCGCTTGGGCCGATATCGAGCAGCCCGGGTGGGCGTCGCCCGACTCGCGCGACCTGCCGGGCTTGCAGTACAGCACGGTACTGGCGGAGCTGCCGAACCTGATCGAGGCCAAGGCGCTGACGCTGGCGCCGCCGCAGATGCAGCAGGAAGCGGCGGCGCTGCTGCAGCGCGACCCGACCTCGAGTCTACGGACATACGTGGACGCCCTGACGGAGCTCGGCGTCGTGGACGTGGACGGCCAGACGGGGGCGTTCCTCGCGCAGTATGAATATGCGCGCTTCTCGACGCGGCCGCTCACCAACAGCGAATTTCGCAGCCTCATGCACCTCTTTGCCGAGCTGCTGCGCACCATGCGCCCGCCCAACATCGGCGACGACACGCCCCGCCGCCGCCCTGCCGAGAGCGCCCACGACAGCGACGCGCCGCTCGAATCGCGCCCGACAACGCCATGTACCCGGTCTGTCCGCAGCAACGACTCTAGCAGCAGCAGCAGCAATGGTGCGGCGCGCCCACCCGCCCGACTGCCTCTGCCCCGGCGCGACTCGTCGTTTCACGCCTGGAGCCAATATGCCACGGCGCCCAACACGCCCGGCAGTCGACATACGGAGACGGCGCTGTCGCGGCGGCGCAGCAGCAACAGCAGTAGCAGCCTCGCTACCGTGGCCACGACGACGCGTCGCGGCGTGCCGCTGTCGAGGTTGCAGCAGGGGCCGCTGCGGCTGAGGCCGCAGCAGTCGGATGCGAGTCTGCGATCGAGCGGCTCGGCGAGCTCCCGCTCGGTGATTCGGTTGGCGACGACGAGGGAGGATGCGTCGGCGCTGCCGTACGTGTTGTCGTTGCGTCCGACAATGGACCAGTAACGTATTTGGGAGGATATTGTACAAGTATAATCTGCACATGAGCTTGCATCGCATTGCTTCGGGACTTTGAGTGGTCGCGAGGCAGCATGGATTAACATGATATGGCGATCCAGAGGTATAAGAAGCGTGAATTTTTTATTGAAAGGGCCACATGGTATATAGTGTATATTTTGGGTATGTATATCAACATTGCTTCACGGTGCGCTGCGAGTCGCACCGTTCCTTTTTCGCTACCGCTTTTACCGTTGCATGACCACCATGTGCACATCCAATCAATCTAACCCAGTCATTCTGTCGTCCACCGTCTCCCTAGCTCCAAGCCGCCGTCCAGACCAGGCTTTCATCGCCAAATCCAAAAGGCGAGTGTGTCTCGTCATGCGTTTGGCGAATCGAACGTCCCGACCCGCCTTATCCGATTTCTCCCTCCCAGACGTCCCAACCCGTACAGGGAGGGAAATGTACAGTTTCTGGTAACTTGGTTGATGTCGTGCCGGGCTCTTGGGGTGAAGTGAAGTTTTCGGTTGGTCGCGAGCGGGTAGGACCTTGATTGTCGGGATTAAGACTCCTTATACAATGCTGTGAGTTTCACAAGGCTTGTGATTTCGTTGTTGCAAAGATTCATGATTTGCTCAACTTCGGCGCCTTCCGGTGGTTCAAATTCTCCCAGATGTTTATCCCGCGGTGTCTCCTCCCCCCCAACGATCTTCGTGTAGCGCACGAGGTTCTCCGTGATAAGACCCACGAGCCTCAACACCTTGTTACGATGCTCGTCGCAACACGTGGGATGGGCTCTTATCTTAGAGTCTAGAGAGCTCTTTCCAGTACCTCGGGCTCCCGTCTTGGAAAACCATTCCTCGAAACGTATTTTCTGGTGCAGTAGCTGGGCACAGGTGATGCTGTCCAGGTCCGTTTTGAAGTCTGATGCCAGTTCCAGCGCCTCCTCGAAGGATTTGAGGCAGTCTTCAGTAGCGGCTGAGATTTCGGAATGTTGTTCTGTCATTTTTGTTTTGTGTACAACAGACTTGGGACTTTTGCGCTGGTTGCTGTGAAGATGGTCTGTTAGAAGATCTGGAAGGGTCAGCCTATTAAATACCTTTTTTGATCAGCCGTTCGCGACGTAGCCGCTGGTCAGACTGCATTGCAGTACCCATGTGAAACGGTTGCCGCCTTGTGCACTATCCTTTCAAGGCAATGGAAACGGAGGGTCGCTCTCATGGTACTTGACGCCCTCCCACTCGTCATTCAGCATCGCCGTGATGACGTAGACATCAGCCTGTAGGCAGATTCTAGTCAACCGTTTCAGAACGGAACAGAGCAAAGCTACAGCAAAGTCTACGAAACCACAGCTTAAAGGATTAGTGCCAGGCTCTCGGATTGAGAGGGCGTAATCTAACCGTGCCCACTCTGGTCTCTGTAATATTCCTCGAGACTATTGTTGTATACATAGAAAGAAGGAGCAGAACTGGATATCATGCAAAACACAGGTCAACATACTAGTTGCCTTTGCTTACGGACGAGTATAAATCACGAATCGCGACACTCAGAGCTTTCTTACTCAGTCGCTGTCCTGAGTTGTCGCCGCTTTGGCGCTTGCTTGGCGCCTGTGCAGTTAAGCAACCATGACACAAGGAGGGGGGTGCACATGTTCCCACCCGCACCTTAAGAAGTCTTAATCGTTTGTGGTCTGTGACATAGCAGTAGGTGCAGCTCTACAAAGACAGGTCAACTTTTAATGATGAAGTATGCCCCGCCCTGAGTGACTATAGGGTACGTATCCGCCATGTTGCACCGCCGCTGTCCAGTCTCACTCTGACTTCATCGCATCATAATGCACACAATTATTGATCACTTTACGCGCGTACCATGGACAACGATCGTTCTGGGCAAGTTATCCACTGCCTGGAACGCTGTCCTGCGGTTTCTCAGCTCTGCTCTGCGGTTCTGGAATCGCAGCTCGATCACCCAGTCATGCCAGTACCCTCTGACCTACGAGCAACAAGAGGCAAGGAACGACGAGTTTGTCGCGCGCATCAACAAGGACGCCATTGCCACTCTTGTATCTCGACACTGCGAGAAGCCGTGCCAGATCAATGACTTTAAGCGCGGCAGCTTCAACGTTTGCTTTTTCGTTGGGGTCCTTCAGGGCGACTCACAATGGACGGTGCGGGTCCCGATCGAGCCCGCCGTCCATGACACCTGGGGCAAGATTCAAAACGAGGTTGCCACGATGCAGTAGGGAGTCTAGCCCGTCTGCGAATTCATCAGCTAATCTGCCGACTGCCTAGGTATGTCCGGGACAGGACTACGATCCCGTTACCTGACGTCCACACCTGGGGTCGCGAAGCCCTCACTCGGGACCTGTCTACGCGACAGGCATACGTCATCCTCGAATACGTGCCCGGCCGGCCCCTCAACACATATTCGTTGGCGAAAGATACCAGAGACCGACGCGACTATGTATATTCGCAACTGATTGATTTCTTCGCCCAGATGCGCCAGCTCGAGCTACCCTCCGCAGGGTCATTGATGCCAGATTCGAATGGTGGACCAGATCCTGTCATTGGCCCCTTTCTCTCTAGGCACATAAACGAGCTGCAAGTCCAACGGCCAAAGGTTGCTACTCCTTCGGCACCATTCACCTCGACGGAAGACTTCGTTCTCCATCAACTCAGTCTCATAGAAGAAGCTATCAGGTTGCCATTGGGCGGACAATCCTTCAAAGACGCGCAGCGTGAAGTATTTGCGCTAGAGAACCTACGTCAGGTGCTTACCAAGTCCATCCAGGTAAACGCGCGGAATGACGGCCCATTCGTCTTATGCCATCTGGATCTCAGAGGTCCCAATATCATTGTGGACGAAGATCTCAAGTTTATGGGTATCCTTGACTGGGAATTCACCGGTTCTATCCCAGTCGAGCACTTCATACCGCCCTTTTGGATCGCTGGAAAGGACCTGACGTATGCGACAGGCGGGGAGTATCGTACAGAGTTCACCCAGTTCCACAAGATTCTCCTGGCTAAAAGCGAAACATCAGACGTTCATCGCCGGCTCGCCGAAGAGTGGAATGCCGACTTGCCGTACGGTATGAGGCTGCCCATCGCCGAGTTGTTACACCACCATTCTCAGCTGCTCAGCATCTTCTTTCAAGCCATTTATCCCCAGCTCTTTCAAGGACCGGAGAAGGAAGTCGTTGCTGCGTTCTTCGAACGAGGCGAGAATCAGGCACTTGCTCTAGAGGTGCAGCGCCAGTTCGAGAGTTCCGAGGCGTACACGCAGTACCTCAAAATCAATAATTGGTTCGAGCCTGATGACCAAGAGGAAATCGCTCGTGCTGCACTTGTTCAACAGATAGAACAGCAGATGGAAAAGCTCAAGAAGTTCAAGACCACGAAACATTGATCAAAAAGATTAAGGGGTATGCAATTGATTTATGCCTCCTCGCCCTCCCTCAATAAATCATCCTGTAATCTCTTTAACTCCTGGACGTATTTTATTTTCTCTTTAGCGTCCTCCAGGGCGTGTTTGACAGTTTGCATATACCGACATATTTTCGAAGATCTGCAGCCGTATGTTTTACAAGACGCTGCTTGCGCGGAGTCGTTGTACGGGCTTGCGCGTCGCCGCGATTGGATTAGCTATATATACTAGCAGTATTGGATTGAATACAGTTGCCTTTCGGAGTCGTGCGGGCAAAGCTTCGCGCGCGCTGCCTCCTTCCAAGCCCATGTCGACGGTGCTCACGCAGCTGACAGGTCCGCGTACGGCCTGAGTACCCTGACGACTCTGGCCCGCCAGGGGAAGATCACCGAAGCGGATCTGGCCTGCCCATTCTGTCACGAGTCTCAAAACTCGGCCGAGGTAGATATCCTAGAGCTATTACACGAACATCAGGTCAAGACAGAACAACAAAACCGGGTACATGGCGGGATCCCCCCTGACCAACCGGTTCCTAACTATCGATTTTCGGCATGATTTTGGTTTATCGCCAAGTCCGTAATTAGATCCAGAGAATATTGTCGGCAGAATCGCGAAACTAGAATAATGAATATGGGGGTGACAAAAAAACCAGCTGTCGAACTAGCATCGCCTTCCTGATTCTGATATATATACATATGTATATATACCGTCTCAAATTATATTCTCAACTACCTCATGAGTGAATCGTTACCTTGTTGTTAGAAGTATTTCTCCTAGTATTGCGTCACATTATGTGATTTTGGTCAATCCCTAGAAACCTCGTGGCGCCAGCAGATCTAAAATTATCCAACAGTCCAGGGTAGTCCACCATTTCTCCAACTTTTTTTTTTCTGCGCCCCAAATCTCCAACGTCACCTCGCCTATTTCCAAAGCTGCCAATTGTCAACCATCAACGACTCTCTTCCCCCGCGCACACCCTCTTCTCGAACCCCGCTGGAAGCTCTGATCCCCGAAAGTCCAACACAAAAAAACGCACGCATCTCTGCATCCCCACCGGCGCATCCCCTGCGCGCGCGCCGCCCCCCCCAAAAAACACCATGGCACCGCCCGACGCCCTGCCCGTCGCCGCCGCCGCGCTCTCCAACCGCGTATCGATGCTCTTCGCCGCGCAGTCCTCCCTCCTGCGCACGCTCTCCGCCAGCTCCTCCTCGGGCCGCGCCGCCCCGACGACGCACCGCCAGACGCAGGCCGACGTCGACGAGGACGAGGCGCTCTTCAAAAGCGCCTACCATCCCGGCGGCGGCGTCGGTTACGTGCCGCCCGCCGCGGACACGGCGACGTCAAACGCAGACAGGGAGCTGCGGGGCCGGATCCTGGGCAAGCGAGGGCCGCTGCTGGAGAGGGAGAAGAGGGACGGCAGGCGGAAGAAGAAGGCAGAGGAGAGCGACGAGGACGAGGATGTCGGCAGGAGTGCGCTGGGCAAGAGAAAGAGGCCCAGACGGGAGGTGCGGGATGGGGCGGCCGAGGTGACGAGGCAGGACAGCAGAGGAGAGGCTGGTGATGTGGTCCAGGCAGAGACGCAGCCTGCGGTGGAGGAGTCGGCACAAACAGCGACAGCGGCTGAGACGACAACGACGAAGCGGAAGAGGAATAAAAAGAAAAAGAACAAGAACAAGGCAAAACCGGCAGAAAACGCCACTGAAGAACCATTACGATAGCGTGGTATTATACTATTACGAGGAGAAATACAACAGTAATTACCATGAGACCATGAGAGTGTGTCACTGGAATTCATTTTTGGGGGCATTTATTGTGACGATATAGCATGCTATAAGTGAGTAGCTGGTACATACGGCCATAGACAGTAGAAAATATCGCGTCCCGTTTGCTCCGCAGAAATCAAGCTATTGATCGGCAGATTAGTAGTTGGGTCGGTGACGACCAGCGAACACCGGCTGCTGTATGTTTTCTTTTTTGCTTTATGTTTTTCGTCTTTTTCGCCTTATTTCTCTGGAGTCGTTCTTGGTTGTGAGAATGTGGTGTGTACTCTAACTATTCGAAGGGATCTACAACGAAATATGCGGGGTAATTTGATACTATTAATAATTTGTAATACAGCCGAGCAAAATCAGCCACAGTGAGAGTAGTACAAACCCATGTGAGCATTACAACAGAATAGCGTTGAATTATTGCAAAAAGACTTTTCGCAAGAGTATAAAAAATTCGAGGTTGGCCAAGTTCCACCGACTAACAGTGAAAGAATCTCATTCAGCGTGGCTCCGCATACAAGAACACGTAAAAAAACGTAGAAAAACAGGTAAAAAAGACATTGGTGTACACCATTTCCAAGTTGGGTCGCATTGCATTCCCAGCTATTCGTCCCCTTTCCCCAAAAGAGTCACAACAATACGTCGTCTCTAGTTCCCAGCGAACGCATCGCACCATTATGTGAAAAGAAAAATTGCAAAAAGAAACCGCGCCAACATAACTCGTGCGAGGCAAAGTCGCATGACTAGCCCACGATTCGGTAGCGTTGCTCGTCGGACCTGACTCCGTTTCGGTATCCCAGGATGATATATATGTAAAGTCAAGGAAAAAAAAAAATGCTGCGCGCCATGCCCGTTTGAATAAGTTGGGGAAAAAAGAAGACAGATAGTCCAAACGCACGATTCCAGGCCTACGTAGCCGAATTCAAATCCGAGTCCCAGGTTATGTGAATGATACGCCGTTCGCCTCGAGTGAGCAAATGCTCGTCCGCCTCGAGTAATGCTCCGCAATAGTAAACCCCTTGCAAGTCGGATGCCGTGGCCGTGTTCCCTCTAGTTCATGTTTGATGTCATGGTCGATACGAACTAGACGAATCGCCACGTGTTGAGTGTGATTTCGATGATTCCCAATCGTGACCCCTCCCCCCCCCAAAAAGACCAGGGGTTATATTCGTTTCGAGTGAAGATGCCAAAGCATCCGAGCATCAATTTAGTTGTGCACTGACCACGTCACTGCATGCGCTTTCGTTTGCGATCATCGTCGCCGCGCAAGTCGTCCTCTTCATCTGACCTGTTCTCGGCATTGCTCGGGTTGAGGATATGAGCCATGCTTCCTCGCCTGGTAGGAGGAGCCGATGAGTCCTTGAACAACGTACCTCGGCCGTCACGGCTGCCGGTAGAATTCCAGCCCCAGCCGGCGAATGTATCGTGTCCATTAGAGGTGCCATTGGCGGTAGGCGGGGGAGGCGTTGTTGGACGTGACCGCGGGTGTCCATGCGAAGCGCTCTGCAGCGAATAGGCGGATAGCGACTCACGGATGCGCTGATCCTCGGGAGGAACTCGATTAGGTGATGAGGGCCAAGGCGCAGATGCCGGGTTGGAAGGGTGGTAGGGCGCTGCGCCAGCCTGCCAGCCGTGGGCTCGAATATCGGCGGCCGTATGTCGACGGCCCATGCTCATGCCAGGCGCTTCGTTTGCCGACAGCTGATGAGGGGCGGGCGGTGGTGCGGGAGCGGCGTTGCGTAGCGGTGAGGACTGGTTCGGGCTGGTGCCGCCAATGGATCCAAAGCGACGGCTGCCAGAGGTCAGATTGGAAGACACCAGTGGGCGGTAGGATGGCTGTGCGCGCATCTGGACAATGCCCGGCGCGGTGCGACGGACATCGTCTTGTGGTAGTTGTCTTGGTGACACCGGAGCATTGTCGATATTGCCAAGATAGGATCTGGTTACAGAATAAGACGGCTCTGCGGGCTCTTCAAAGGTGCGCACGAAATCCGTTTGCCGTTGCATTTCAGCTTGCAAAGCCACCACTATTTGGGTTAGTGATGCGACTGGCAACGGGTGAAGCTGGTACGTACCGTCGCGTTGCGTTTGACTGTCCGACGGAGCCAGGGATAGCACCATGCGGGACAATTCCTGATTGAACTGTAAGAGCCGGGATACCGTATCCAGGGCTGCCTGATTGCGAAGCTGCATATAGTGCGACTGCTCTTCGCTCCTCTGTAGTCGTGCACCCATTTCAATGACGCTATACTCCAAATGGGCGAGTTTGGCTTCGGTGGTTTCGGGGGGGTACTGGACGGGCTCGGCAGGCGTGCCTGGCTGTGAGGTACTGGCCTTGACGTAGGTGCTCTCCTTGGGGCCGAGCTGCTTGCTGGCGCGACGCTTAATCTCGCGCAAGCCAGCGATGTCACCGCGCTTAAAATTGCCATTACCGTGCTTGAATTCCCAGAGGGTGGTGTCGGGGTTCCCGGTGTGGAAAACGTCTCGTTCTGTTCTAGATTAGGAGGCTGGGGGACGGTGCGATTGAAAGAAATGTCGTACCTTTGTGAAACCCATACATGTTTAATTGTCGCACAAAGGATGAGATATTGGTATGCTTGAAGTATTGGCTAAGACAAGTCAGAAACGGTCGCAAAGCAGCAGCAGTGGCACAGGTCGCGGGCTGGGTTCTTACGAAAGAACCTTGGAAAAGTCGGCAGTGGGCGACATGACAAAGCTTTCCGAGGTGGCGGACCATGATATCAAATGTTGAATCTGCGAGTCCTCGAGCATGCTGGAGAAGGTTAGCAGGGTGCGCGTGCGCGGGTGGACCAGAACAAGGTAACAGAAGAGCTTACTTGTAGAGCTTGTGGATGAAAGCCGTCTGGACAATCTTGGGCTGCTGAGCGGCGCCGGCGGCGGAGGGGGGAGGAGCAGCCATGGAGGCAGAAGACGAAGAGGGGTCCTGAGGAGGCGAATTGTTGGAGCGCCCGTTTGACTTGGAGTCGTAGTCGTTGTGCGCAGATGGAGAGGTATTGTTGGCAGGCGGCGTGTGGGAGGGCGAGACGTCCATGGCGTCGCCAGAAGAGGACGGCATGGTTGCGGAGGAGCGAGCAGGTGGGATAGCCCGGGAGACGATGCGATCGCGAGGCCGATCTGGCGGCAGAGACGAGATGTAGGGGCCTTCAGTTGCGGTGGCCATTGGCACTGGATAGTGAAAAAAATTTGGTCAAGTGTCAGCTTACGGAGCGGGCAAGCATTGGTAGGTAGTTAGCGGGGAAGGGGGGCGGGCGGGCAGGGGAGCGGACGAGAGCGTGCGATGCAGGAACAGGATGAAAGAACAAGGGACTGGCGGCGGAGTGAGGATTGGCTGGGCGATTGCAGTATGGGCGGAAGAACGAGAGGCGGAAATGCTGGGGGAAGATAGGCGGTGATGGGTGAGGCGTGGTGTTGAGACGAACCTCATGTCGCAAGCGACGAACGTCTGGCGGCGAAGCGCGGCGCAGGAGCGATGAAACGGCGAGGCCGGGGAAAGAAGCGGGCGCAGACGAGAGCAAAGAATGGCGGATTGGTGAGCGATGGTGAAGAAAGAGGATCAAAGTGTGAGAGCCGGGCGCGGATTGGCGAGAGGCGAAAGGCGAAAGGCAAAAGGTAAGGCGTTGTAACGGTTTGCGCGAGAATGCAGAAGCAGCTCTGGGTTGTGGAGGTGGTCGTGGTGAGCTGGTAGGGAAGGCGAGGTGAAGCACAAGGCAAGTGCTGCCATTTGCTACGTGCAGGTACCTTTGCAGCCTCTGTGCTAGGCAGGCCAGGCAAGTACCTTTGCTTGAGCTGTGCATGCTGGCCCTACACCTTGACCACCACCACACTGTGCTGGGCTACACTGCCTGACCTATTACTGTACCTTCTACTACCTCTGGTACCTACAGGTAGGTACCTTAGTAGGTGGTAGGGCCTGGGTGGAACTTGAGCCGCTATTCCGGGTCTCCTACGTATACTCGGTACACCAATACCTATCAGGGTACGAAGCTGTATTACTATATTACTATACAAATTACCATTGTCCATCAGCTTGCAATACCTGTAAAAGACCAGCGGCAGAAATGCAATGTGCTTAACCGACGCTGCAGAGAGAGGTGCGCAGACAGACAGCCGACACCAAGCTGCATGCCTCGATGGCCAGCTCTGCGCGTCTTTGCTTGTCATCAGCCACGGGCGATTGGTCGCGAGGCCGATAGAGTTTTGCCATGGCCGAAAGTGATGAGTATTGTCAGAGAAGTGTGACGGCCTGAGTGTGTCTTTAGGTCTTTAGTCAATAACTACCAGCTGGAGACCAGAGCGCCGATGTGTGCTTCCCTCCGGCCGCCTGTAGGCCCGAGGTCCCTGGAACCACCGCCGGGCCACAACAACCACGCATCCGTTTTAGCGGCTCCCATTTTTTCTTTCATTAGCGGCGTCCTTTGCTTCTGTCAACGAACGGGAGTCGTCTAGCCGGTCTTGTGGCGCCGAGTTAAAATCCCCCAGGCTTGTTTAGCGCCGGACTTGCGTCGATACTTGCATTCACGGGTAACGTTACTGGAATATCCCGTTTTGCTTCCGCCTACAGCTTCCGCCGACCTGTTCGCCTTGGCATCCTTCTGTACGTCCCCGACCCCCAAGATGGAAAGCCGCTGCAGGTTCACGTACACGACCTTGCCGGGTTCTGGTGCCCGCCACGGGGCGAGCTCCGGCGTGTTTTAGGTAGCCGGCGGGGGTGCCCCTACTTCCGGCGTAGGTGCTGGAACTCTTTGCGGCTTGCGCCAGCTAATAAAGTCCCCTCGGCTATCCCCTTTTGAAACCTAGACGAGAAAAAAGGAAGGTTTTCTTTTTCTCAAACAAATGATTTAAATACATGCCTAGGTACAAACTAGGTCAAGGTAGGTAGTTAGATATAACTATTATTCCTGCGCCGGATCCACGTTTTCCATCCCCCATCATTCCACCCTTGCTGCATCATCGTGCTGGATAACCCCGAATGCCCGAAAATACCATGTGCGCATGGACTGCCAATCTCTATTATTCTTATCCAATGTCTCGCGGAACTCTTTAGTTGCAGCCAACTCTAGTTCATCACTCTGCAGCCCCCGCAGCCACCCCAGACACCCAGGGTACCTACCTACCTACCTATGAGGTAGGTAGGTAGACACAGTATGTACCCATCTAATGGCCGTGCGATGTATACTGCGCGCAAGTACTCTTGAGCAAACTAGTGCACAATTACCATATATCAAAACTCACCAGTACCCGCATCACCCGTAGATACTCTGTAACTTTCCGATGAGCTGGCATCCTTCCTGTCCCCCTTCCATCGCAAACAGACGCTTTCCCATCATCACCAGCACCCCCAGCCCTATTTCTACCATCCGTCATCCGCCATCACCAACACTCCTTCTGATTAGGCGGCTCTCCCTAAATGCACCATCTTCGGCATCGGGCATCTCCAGGTCCAAGCTCGCTAGCCTTCTCCCCTGCCTCGTTCGCGTCCCGTCCCACTCAAACGAGTCTCAACCACCATTATTACCTCTCAAGTATAACTACAAATGCGTACACAGTTGCACGACTTGCGCTATTCCTTCCAATAGTTACATGCACCCGGCTCTCTCTTTATCGCAGCAATGCCTCACTAACTTATTCTCGGCAACAGCCCACACGCCTTGCGCCCTTTACTCGCCGTTTGTCCTGCACACATCAGCCACAGCGGAACAATGCGCACAGTACAAGCTTCGGCACCGCATAACTAGTCAGTTGCGAGACATTCTCGGGCCTCGCATCGGCGTGGAGATTGCAAAACGTGCGCTTCTCAACCGAAATTTCTGTTGCAGACTACCTCGTCTTCTGCTAGAGCACAACCCTTGTCCACCACATGTCTTGTGACACCCAAATCACGGCTGCTTTCCGCAGTCTACCAGATGACCACACAGCCCACACAGCCTGTCTCGGCCATGAAAACATCAAAACAGCTACTCGGGAGTCGGTATGGAGTGGGAGTACAGTGTTGGGACAAGCCTGGTGGAAATTGCAGAGCCTACGCTGCGACTGTTTGCTCTTCTTCTATTGATCCTCCGTACTCGGTACGCTGCCCGACTTTTCGTCCGCTCAATGCGCTCCGTCCCGCACCAACCGCGTCCTGTCTCTTGCGCCGCTGCATCGTTGCTCTGTCCAGTGACTTCATGACCCAGCGAGCGCCGCTGAAAGAGACGCCACATCCACATCCACGACCCCGTCCAACCTGCACTCTTGCTTGCCGTCCTGCCAGGCGTGCGACAATTTGGGTGGCACCCTGTCCGCCCACTTCATGCCCACTAGAACAGACCAGATCTGCGCCATGCAGTCCGCGATGCGCAAGTACGCCCCATCATCTTATTGGGCCAGGATCTGTCAGCCCTCCCAACTCCCCGGTCAGCGCTCCTTCTAGAGCCCCAAGAAGCCGCGGCATGTCCTGTGCTCATGCGGGAATGCATCAACCGCACTCACAGCCAAGCCGACAACCAATTTGCTACGCCGGCTCACTATGAACCACGCACTACCTATGCTACAATTGCGCTGCAAAACTGGCCTCAAGCCCAAACACAAACAACCCCGTGTACCCAGTTTCGGCCCCATGCGTTTGCTACAGAGGAAGAACATGTAAAACTCCAATTTAGCCCGTAATGGGCCGCTTCCTGCCCCGAGCAACCAATCCTTGTTCGAGCAGTCGCTTGGCCGCCAGCCGATTGGCTTGTTTAACTAACAGTATTAAGTTATCTCTCCCTACACATCGGCTCGCCTGCCCGTACCGCGGCTGGGCAACGTTTCGCGAGTGGACCTGCCACATGAAATTGGCCGTCTTGCACAGCACCGGCGGCCAGATGCCACAAGGGGAATTTATCGGCATCAATCTGTAGGCAAACCGCCTTACGAAATAGGATGAGATGGCGTGACGAGTTCATGCCTTGGTCACCCGGGTTTCACGACAAGCAAGGCGGTAGCTGAATGCCGCCCCGCTGCATCGCGACTTCGGACTCGGACACTGCTCGGCATAACGATGCCGCACCACCAGTCGTCATCTCCAACATACATAAAAGCTACCAATGCGTGTAGAACCGGCATACACTGCCGACGGCAGGCATCGAGAAAATTGTCATCATTCATGCTGCACGCAAGACTAATGCAGAGAAAACGTAAACGCCTTGAGCCCTCAGGCCAATCAAGTACCCAAAGCCGATTGACCCCATGAAACATATACCAGAATGCTTTACCAGAATGCTTTACCAGAATGCTTTACCAGAATGCTTTGCCAGATATTCACCTCGCTTGCAGCTGTAACCTCGCTTACAGTGGTGCTTCTCATCTTCTGACTGCAACGTTACACATCACTTGCCTTCTCACGGCAGTATCGCACCAAACAGCATTAGAAGTCGTCGTCCTCCCCTGACACCCTCTTCTCGCCCACCTCGCGAATCTTGTCGCCCAGAATAGTGCGCCCGTACCGCTCCGCCACCTTGCCGGCCGCCTCCATCATGCGTCCTGTGCGGTCGCGCATCAACTTGACCATTTCCAGCGCCCGCATCCCGCGCTCCTCGCCCTCTCGACACTCCACCGCCAGCAGCTGCAGCAGCGTCTTGTCCATTTCCAGCTCCAGTCGTGCCAGCAGGCTGCGCTGCGCGTGGCCGCCCGTTGTCGCGTCGAGTACGTCACGCGCCTGCGCGGCCTGCACTCCCTTGAGCATAAACGCCTGCTCGAGCTTCTTGGTCTCTGACAATTCTTCCACCTCTTCCTCGCCATCGTCGTCGTCTTGCATCTCTTCGTCCGAGGCCTCTTCGACTTCGCTGCCGAGATCCTCACCGTCTTCGCGAGGCTGTTTCTTCTTCTTCGGCTTCGGTTCCTTTGCCTTGGGCGGTGACGAGAGCGGGATGGAAAAGTCAAACTCGGAGAGCAGAGGACGAGGAAAGTATGGGTATTTGTCGCCGCCCTTGAGAATAATGCAGTGGAATTTGTCATCGGCCACGGCAATAGGAAAGTATGTCTCATGCTTACGGCCAGAGGCAAGACGCGGCAGCAGCTTGGTGTCGAGAAGAGGCACCCAGCAGGCGCGAGAGGGCTGGCGCCAGTGCAGCAGCGCCAGTAACGTGCCCGTTGAGTCGTATATACAGGGATCCTAGCCATGAGTATTAGTAAAAGAGGTCTGTGTGAGAGCGACAGAAGAGAGTACGTACGCCACTATCGGAGAAGAACACGCTCTTCAGTGTCGCCCCCGGCGGCAGGGCTAGCGTATCCTCGTTCTGACAGATTTCGTCACGCTTGACATTCTCAATCGTATACAGCAGCCGGGTGTTGCCGTCCGGTCCAACCGGTCCGTTGCCCACCGTCAGGACATAGTCACGCCAGCTGGCGCACGTCACCATAGGCGCGCTCTTGGGGCGGTACACGCGGTAGGGCATGCCAAACAGGGTATACACACGGACGTAGCTGGCATCGGTGGTGACTGTGATGAAAGAGTCGCTGAGCGACATGGCCGTGACGGCCTCGCCGCGGGGCAGCTCGATACGCCAGTCGAGGCGCTGCGTCCAGCTCTCGTGCGGGCGGTAGTATATCGTAGCCGGCTGCTGGTCCTCGTCGGACGGCGGGCAGGAGAAGAGGGACCCGCTCTCATTGAGACAGGCCTTATCGTAGCGAAAGGTGTCGGTAAAGTGAAAGTCGCGCTGCAGCTCGTGGTCGTAGAACTCGACGGTGACGGTGTGGTGGGCGTCCTGGTCTACGGTCCACACGAAGCCGACGAGGTTGAGGCACAAGTACTTGCGGTTGCCCTGCCATGGCGTCGAGCCTGGCTGAAAGGCGTCGTGGTAGACCGGTTCTTGTATCTGTCGGCGCTTGCTGGCGCGGCCGGTGTGCGCATCGTCGCCGTCGTGGTCCCGTCCGCGCTTGAGTAGGCCTGGCTGCGCGTAGCCCGCATTGTCGTCGTCGACTACAAAGTCGTCGTCGTCGGGGCCGCCGCCGAGATATGAGTCCAGACTGCCAAAGGATTCGCGGCGCGCACGCGTAGGAAGGTCGTGCTGCTTGGCGGCGGCGGCGGCGGCGGGCGGCACACGTCTGTTGCCGGAGATTTCGGATAGGGGGTCGTGGATAAACGGCGCCGGCTGAGGGGGCAGTTTGAGCAGCGGCGCACATGCCTCGCCAAGGAAATCGGGGTAGATATAGACCTCGCCGTCGGAGGTGGTGAAGGAGACGATGTTCTTGCGCGGGTGCCAGCAAAAGTCGACGACGTTGGCAAAGTCGTACCGCTGCAGCACGCTCTGCGTCCTCGTCTCCCAGATGAGCAGCTTGCCGTCCTTGCCGGCGGACGCGAGCAGGGCGCCGTTGGGCGACCACGCGAGCGCGGTGACGGCCCCGAGATGGCCGTCAGCGAAGCAGCGCTGCTTCTCCCAGTCGTTCTTGGACAGCACCTGGATGTCGCGCGTGGCCGTGGGCACCGCAAAGGCGCGGCCGTCGGGGTGCCACACCACCCTGGACGTGGCCGTACTGTCGGCGTCGAGGGCGGGGATGACGCCGTCAATGGTGCGGATCAGCTCCGGCTCGTCGGCCGTCAGCGAGTAGACGTACACGATGCCGTCGGTGCCCGACAGCGCGACAGTGCTCCCCTGCGGATCAAACGCGACGTGCCGCGCGGGCCGGGCGTGCTCGCGCAGGTGCCGCACGCGGGTGGTGTCCTGCGTGTGCACAATCTTGACCGTCAGCTCGTCGCTGGTGACGGCGCACCACAGCCCGCCGGGGGACAGGCAGACGTCGCGGACGGGCAGCGAGGTGCGCAGCAGGAACCGCTGGAAGCTGGCCTCGGCGAGCGAGAAGAGGCTGACGGTGCCGTCCTCGGAGCCGACGACAAAGGACGACGCCGACGCGGCGACGGCCACGTTTTGCTCCTGGCAGTCGTCAATGTTGGTTGGCTCGCCGTCGGAGCCAGTCGCGTACAGCCGGATCGTGTTGTTGGAGCCGACGGTGACGAGCCGCGCGCCGTCGGGCGTGTAGGCGCAGCGCGTGATGCCCTGCGTGTGTGCCGGGCGTGGCCGTGGCCGCGGGGCCAGCGTGGAGTCCATGATGTGTTGTTTAGAGAGGAGATGGAAGTCGGGAAGGTGTATCGCATCTGAAAAGACAACGGTTGGTTTGTTGGAGGGGAGGGTTGTGCGGTGTGGATTGGCCGTTGAAGACGCGCCGCAGACGCGTCTCAATTAAACCGGCTAAATGAGTTGAGCCACGGGCCGACCCCGCTGTAGTGGCTGGTGGTGTTTGCGCCACATTATCACAGTCGACGATGTTTTATGAGACGCGATGATTGACCTCTCTGACGGGAATTGCCATTTTGCGTTTTGCGGCAGACTGAAGCTGTACCTGACATTTTGAAATTCCTCAGCAACGCTCTGTGATATCAATTGGATGACGGCATGGAAGGAAGGCACATACAGTGACGACTAATACTGGTCGATCTCTTACAGAAAGAAGTACGACACTAGTTAAACAGCTCACATAAACAGAGAAGCGAAAAAAGACCAAAAAAAAAACAAGCAAGAAAAAAGCCAGTAAATCTTGGCGTCAGCCCTCAGAGGCATCGACCTGGACTTGGACACTGAGCGTGGTATCTTGCTGCGGCCGTGAGCGTTAGGCAGCGACGTAGCCAGCACTACGAATGGGTGTCTGGAACCTGCATTTCCTTTTTGGATTTTTTTACGGATACTGGTCACTTAAATCTAACCAAAAATTTAACTACATTCAGAATGTTTGCAATATCAATACCGGGCTGACGGCCCGCAGACAGCCCTGAAGCTGCCCCGCCACACCGCCACAAGCGCCCAATCGCAGCGCCATGGAAGATGGAAGCCTGGCCACCACAACAGGCATCCTTCAAACAATACAAGTTAAAAGGGGTCTTCGGGCCTCGTCTGGAGTGACTTTTTCTCGCGCTTTTTAGGACGAGACTACGAGAAAGATATCTCAATATATTGCTTACTCAACATGCAAACCGTCAACCCAGACTACTTCTTCCAATCCGAGTGAGCCTCAAATATCAAACACCCCTCATCATCTCAGGCAACTGACCTTGTCTCAGCGCCGCCAATGCCAACCGCGCGCGCAAGGCAGCCAAGTCCGGGAACAAACATGGCAACCCCATCTCCATGAAGTCCAAGATCCTGGCGGCCATCCCCGACCCTGCCGACCCCCATGGCTCAATCTTCATCGCCGAGTCTGCCGGCTTTTGCAGACGCATTAACTTAGAAGTGAGCCCTGCTACATGTACTACGCAAGACAAATGATACCAACATTGCCCAGTCTACACAAACAAAGAAAACATACAGAGGCCCGACGGCGCCCGTCACCTGCCTGGCCCTCGGCGGTGCCGGCAACAAGACGCTGTTTGCCGGCTGCTGGGACAAGGACATTTGGTCATGGGATGTAGCTACAGCGCAGCCGCAGCGCAAGTTCAGCGGCCACTCGGACTTTGTCAAGACGGTCCTCTGCGGGACGCTCGCCGGCATGCCGATTCTTTTCAGCGGCGGCGCCGACAAGAAGATCATGGTGTGGGACGCCACCACCGGCCGCCGGCTGCACACACTGCAGGACCCGGCAACCACCATGCTCGCGGTGCAGCACCTCGCGCTCGACCCGGTACTCAGCACGCCCGACGAGCTCATCCTCGTCAGCGCCAGCAGTGACCCCAGCATCCGGCGGTGGCGCATCACGCCGGCATCGGCGACGCAGCTCGCCGAGGCGTACCACGGGCGGCCCGACGCGGACCGCCCGACGGTGCAGGAGCACGAGACGAGCGTGTACCGGCTCGCGTTTGACGCGACCGACGACGACGCGGACCTGTGGACGGCCAGCGCCGACGGCACCGCCAAGTGTCTCTCGCGGGCGCGCCAGTTCGAGACGCAGGACGCGCTCGCGCACGGCGACTACGTGCGCGCCGTCGCGGTCACGCCGCGGTGGGCCGTGACGGCCGGCCGCGACGAGGACGTCAAGGTCTGGGACCGCGCGACGGGGAAGCTCTACGCGACGCTGCCGGGCCACTTTGACGAGATCACGGACCTGGTGCTGCTCGGTGCGGCGCGCGTGTGCAGCGTAAGCATTGACGGCACGATTCGCACGTGGCCGCTGGCGCAGGATGCGCTGGATGAAACGGTCAAGAAGATGCAGGAGGAGGCAGAGAGGGTGGCGGCGGGCAAGCCGGAGGAGCTCAAGGAGGAGGAGGCTGGCGAGAGCATGCTGACGGCGGAGGAAGAGGCGGAGCTCGCCGAGCTGATGGCAGATTGATACTTTTTTACGATTCTATTGAATGCCAAACCCGACGCGTTTCTGAAACAAAGTTTTCTCGAGTGACGAAAACGGTTGCGCAGATGGCAACCAAAAGCTTGGATATCAGCCCGGATCACTTCTGATCCGTGCTGTATGACTCTTGAACCTGCAGCGACCGCTTCTTTTTTCGTCGTTTGATTATCCAGGATTGACGCAGGATCCTTGATTGTGCACAGCATTGCAAACGACACGTGCGTGAAAAATGTCCGTGCTGCGGCCTGCCCTCGCGCAACACAACGACCGTGCCGTGCGCTCCTCCCAGCAGCATGATGAGGCGAAAAGTGATGAATCACAACTGGCTCATCTGAGACAACGGCAGCCTGCCGTTCTTTTTTGACTTTTTTTGGCACGATGGGACGAGAACAAGTTGGACGAGTTTCGATTGGGCAGCCACCAAAGTTTGATAACTATGTTGCCCGTCGGCGAAGAAGCAGTCAAGCGCTGCGCTGCGCCCACGCGAGCGCAGGGCTGACGTTTCCATCTCCTTGCAGAATCTGTAACACGACGGTCGACGCCATTGCCCGATTGTTGGATGCTTCGATCAGCTTTCCTTAAGAAGTTCTCTACCCCGTACTGTACATTACTCGTGGGCTGGGTTTCCTTCTATCCAACCTACCAGAAACACCGTACATGGAAATGTCCCTGATTTTCCCTCACTGCCAAGTGGGAACGGACGGGCCCATCGGACGGGAAGACAATGACTTGCATTGTCCTGCCGTCCCCATACCAGACGTTTCATGACTGTACACTAACTCTTCATGCACAGCTGTAGCTTTTCTCTTTGTTGATCGTGGACATGTCCCCCCCCCCCCCCCCCCAAAAAAAAAAAAAAAAAACGAGGTCCGCAATGTGTGACGGAAAGATCGGAAACTCCCACCACGAGTCAGAAACTGCGCGCAGAGAAGGGAGGGGAAGAAAAAACATCAAGGTCCAGCCCACGAATAGAAACAACGACCTGGCTCACCCACAAAAAGCCGCCGAGATGGCACCCCAACTGCCGAAGAAGGGGGTATGTAGTCTTTTCGGGTCATTTCTCAAGTTCCATCGGGGAGGGCCGCGATTGATTGTATGGCGCAGATGCTCCCCTTCATTTCGGCGGCGCGCAACGCAGCAAATGTCCGCCGTTGGACGTTGACGACTTCGCGGGCCGTGGCAGCAGAACAACTGGTTGATTTTTAGGCTTCGCCCTAGAGGCGGCGGCTTCCCCGGGGCTCGCTCGCCGTGCCGGGGTGAAGCTGGCCTTGTCCAAGTTGGTTATTAGCGGATGTAACCCAAGAAGGGACGTGCGAGCTGGCTTCTTTTTTCTTCGACAGGGTTGGTTTCGAGAAGCGAACAGGTTCTTCGGTGTTGAAGTGTGATTTAGAGACGGGAACCTTGAACTGGGCTCGGCTGGACCTTTTTAGACTTTTTCTTCTTCGGTTCGTTCGTTTATGAAGACAGCGGTAGTTGGAACAGGGGATGCTCGCGGCCTGCAAGCCTGGTTCCGGATTTTCGGGCATGGGGGGAAGCCTGCAACCCCCCCTTCTACTACTAATGTACAAATTACTGGGTAGCTAATAGTTCACCGCCGAACCTACTCTGGGAGAAGAAAGTTCAAGAAGGATGCATTGTGCTAACGTTACGCCACCTACCAATGCAAGCAGTGGGTTTCGGCTGCTTTCAACATGGATGCGCGGGCCAGCTCGCATAACGAAGTAGCGCAGATGGAAGGAGGGCAAGATACTATAGTGTGAGACACAGGGTTGCAGAGACATTCTGGCTTGAAAGTAGACGGGGAATTCTAGGCCCGTCTCTATAAATAAACAGGTTGCACACATGTGTCTTGGGGATTGTCTCTGAAGGCAGCTAGCCGGGAATAAAGAAACAATTCTTGAGCTTCGTCACCTCATTTTCTGTCAACATACTGGATAGTAACTATTACTGTGGATGCCACTCTTATTCCTGGTATATACGTACAGCGTCCAAGAACCACCTTTAAACGCCACGTTTTGGAGCGGAAAGGGGGACGGATCTGCCCTTTGCACAACCAACGTACATACACATCGTATCAGGAAAGCCGACGCAGAGAAGCCCGAAATTTCGGGCCTCCGATTCCACAGCCTCGCAAACGTCGTCCCCTGGTGCCTGTCACCTGGCAAGTGGGCATAATCTGCCGAGTGGGAAAAGCATCAAAGCGTCTTTTCTTGTTCATTGACAAAAACGAGGCGATGTAGATAGTGCTGATTGGCGGTCGGTCGGCCTCTTTTTCGAGACATGGGGGCCTCTTCCCTCCTCTGCATCCTGCATCCTGCATCGCAATGGAATCTTGGCTTGACCTGGAGAAGAGTGTTTCGGTGGTTGACGTTGACGTTGTCGGTTGGCCCCCAAAAAGGCGCACAATGGAACAATGAAGAATCAAAGCGTGCAGTGACGGCAGCGGAGCGGTGACTGTCCACCCCCCTGGTCGCCGAGAGATGGATGGATGAGTGCAACGAGAATCATGGGGTAATTTGGGTCGAGGCTTCGGCTCGGTGGTAAAGACGAAGACGGTGTTGGTCAGTTTTCTGGACCTCGGCGTTGCAACGTCCAATATCCAACCTCAGCCTCACACAACCCCTTTTTATGACAGATGCGAATGTGTACAGAGTTGATTTACCGGTAGCGACGTGCTGGTAGCTAGTTACATTTGACCAGTCACTTTCACATGAGCAAGTTGGCCACGGAGAAAAAAAAAAGTTCGCATGGCATGAGGGGGTCAGCCCCGTGTGCATAGTAGACCCCAAATATGCAAACAAGATGGCGAACAAGGCGAAATAAGACGGGTAATGCTGTCAGGTCTAGAATCTCGATTGTTCAGCCCACTATCAGTCATCTGCAGTATCCGCTTGATGCAGTTTCACGTCGTTTGCATGGTTTTGACAGTTTTGTATCGAAGAATGATTTCATCATGTATTTTGTCTTTTTCCTGTTGCATGTGCCGACTTGCTTGTCGCGCGCAAACGTACGCTCACAGAAGCACAGACCCAAGCAGCAAGCGATGGGGTTACATGGGAGAAGAGATCAGAGATGGCGGATATTGGGTCCGCAAAGACTGCTACTCTTTTGCTGTTTTTTTGGAAATAATGGTGATGATAAATAAAATACCCATTATACCACAATATAGATTGCGTGTGGAAATGAACATGACAAGGCTGCATGGGGCGTAACCGTAGGAATGACCCCTGCACAAATACCCCAGCCGAGCATTACTCAGCTACCAGTAATTGGTATAGCCAAGGTTATGCCAGCCGATCATGACAATGACGGGTGCTATTCAGGTATAGCCAAGGTTATGAATGCAATGATGCGTTATGAATGCAATGATGCGTTATGAATGCAATGATGCCCAGTTCCCAATCCCCCCCCTCAAGACGGAGAGGAGGGCGGCCGTTGCGACATTGATAGAGAAACAGGCAAAGGATGGAAATGCAAATGTAGATGCAAATGTAGATGCAAATTCAAATGGAAACGATGGAAAGACAATCGTCAGCAAGTTTGTTCGTTTTGACCGGGCGGATACGACGCCAAGCGAGACCGGGCAAATAACGTGGCGGGCAAATGTTGGCAACGACGTCGACGGGGCAAGAAGAGAGACATTTTCGTCGCGTCGACCGGGCAAGAAGAGAGACATTTTCGTCGCCCCTATCGAGGGTCCCTGGCTGCTGTCACGCTGTCCGCTGTCCGTTGTCCGCAAGATGCTGGGGACAAGGGCAAGCGGGTGATGATGGGGTGGCGAGTGACCGTGCGCGGCTTTTGCAAGCAATTCTGTACTGGCTATAGGTACCTAAGTACTAAAGTAGGTACCTTAGTAGGGACTGTAGTGCGAGCCAATTGGGAATGCCGGCATTGATCAACCAGGAACAGGCACGAACAACGAGTCTTTGAGACGGCTTCATTGCCCCCTCCCTCCTCTCGGTACAACCACACCTCAATGCCTGACCCTTTTTTTTCCTCCCCCCATCCTCGCTCGGTCAAGGTCAAGCTCTAGCCCAATGGTGAACGTCGGGCTGATCAGTGCGACGGGGCTCTTCCTTGCAAAAGTTGCACGCTTGGTGTGGATACAAAATGATCGTCGTGCTTGGAGACGGGTTCATTTATCATCATGCTAGCACCACCCACCCAAACCTTCATCTCATTGTTTCCCCCTTCTGGAGACTTTTTTTCTTTTTTTTTTTTCTTTCCAAACCCAAACCAAACGGTTCAAACTTCCTTTTTTTCATTCTTGTGTGTTTTTGTCTCTGGCAGACTTTCATTCTTTTTTTCCGTCTGGTCTTTCCCGTTCCATTGTCTCACGACACGCGACACAATCTCTCGACAAATCCCTCCACTGGGGGCCGTGAACAAGTCTCGGCGCACTTAGACGGCGGAGCTTGTGAGCGAAGCCGGACCAATATCAATTCTAAGCCTGATTTCCACGGCTTACTGGTAACTACCGTGTTGGCAAAAAAACACCATGTTCTGTCATGGCAATCGGATGTGATATTCAAACACTGTGATTCCGCGACAAACGAAAGACACCAAACGCAGGACAGCCGATCCCTGCAACAAACCCGCACAAACAAACCGCCACAAATACCTTCTTTTGCAACGCTCATTCGAAACAACGGGTGACGAAAAACAAAAAACAACAATCATCACCTTTTTTACCCGGCCATGGCTGACCAAACTTCGTGGACGAGCGCCATTGTCGCCCTCGAAGGCGCCCCCAAGTTTGTCACCACGCAGCTGCGGCTGCTCCCGTCAACGCCCCAGATCCTCATCCTGCCCGCCCTGTCCACCTACATCACCACCACGCTCCCGTCCTTTCTCGACGTCTACGATCCCGTCCAGCACCTGCGCCAGGTCAATGCCGCCATGAAGCGGCGTCACCGCGACGCCCAAGCCTTTCTCCGCCACAGCGCAGCCGACGGCCCGCGGCTGGTCTTCATGGACGGCGGTGCCGCGAGCGCCCGCGCCCTCTGTCTCGGCGCCCTGATGCAGCACGAGACGGCCGGTGACCGCGCTGCCGCGGAAGCGCTGCTGGGCCGGCTCACCCGTCGCGGCCTGGGGGGCCTGGCCCAGGCCGGCCACGAGCAGCGCGCCCACTCGGCACCCATGGTCTATTCCGTCCGCCACCTGCACGACGTGGACGAGTCGTCGGACCCTGGCACGCGGGCGATGCGTGCGGCCGACGCCCTGGACCGCCAGACGGCCAGTCTGCAAGTCTCCAACGAGCTGGATCTCACCACACGCCACCACAGCCTGTCGCGCGCAGCGAGCCTGCCGGTGCTGAGCGCCGCCGCAGCTGGTCTGGACACGCCGGGCACAAGTGCCGAGCCCTTCTTCGTCTTTGGCCACTCGTCGTCGTCGTCGCTGTATGACTGCACGCCCACCACCGAGCGGCCGCGGCCCCCTGCTGCCCAGTCGCCGGCGCTGGCCCCGCCGCGCTTTTCCGTCGTGCATTATGACCAGCACGCCGAGTTGCCGTCCGTGTTTGGCTTTGATGACTTCCCCGCCGCCAGCAGCTGGTCCTCTGCTGAAGACGGTGAAATCACGCCCCGGTTACGAGACAGCACCATTACCACCACCACCACCACCACCAACACCAACACCAGTGCGGCAGTCCATCGTCGCTTTGCCAGCAACCCCATCTCGCCCATGTCCGACGCGTTTAGCATGCGCTCTTCCGTCGGCAACGTGGAATACGGCCGGGCCTCGCTTCTGCACATGCGCAGAACCACGTCTGTGCGCGGCGCCGGTGGTGATGGGTTCTTGGGCGCCGTTGGCGTCAAAGCGGCCATAGTGGGCACCACGCATGATACCACGCCCAAGCTCCTCAGCCGGCACGCTACCGCTGAAACAAGGCGGCCTGAATATAATAACGCCCTGGCCGCCACCCGCCAGCAGTTTGTTGTTGGCCAGAGCATGGCGCCCGTACTCAAAGAAACATTGTTGTCGTCGTCGTCGACTGGCGGTGGCAGCATGACGTATCCCCTCACGCGCGTGCCGTCGACCACGACACGGCCCAGGACCATTTCCGTCAAGCGCACACGGCCCGTCATCAAGCTGCAGCCTGTCCCGAGCACAAAGAAGCGTCGATGGCAGCAGGGAAAGTCGACGTATATTGACGACGAGGCCGACGTCGTACCAGCCGCCCCTACGCCACCGCCCGAGGACGACGCTGACTATGAGCCCGTCTTCCCTCGCATGGAGGACCTCGTCTTGTTTCTTCGCTCTGAACTCACACCCCAGCCTGTCCTCGAATCCGCCCTCAACGCCATGCGCGAAGAGTACATGCGCAAGTCGGTCACCTGCTGTTCCTCCGCCAGCTCCTCCTCCTCATCCTCCTCCACGCCCAGCTCCAAAGCTCGTAGCAGCGGCTCCTTCAAGTCGCTGACCGACGACGGCACCGCAGGACTCACATCCCCCGAGGAGTCGTGCACCGAGCTTGATGATGACCAGGTAACGACACCCAGGACGGCTGTGAAAATGACTGAGGCCATGCCCAGCATGGACGACTACGACCCCTTTGCCTACATTAACCCCGCGTACGGCGCCTCCACCCACTCCAGCAAGCCGTCGCAGGCGAGCGTCGCCGTCGTGCACCCGCCCACGCCGGCGCAGACGCCGCCGCCCGAAGAGCTTGTCGAAGCTGACTCGACCGAAGTCGCTTCCATGGCCGCGGAGTCGCAGCCAGCGGACACGGAGAAGGAGGTGATTGAGGAACTCGACTGCAGCATCCAGGAAGTCGTCGTTGAGCCCAAGCAACCGCCAGTTGAGGTGCAAAACTCGATCCGCGACGTCCTCTACCGCCGCTACCCCGTCGCGGCCAAGGGCTACGTGTCTTCATTTCAGTTCCCGGCGCCGCCGACTGCCAACGACGACGGCCTGTGGCGGCCGCTCTTTCGCAGCCGCAAGACGAGCAGCCTACCTGCCGTTGGCGTCGACGGGCACCTGCTGCCGCCGACGCAGCTCAAGCAGATTCTGGCCGTGGGTCTGCAAAACGGCATCAAGCGCGAGTACGCCGCGCGTGTCATCAGCCAGATTGAGCGGTTCGGCACAGAACCGACCGGTGCAGCGCGCTGCACGCGCTTAGATTTCCGCTATCTGCTCGCCAACACCATGCAGTCCTTTACGTCGCAGCCCCTCCGCTCCCAAATGGCCGAGAACCCGTTTGGCAGCCCGCAGCTCCTCGCCGCCCGTCTCCTGCCGCACCTCGAGACGTACCTGGCCATGCACGCTGACATTCGCTTCCTCATCCTCGAGTACCCGCCCGAGCACCTGGCCACCATTATTGCTCTGCAAAAGCTCGCCAGCGTGAACCTCATCAAGATTGCGCAAATCGTCGATGCCCGCAGCAAGGAGCGCCTGCCGTTTCGCCAGGTCCGCGCCGGCTCCGTCAGCAGCGGCAGCGGTAACTCGGCCAACTCGGGCGGCTCGTCTATCTACTCGCGGCGCACCACCTCGCTCACCAGCAACAGTCTCTCGGTCGAAGCGTCGGATGCGAACCGCGCCAAGGCCAACTTTTTACTGACTTCGTCGGCGTCAGGCAAGGATATTGCCGACTTTGTAGCAGCGGTGTGGAATGTGCCTGTGCCGGACCGTCCGCAGACGGCACCAGAAGCTGCTCTTCCTCCAGCTGCCAGCGCGCCCCCGTCTCTGGCTGCTTCCGACGACGATGAGCGGCTGCCGCTAGAATCATTCCCGCTGGAACTACCAGCGACGTCTTCGCCGCCTACGCCAGAAACATCGCCCGTGCAGCGCAAAGCCAAGCCCCCACCGCTGCGCGTGAGCGCCCTGTCAGCGTTCCCCAAGCCGACGGGCCCGCAGAGCCCGCTGACGTCCTCGGCCAACATGCTGTCCGTGCTCGCTCCACCATCGACCATGACGCCACCCACATCCAGCAAGCAGGAATACCACTCTTCATCACGCACGCCCAGCCCCGAACAGCAGCAGCAGCAGCATGTGGTTGCTCGTGTGAGCGCTGTCGGGACCAGCACGCTGCACCTCCGTCGGCAGCTGAGCAACAGCACCATGCGCACCACCAATAGCGGCATGTCGGCCGTCTCGCGCGCCTCTACGCCGCACATTGCCTCTATGCGCAAAAACGCACCCCCGGCGCCCAGCACGCCCAGCCGGCTGTACAATCCCTCCATCCCGCCGTCGCCCTCCATTCACCAGCAGCAGCCACAGCAGCAGCAGCACCAGCACCAGCAGCACCAGCAGCAGCAGTACTACCACCACCACCACCACCACCACCTGTCGCAGCTGGCACCGCCGCCGCGGTTCCTCGACTCTCTCTCGTCATCCATGGCCGGCTCCACGCTGCTCGACGACGGCGCCTCGTCCATCATGACGTTTGACCCGGCCGAGGACAGCGACTACGACCAGGAGGAGAGGAGGCTGATGCCCTTTTTCGGGAAAAAGAGACGGCGCGTCAAGCCAGGCACGCAAAAGGCGCTCCGGGTCCTGGGCATGATGGCATGAGTTTTGAAAATAAAAGTGTGTATACGGTAATTACTAATACCGGGCATGTACAAATCTACATTCACTTCTTGTTGACAAGTTTTCCTTATTTGTTGGTTGTTTAAAGAAGAGGCTGAGGGTGAAAGGACGCTTCTTCCATGTACATAGCTTCTTTTTTTTAACATTTACGAGCGCTTGTTCTTGTTATTTTCTGTTAGAATACCTTGTTGTTTAGAAGACTCTTCACAAGTCGGCCAATGCCGATTTCTCCTTGTCTTTGTTCTCCAACTATTGTCAGTCCGATGAGCGCATGTGCTTGCATTGCATTCTTGAAGAGAAATGAAATGAGCAATAACCTGAAACAAGCGCCATGACGAACCATCAGCTGCCAAAACCTTAAAAAAAAAATCCCTTCGAACCCGCATTCTAATTATAGTGTTGCCGAAATGAGCAAGCCCTTGGGCCGATGCGCCTGAAACGCGGACACGGACCCAGGACGTGATGGCGGTTTGCTCTTGCCCGAAAAAGAACAAAAACATCAGCCCGCAATCAACATTAGAAAAACTGCCCGAGGTGGATGTTGATGAAAGAAAAGAAAAAGTTTATTTGGTCTGCTCATTTCCCGCACAAACAACCAACATGATTCAGCTCAAGCTCAGCTTCTGTATTTATGTGGCCTGATCGCGTCTCCCTGGTTCTCCATCTTGACTGACTACCAGCTGTGAAGGAATACCGCAGTCGTATTATTTTCTGCAGTCGTTTCTTCTCATACTCGCCCAGAAGATATTCATGACCCCATTGCTGTCTCCGCGCAGCTCCCTGCATCCCACGTTTGCTCTGGCACACACAAGTTTGGGGTGGGCAAGTTCATGTAATTTTTCGTTCTATACGCAATTGCGGCGACAAGATGGAAATGGCAAGGGGGAAAAAACCCAACAAAAGAGGACGGGGAAACAATAAGCTGGAAAAAAACAGAAACCCGGGAAAACTATGAAAAGTCATGACAAAGTCTGTCCACATTATCCACAACCTTGCGCAACTAATCTTCTCTTCTCTCTTCTCTCCCGTCAGATACTCGTCGAACCATGTTGTGCCGCGGCGGGCGGCCTCACATGGCCATCATAAAAACACATTCGTCTAGCAGCAGCTGTTGCTCGAGTTGTTGCCAACGCCTTGGCCCTGGCCGACCTGTACGCTGGGCTTGGTGTTGTTGGCGGCCGTGGTGCCCATGCGCTCCTTGATCTGGCGGGCCATGGTCAGGAAAGCCTGCTCGACGTTGCTGGCATTCTTGGCCGAGGTCTCGAGGAAGGGGATTCCGAGGGAGTCAGCGAATTCCTGCGGTTGTTAGTACGATGCAGGTGGCAGGCGACAACAAATAGGCGTCATCGACACAACGAGGGTGAATCATACCTTGGCGACAGTGTACTCGACAACCTTCTTATCAGACATGTCGCTCTTGTTGCCGACCAGGAGTTTGTTGACACCCTCGGTGGCGTAGCGGTCAATCTCCTGGAGCCATTGCTTGACGTTGTTGAAAGAGTCCATGTCGGTCACATCGTAAACGACGCAGATGCCGTGGGCACCACGGTAGTAGGAGGATGTGATGGTGCGGAAGCGTTCTTGGCCGGCGGTATCCCACTACATCGGTTAGCATCTAGCAGACGCGTCTTCAGCGCATCAACTACGTACAATCTGGAGTTTCACAGTCTTGCCATCGAGCTCGATGGTGCGGATTTTCTATCGATATAGTTAGAATGTCGGCATTTCCCGACCCAAGAAGGAAGAGGCTGGGACGCACGAAGTCGACACCGATGGTGGAAATGTAGGACTCGGTGTAGGTGTCATCAGCGAAACGGAGCAGCAAGCAAGACTTTCCTACACCAGAGTCACCGATGAGGAGCAGCTTGAAGAGGTAGTCGTATCTGCGGGCAGTTGCTTGGTTAGCCGTGATTCCTCGGGTATGCGCAGGCATCACGTCGTTTCATCGGCGCGTTTGCCATGCATCGTGCATCGGGACGCCGCAACGGTGCGTGAAACAAAGGGTCGTGAAGAAGCGCTCGCATCGTCTCGATCATCGTTGTTCGTTGGGCACACTCTGCAAGTTTGATATATCAGCATGGCGTTTCGAGGGTTCAGGGGACAGCGCGCGGAGCGGTGGAGCCTAGGCGTACTACTCAGGGTTCATGGTGACGGCCGTGAGGAAACAAAAAAAGATGAAAACGGTGGTAAATGGTAGTGCGGGTGAGTGCTCGACGAGATGGCGACGAGCGGCAAGGTTTGGAGTTGGCGAGGAGGCGGACGGAGAGGCGGACGGACGAAGAGGATTGTTGTTGATGTTGCGAAAGATGATCAGGCGTGGAGTTATTAGCGTAGCGTACGTCAGGGAAAGGCAGAGAGAGAGAGAGAGGTGAAGTGGTGCTGTCCTGAAGGTGGGCAGCCAATAGCGCCGGAGGCTGCTGGGTCACGTGAAGTCGGTGGTTGGTGCCTGGTGGTGTCGGGCGTTTGGGAATGATTGGAGAGCGGGGGACGGCAGGGTGATGATCCGTCAAAGCAGGTAGTACTGTTGGCAGAATTCAGTAGAATATTCTTGTAAAATTGCCTTGTACATATGTGGCGTGCAATGGGAGAGAAGAGGCTGCACTTTGATGATACAACCTGGTGACTTGATGGCTCCGAATGGCACCGAGCCTTTTGTTGGGACCTGCATGTGATGCGGCTTAGACTAGTGCCTAGCAGATGACGAGGTATCAGAGTGTGAATAAGTGCGATTTGCGGTTACATCAGTATTTGTTCCAAGATCGATGTTTCCCGTGATTCTTTTTCACACCCAGCTGTGTGGATTAAATATTCTCGTGATGCCTGCTGTTCCGGCTACGAAGTTCACTGGCCGCCTACAGAGAGAGACTCCACTATGGGTGCCTAGGTAGGTACGTGCCTGGATTATCCAGCAGCCTAGTATTATCAACCATCTGGAAAGAATCGCATATTATTCAATATCAATATTACACACGGCTGAAACACAGTCGACAAACAAGCCATCACCTCCCTAGGCCTCTGACTCGACGCAACAGCGCCTCGCAACGGTGCAACCCACCATAAGCAGATCCGTCTCCACCACAACGCTGCAGTTGAACCAGCCGCCCGCCAGCGGCGGAAAAAGAGCCAATCCGGGCCTCGCGTTTATGTTGGTCACCAACTTTTTTTTTCTCCCTCTTCCTTCCCAACCCCAGCCATCATCAGCCTTGCATGCGTTTCTTTCCGGACAGCCCCGGCGTTCTTCTTCTTCTTCTTCTTCTTCTCTCATCCCCCGTCTCTCTGGCCTTTTGATCCCGATCCTCATGCGCTGATAGTTTTTATACCAAACCTCATGTGCGCGCGCTGACACATACCATACTGAACAAGAAGAAAACTACATGGCCGCGCTGCTGGCCAAATCGCTCCCCAAGGCCCGCCACCTGCCCACATCACGCCCGCGATGCATAGCCAGCTCTAGCCACGCCAAGGCGCAGGTGCAGAGCATCTCGCGCTCTGCCACCACAACCACCCCGCCGCCGCCGCTTCCATCATCTACTCTGCCCGCGCCGGATCTCGTCGCCCGCGGCGCGCTGGTCCGACGGGCCGGCCGGCTCTCCCCGACGTACTTCAAGGTGTCCGGCCAGACGTGGATGCCGCTGGACGGCGGCCAAGAACCTGTCGATCCGAACAAGGCCAAGCTTGGAAAGAGTATGTTTTCTCTCCACCGTTTTCCTGTCAAAGCACACAATCAGTCTGCTTCACCCTCAAGCTAACACACACAGCCCTCCGCATCCTCCAAGACCGCATGCCTACGCTCCTACAATCCCCCCTCCCGCAGGAGATCCTCGCGCCAACAATCACACTCCAGCTCTTCCCCTCGACGCACCCGCACCTCCCGACCGTATCCGGCCGCGTGGCCTACACGGCCGCCCTTTGGAGCTCGCCCATTGCCTGGAACCGCGTGCCCCTCGTCGGCAATGTACGCCTGGAAATCCTCGCCGAGCGCATGACCGCCGAGCCCCTCACATTTCTCCCCCGACGCCCCGGCGCCGCCCCCGACCAGCTCGTCGTACGCTGGCGCGAGATGCCTGGCGGCATTGCCCGCTCCCTCCGCCTCACGCGCGGCGGCGACCCGGAAAAGGCGTTTACGGGCTTGTTCATCTTCGACTTTGATCACGAGGGCCGCGTCCTCACGCACACCATTGAGACGACGCAGGCGGGCGGGGACTGGGAGCGCGGCGTGGGCGCCAAGTTTGTCGGGCTCACAGATTGGTTGCTTGGGGGCATTCAGCGCGAGCCGGGAGGCACACCGCCGATGCCCATGTTTGAACGGCGGACACGGACATGAGCTGACTTGCATAGCTGATACTTTGTGACTTTTCGGTACAATATTCCCCTCTGGCGTTTGGTACTTAGCGACATTGTTTTCTCGGGTGGTTGGTCTTGTACACTATTACGGCAGCGCGCCCCTCTCTCCCAGCTATCTTTGCATAATGAAGATGTTTGTAGGAAGGTGACTTGAACATGGATTGTGTCGACGGTTAGAACTTTGTGAACAAGGGGGTAAAGGAAGCTTGCTTCGTAAACGCGTATGGATTAAGCAACTCTATGATGCATCGTGAGCTCCAAAATCAACCCCTCTCCTCCCCTCACACAAGAGGAAAGCGGGCCAGCCATCCAGGGCATTTCACAATATTCTGCCCGAGGCCTTGGTGTTTTTTTCATTGCTTAAAAAACACGGCTCCAAACAGGAATAAATCCATGAGCTCTTGAAAAAGAAAAAAAAGGAAAACCGCCACCCTTACAAGAGAACAATCTCGCCCGCAGCATCACCCTCAAAGCCCAGCTTGGCCAGCTTACGCGCGCGCGCCTTGTCGCGGCTCCGATCGCGCGCCCTGGCCTCGTCCGCGAGGCGCTTGACCAGCGCCACCTCGCCCTGCTCGTACCCCGGGGGCGGGAGGTCGTCCCGGTCCAGGTCCATCTCACCGAGCAGCAGCACGTTCTCGCCGCGGACGAGGAAGATGCCGTGCAGGATGTCGGCGTACAGCCCGCGCGGCGGTGCTGTGTCGGAGGGAGCGGCGTCGGAGGGCTGTGGTGGTTGCAGGGCAAAGAGGCGTTCGGTGGTGGATTGCAAGACAATATTGGCTGAGGGGACACAAGAAGAGTTCGGTCTTCGTCAGTTTGGGGGTGCTGAAGGGGGGGGGGGGGGTTCGTCCCGCTTGGAGATAAAGGGGGAAAAGAAGGCGCGGAAAGATCGTACCGAATTGGTCCCAGCTTCGCAACACGCCAACGAGTTTACGCCCGTCGCGTAGCACCACCATGAGCTTCTCTGCAACACGCACCGGCGCTCGTCAGCATTCTTTTCCTCCTTCTAGCCATTCTTCCTTGCAGACCAACATACTGTCCGTCAGGTCGAGGAGCTGCGCCGCCGTCGTAAACATTTGCGGCGGCAGCTGCGCGGGCGCCGCTATGCCTGGCCCTCCTCCCTGTTGAGGCGGCGGTTCTGAGATGCTGAGGTTCTCCATAGTTTCCCGACCCTTTTATATGTGTCTATTTGCTACTTTCTCGGCAATGAGCGAGTCTTGCGTGTGGCGGCGTAGGTGCGTTCTCGAGATTCGGCGAATTGTTGTTATAATCGCATCGTAGGTCGTTAATGGTCGCTGTGGCGGGTATGAAGATCGAATCCTTGTCCTCCACCAAATGCGACTCGTTACCGCGAACAGTAGTGGTGATTATCGATAGCGTATCATCACGTGATTCAGTCTGTGCTCTACTGATAAGGAATGCCAGCGGCTTGTCCTTTGGTTTTCTTTTCTGGTTTCGGTTTTTGGTTACTTTGGCGGGGCATTTCTCTTCAGGCGCAAAACGAACATATCAAAGCCGCCGATTGGGTTTGTCCCAGCAGATGGTTTATACAACGCACACATCCCTGCTAACATCTCCGGATATCAGCTTCGACTGCTCCATACGCCCTACACCACATGCATATTCTACGGCAATTCAATGTTTCTTCTTCACGATTAACTGCCGTCTGCTCAGCTCGAGGTGTGTAAGCCACACAACAGACAAAAGCTGAGTGTGCCTCGAAAACGAGGGCGGGCGCCCAGAGGTGCTTGACTCGCCGGCCTCCCGGAGCCGGCCATTTCTCACGCGACTTGCCCCAATCCCCATTTGTTTCGACACCAGGAAACGCCGAGCACACCCGTTGAGCTAAAAATGGCTCGTTCATTTTGCCTTGCTGGTCAGGCACTTGGCGTGTGCCACGTAGCCAGCAGCAAGTCTCGTCCTTTTGTATTTTCGTCTCATCTATAAACGTGTGTAAAAGGAAACGAAGAAAAAACAGGTCCATGCCCTCTCCAGGACGCAACGTAATAGGGGCCAAGTTGGAAAAAGTCTAATGCTGTACCTAGCTTTGAGGTTCCACTCCCGTAGAGGCTCATGTGCCTCGTCCGAGAGAAATAAATGCAGTCAAGATCGAATTGTATATTACCCGCGTAGCCTGTGACGGGCCATGCGTGTCATTTTTTGCCCCCAGATCTATCAAATAAATAACCCTTCCGCCGAACAACGCCGTGTAATAAATGCATCTGATTGTTTTGGGTAGTTGTCCTGCGTCCCACACAGGATTGACTGGATGAAAAGAGTTGCTTGCCCTGTTTGGAGCATGGCCTCATTGATAGTCATGATATATTTGCAGCCATGAGCAAGCAATGGCAAGCAATAGCACGTCAAAGAACTTGGTCATTGACACGGTGTCGTGGTTGTTCGGGACTACAGCCTCTTAATGGCTGAGCGATTCAAGGCCTCTTGCAGCTCGGGTCGGGTTGAGAGTTCCTCAATGGCCTGAGAAAAGGTGAACCACTTGCGCTCGCGCTTATGGCTCTCGGGCCATTCCTCATACTGGCTGAGGACGGTGCCCTGGAAGAAGTGATACTGGCTCTGGTCCTTGGACATTTTGGGAGGGCGCAACTCCTCGATAGTGCCGAGTTCAAACTCAACCTCAATAGTGATGCCGGCCTCCTCCCAAGCCTCGCGGACGGCGGCCTCCTGGCACGACTCGTCAATTTCCCAGCCGCCCTTGGGCAGTACCCACCCCTTGCGACGGGTTGACTGTATCAGGAGGACGAATTCCTGGTCTGGCGAGAGGGGGACGACACCGGCGACGAGCCTGAAGCCTTTGGAGTTGTAGCCTGGGAGAGTTAGCGGGATTGCGTCAAGCACGTGGCGGAGTGCGCCGAGCTGATGAAGCATCCGAGACTCGCATATTGTGTCAAAGAGATGATGTGATGAGCGACGCCGGGCGCAGTATACTGGTGCATGCACAAATGTGCTAGCGGCAGCCTGGGTCTCAGGCTGTGACTCTAAACCCAGGGGCGTGCTGAGAGAGTGATACGCGCGCAGCGGATGTGCTGCATGTAGTGCGGGTGATGGTGACGGTAACGCAGGGGACCGCAAAGACTTACGTTGTTTACTTCTGCCAACTCGCGACTCCATGGACCGTCCGTTGGCCTCTGTAGAATTTGACCCCGACATGATGAAAGCGGTTTTTCCTGTGTCTTTTGTGTCGTTTCGGATGGAGAGAGTGGTGGCGTTTGGCGGTCTTGCGTTCGTCGGCAGCTGTGGCGCAACACCCAGTAGGCCCTGGCACCAGTAGGTTCAGCTTTGGTCAAGAAAAAAAAAGATTGAAAACACCAAAGGCCGGGAGATGGGGATTGCGACGTGCGTGGATGCGCAGGGAGCGATCAAAGAGTATCGAGCTGCATGATGATGGTGCAAGGACGGTTTTGAGGAATGAAGGTATGTTTTCTTCAGAGAGTTTAGAAGGATGCCCAACGAGATTCCGGACTGCCGGAGGGCAAGTTGGTGAGAAGAGAAGGAGAAGGGACAGGAGAAGAAAAGGGCTGGCGGGAAGGGTTAGCGGGCGAGCTGTGCGAGGGAAATGGCAGTGGGCAACGACAGTGGTTGAGTGATTGAGAGGTGGGCAGAGACAGTGGGCAGACAGTGGACAGCGGGGGCAAATTGCGGTGCTTCTAGTGGACAAGTCGCCTGTACAGACTCCAGTGCCGATGCCTGCATTTACCGTCTCTAGGTACCTAGGTAGATGGGGTAGATCTATCGATCATGGATTCTGAATCACTCTCTACTCGACCCCTTTGCTGGTGTTCTTTTCTTTGATTTTTCAACTTACCATTGCGTACATTTCGTTGCCGTGGTCGTTGGTGTTTGCCGAAACTCAAGCCCTTTCTAGCACTGCGGTGTAATAAGGCACCTAATAAGAGCAACAGTCGCTGTGGAGTCGTTGCTTTAGGGGTTTTCAGAGGGGCAGAGGGTCCGTCCCTCGATGCATGTATCTGTTTCTCGGACTTGAGGTTTTTTCCTGTCTTTCTACTACTCGAGAAGAATTAGCTTGATCAAAAAGTCAATAGAAGACAGCCAAAGAGGCTGGTAAATAGACGGTCAGCCAAGTAAGTCAACGGAACAGTTCAGAGACAGATCGCTTGCATGGGGTACTTCTCGGTTGCAGAGTCGTGATGCCCTCCAAAGTCTGCGTCGCTCGTCTGGCACCGCGCACGTGGGCAGCTCCCACTCGTAGATTTTCGGTGGTCCGTGGCGTCGTCGCGGCGCTAACAATGACGCACCTCTACCGTCCTTTGCCTGCTTACCTACCGGCGACTTTGATGTAGTTATTTGAGCGTCTCGAGACCGGTGCCACAGCAGGGCTGAACGAGTTTGAAAGTGACTGACTAGGTAGGGGATTGAGGTTAGGTTTCAAGTCGGCGTTGCACGGCGCAAGCGGAGGAGCCTTCTTATCTTAGCCAAAAATTCCCTATCACACCTGGCTCGCATTGTCCTAGGTACACTGCAAAACTGTGCAGCTTTTTCTTTGCCTCTTCAACCTCCAGCCTCACCCCGGACGCCATGTCTTGCATCGCAACGGCTGTCTCAGCACCCAAGAGGGCAATCCGCGTCGAGATGCCTCTCTCTCTCTCGGTATGCCCTTGAAACCCCAGCATTTCACTTATGAATACGTCAACAAGCGCGCCTCTCTGCTACAGTATCCAATCTCGCTGACCGAGGTGGTGCCTGCGCTGCAGCAGGGCCGGTTGCTGCGACGCCACCATCCATCTCGAACGCATGCAGGCCAAGTGGACATTTTCACCGATGAAATCTGCAGGGGCCAAGTGGCAAGGTCAGCGAGTTGGCCAAGGGTTCGGGCTTGGTTCTTGAAGGGGCGGGCTAGCCTGGTTTGCCAGTCGGCGTCGCAGCTGGAGTGGCTCTTCTTGTTGCATCCAGCCAGCCCATTCTCACGTGGATGCATAACGCTAGACTCTGCTGGTGGCGCGGGCAGAGTAACTCGACCTGCCTACTATGAACGACCAGATCCCTGGGGACGCCACCGGGAAGGCTGCGGTGTTGCCGCGCGAGGTGGGCGGTCAGAACGAATGACAGATGCCAGCGTGGCGAGGACGGCATCCTGTAATGTTAGGTAGGCAGCTAAGATGCAAAAGACTGGTTAGCAACAGGGTCCGCTGGGTGCTTTCTTCTAGAAAGCTTCGACATGTAAGCGGCATTCAACTCCAAATACAACTCATAGGTTCCATCTCCGCATGGTGCCGAGGAGCCAACGCCATGACGGCACGACACCGCCACTTTAATCACTCAACCATGGCATCTTGAATGCGTGTCATCTTATAGAATGAAAGCCGGTTTATTGGCTCTTTTGTCAATGGCATGATCGGCGGACCACCGTCAGGTATCAGCCGGCGCCGTTCCTATTTGGCTGAGGCCATCCTTCCAGTTCAACACCGCTCGGCTCAGAACCACGACAGCAAGCATGAACAGTCGGGCCCATGCAAAGAGGAGTCATTCATAGACCCGCCAAGTTTGTCCACTGGTTTGTGGAGGGGTAAGGCTCCTCTCCGGCGACAGGCCGCACGCCAGATGTCGCGTCTCGGCCATAGAGTTGAGCACGTACAGGCACATGTTTACGGGTAGCCGGAGCCATGCTGTCAGACAGGCCCGGTACCGGGATTCCGTCAAGCACAGTAGAGGATACAACTCCACGGGGTGCGCTGTTCGATATTGATGGAGAAGGAATGGCTTGCAGGGTGTGTTGTTTGGTCCGTGGTGCTGAGAATGGCATCATGACGATTGGGCAAATGACCCCTCCATTATTAGAAGCATTGGAATGGCGGGGTAATTTCGGTCAGGCAGCGGGGTAGGCTGTCTGGTTGAGTGCTGAGAGAGAGAGGTAACTCTGAGCAGCACGCTTGTGGCAGTTGGGCGACGATTTGCTCAGATGTACTTGCGGCCCACTGGAGGCAGGCACAAGAGGTAGGTACGCAACGCTGCAGCCTGCTGCTTCCAGTTGTGTCAATTATTAATTACAGCGCCCTCACCTGCCTGTATTTCATCTCTAGCAGCCTTTTCAGCGCTAAAGCCATCTTCTGCTCACCACCTGAGCAATTCTGCCGCTTTTTGGCCGCCGCCCGACTTCATCATCATTCAATTTAATTTGTACATCAACATCGCATCACTTATCATCACCATCGCCAATCACCGTCCGCTCCAACCCTTCACTCGCTGCGGGCCTCCCCTGCTCGCTGCTCCTCTTCTCGAGTTTCCGCTGGCTACCCCGGCTCTCATTTTTAAAGCCGCATATAGGTACTGCCCACAACACGCCGGAATTCGCCTCTGGACTTGCGTCTGTTGGGCCTCGCCGCCAGCTCATCTGGTGCATCGCCGTCACTAAGACGCCCACATCATCTGTCACTGCAACCACCCCAGCCCCGAACATGCCCACGTCGCCCGTCTTCCTCTCCGAATTACAACCTACTTGCTTCCTAGCTTCCTGCCTAGCTACTTAGCTAGCTGGTCACGTTTGCTCGTCACCACTACCCAGACAACGCCCTTTTTCACGCAACGGCTTGCCTTTTCAGGCTTACAATCATCGCCGGTCCAGATGTCTGCAATGCAATTCGTCGACATCCCGCCCCATGGCGCACTGACAGACGCCTACGAACTTGTCTCCCCAATAGGTACGTGCCAGTCTATGTTTCCTATTTTCTACTCGGCACTTTTTCTTTTCCACATCGTTGGCGCCCGATGCCTGCAAGCCTAGTCTCCCCACGTGCTTCTATCAAGACCTTTTGTTGGCTCGTCAGGATGCTCGGTCTTCGCCTCAACTACATCGCGTGCACTGCTCATTAGTCTGCTTGCGCCATCGTCTTTTATTTTGCTACGCTACAGTATTTCCTCTCTTGGAAAATCCGCACTAATGTCCACCACTTCTTTCCCGGACCGGTATCCCCGGGTCGCTCCATTGTCCACATGCACTACCGGCCGGCAGTCCGCATCAAGCAAAGCCGGTCACGGTCCGGACTATGTTACGCCACGATGCTCTTGTCCACGTACACTTTTTCTATCCAGCCTCGTCATATCGTATACTGATAGTTCCGCCGTACCCGACTGATGCTAATGTATCCTCCGAACTAGGCTATGCTACACAAACCCGTTGCGGCTATTGTTCCGGCAAAGACCGGCCGCCGGCTAAGCGTAAAGATCCCTCTCTCGCTTGCGCTATTGCTGCTAGTCGTGCTCAAGCCCGTCGTCGTGGTATGGTGCGCGCGAGGCATATCCAGGCCAGTCCACTGACATCATGTAGGTATATCGTACTACGCCAATGCCGCGGCGCTAAGCCCAGCGTTTTACCAGACCCTGCTAGATCGTTATTGGAGACGGTCAGGCAAATTAATGTATCGTCCAAATCAAAGAGACTCTTGCTGCCCACACTACACGATTCGCTTAGACTCGACAGAGTTTAAGCCGTCGCGCGACCAGCGGCAGACGATAAATCGCTTCAATTCCCACGTACTTGGTGATGAGTACGCAAAGGAAGCATCTCGACGCCATCCAAGAACAAAAGAAGAGTCAAAACGGCGAAACAACGAGTTCAATTTGTTGGAGCGAGTTCATGAAGCAGAGTATGGCAGGCTGAAAACGCCCCCAGAACCTGCTCATAAACTCGAAATCACTCTAGAAGAGGATAACTTTACCGAAGAAAAGTTCGCCGTCTTCGATAACTATCAGAAAGTCATTCACAAGGATGATCCTAGTGAACGAACGCGAAAGTCGTTTACCAGGTTTCTCTGCAGCTCTCCCCTGCGTCGCCACACCGAGACTCGTTCGGATGGCACAAAGAAGCGGCTGGGCTCGTACCATCAATGCTACCGACTCGATGGCAAATTGGTGGCTATCGGGGTGCTTGATTTGTTACCCCAGTGTGTGAGCTCTGTGTACTTTTTGTACCACGAGAGCATCCACAAGTTCAGCCCGGGTAAGCTTGGTGCTCTGCAGGAAATTGCGCTCGCCAACGAGGAAGGCTACCGATGGTGGTACCCCGGCTATTACATCCACAGCTGCCCCAAGATGCGTTACAAGATGGATTTCGCCCCCCAGTACATTCTCGATCCTGTTACGTTGAGTTGGGATCCCTTGGACAGGACTGTGCTTGCACTGCTGGATAAGTCGCCTTTTGTTAGTCTATCTCAGCACGATACTGCCGGAGATGCTGTGCCAGAGGGCCAGCAAAGCGTTCTTCTCGATTCCAGAAATCAGGATGAGGCTGATACCGGTGAAGACGATCCGGATGATGGTATCGAGCGGTCGCTCTTTGCTGCCAACATGCCAGGAATACCCACACTGTCTGAGATGGAAACTGTAGACATGGATAACATTCGTGTCTTGGGACTGTCACCTGTATTTCTATACCGCATGTCTGATCTTGTAGGTTGGGATGACTGTACAATCTACGACTGGCCCAATATTAAGGCTCGCATGGCTGAGCTGGTCGGTGCCATGGGACCAGACACTGCATCGAAACTCTGCATAGATATTATGCGTCGGGGATGAATGAGGCATGACACAATATAGACTGTAATAGATGAGTATAGAGCCTCAAGATATTACCGATTCTATATCCGCGAGAAAATTGGCATGCCGCATTATTAAGTGCTCTAGTAGAAGTGTAGGGTATAAGCTGAGACTTCCAAGCATATGATGGGAAGGCTCCTCGTTGCGGGAATATAGGGTTTTCGAGCCTTGGAATAAATGGTCTGTTATAAGATGTCCTGATACTATTTTCTCTCACCCAGTCTGCTTTTTTTTCCCTTTTGTTTAAAATTGTGTTGTAATCTCCTCGTCACGTATGTAATGCCCCCGCGCCAACAGCACCACATCTGACCGAATTAGGACAGCTCCATCGAAACTTTCCGAAAACTTTTGGACTACCCTCCACCAAAAACAACCGCAACGAGGCGCAATTGAACATTGACGCATCTTCCCAGCCCGCTCGAGATCTCACCGAATCCCCATCCATTATCCGCCTAGCCACAACTGCGCAACACCCTCACGCAGCAGCCCAGCCAACAACCCGCCCGCCATGGCGACGCAGCAAGCGCTCTTCTCCCCCGCGGAGCTCGCCTACCTGCACAGCTCGCTGAGCCTGCGACCGCCGATCCGGCCCGACGGCCGGGCGCCGACGCAGTTTCGCCCGCTAACGGCCGAGACGGGCATCCTGCCGGGGACGCACGGCAGCGCGCGCGTGTGCTTCGCCGACGGCACCGAGGCGATTGTCGGCGTCAAGGCCGAGATGGAGCGCACGGCAGAGGGGCGGCGCGTGGGCGCCGAAGACACGCTTGAGGCGAGCGAGACGCAGCGAGCGGGCGCGGCCGCCGAGGCCGAGGCCAGGACGCGCCAGGGCCGCGAGGACTGGCTCGAGATGACGGTGGAGATTCCCGGCCAGCGCGACGACGAGGCGGCGACTGTGTTCTTGGCCGAGATGCTACGGGAGGCCTTGCTGGCGGATGGCGAGTTTGCGGGCAAGTTGTGGATTAATCGACGCTTTCACTGGCGTTTGTACCTGGATGTGAGTTTATATCCTACCTTTTGTTTTGTTCCCGACTACGATGGCTGACGACTGGACAGATCCTGCTGATATCACCTCCGCTGTCATACCCCCTCCCACTGCTCTCCCTCACCACACACCTGGCGCTGCTGTCGACGCGCCTCCCGCGGCTGAAATCCGAAGGCGACGAGGATCCCATGTTTGACGACGACTGGGACGCCTCCACGTTTCTGTACCCTCGCAGCGACGGCGCGCGATCCACCGCCGCCGCTACGCGCCCGCCCATTACGCTGCTTGTCGTGGCCGTCGGCGACAATGTTATTTTTGACCCCGCGCGGGAGGAGCTCGCCGTCGCGGACACGGCGCTCGCCGTGTCCGTGGCCGAGGTGCCGTGGACGAGCGAGGGCGGCAAAAAGGGCCGGCAGCTGCGACTGCTGTCGATGCGGACGGTCGACCCCCCAAGCCGACTGACGCCGCCGGGCGTGCCGCAGGCGGGTATGGCGACGGGCGCGCAGAGCGGCGGCCCGGTACCTGGGGTCTGGAAAGCGCCGCTGGGAGGGACCAAGTTTGGCGTCGTGGACGCGATTGTGCAGGCGGTGCTGGAAAAGGGCGGCGTGGCGGATGAGGTCCTTGATGGGCTGGAGGGTGTTGACCTGGCGTAGGATGAGGAGAAAAAAAAGAGATGAAAGGAGAGGCTTGCATGGACGGCGTGTAGGGATTCGCGGATTTTCTACGAGCGTTGAATATCAATGAATAGAATCATGGAAATACCATGTCCTGAACGTGGACTGAATCGGCTTTCGGAAGGATCAATGCTGCTTGCTAGACACAACTGCTACATTAATAGGACACTGGGACGGGCGTATATGACGTAAATAAATCGCTATGGAGAGACGGTATATGCTGCACTTTTATACACACAAGAAACATCTGGCTCTCAAAAGATGCCAAACCACTTCTTGCGCTTCGTCGCCACTGCCTCCTCTTCGGGCGTCTTGGCCGGCATCTCCGTGCCCAAGGCCACAGCCTCGACCTCAGCCTCGGAGAGCTTCTCACCCTTGCCAAAAACCATGCTGATGGGGTCCTTGGGCTCGATGCCGTGGACCTTCATGTAGTAGCGGCGCTTGGCGACGTCGTCGAGGTGGCGTGTGCGGTGCTCCACGGCCTTGAGCGCCTTGTTCTTTTCGTGCGAGAGGATGACCTCCTTCCAGGCAGCGAAGAAGTAGGCCGGGTCGGAGAACAGGGCCGACGTGGGCGGGACGAGCTCCTTGTAGGGCGAGTTGTACGCGTAGTTCATGAAGAAGGTGCAGATGCCCATGGCGAGGAGGGTGCCCTGTGCGGATGTTGTCAGTAGTGGCGTGAGAAGGGGGTTGGTGGTGCAAGAAAGGGGGGAATGCGCACCATGGTGATCAAGGTGTGTAGTAGCTTGCTGTGCCAGAACCAGTGCTGCCACGACCCCGCGGGCGCCATCATGCCCGGGTAGTTGCGCTGGCCGCGCGCCTGCACCTCGACCTCGCTCAGCGGCGGGCTGTAGTGCTTGGGCAGCACCTTGCTCTTGAGGCGGGACCCGTGCGACGGCGGGTTGAACTTGGCGGGCTTCTCGAGCACAATGGGCTTGCCGTCGGCGGCGGCGGAGGACGAGGAGGCGTAGCGCACGCGGACGTGCTGCGCGAGGGCGGGCGGCGGCACGCGCAGACCCCGCCACAAAGGGCCCTGCAGGGGCAGCAAGAAGCGCGGGATGACGCTCTTGGAGGCGGCCATGATGTGGCGTCGGAATTTGGGCTGGGGACTTGGTGATGGAAGGGCTCGGGGCAGGTCACGGTTGATAGTCTACCTAGAAAAAGATGAGGTTCCATCACGAAGCCAAGGCCCGGCGAAAGGAAATTCCCGTTCCAGTGTGCTGGATGGCGCGCTAAGCCTGATTCTGTTTAGAGGTAAAAGGAAATAAGTGGATACGGTGAGGCCAGTTCGGCAGGTCAGAATGTTTCCTGGTGGCCTGGCCGTTCAGGTACTATTTTCCAGGACTCTAGGGCGTCATGGGGGCGAACGCTGAGAGTAATCCAACGGGGAAAGTCGGGTTGGAGTTTGCTCGGCGTTGGCTACACTGGATCCCGCCTGGCCCCAGCAAGCCAAATCAAGTTCTTGCGTAATAATCGGCCGCTGATTGGTGAAGCACCGCCCCAGTCATTCCGGCGCGCCCGCCACAGGTGGCTTTGTGCACTGTAACATTCTGGTCTGTAGCCCAATCTCCAGGGGCAAATGGGCTAGCCATGGCTCGTCATGATTCGTATTTTTTTTTCCTGCTCAATCCTGCTTTCCCTTCTTTTCCTTTTCTTCCAACCACAACGACCTAATAACCAATCCAACTTTACGACACGCACCCAAAGAAAGAGGTATTCTTTTTTTGGATTCTTTCTGCACCGCTTCAACTCACGACACTTTTAACGTCTTTTTTCTTCCACATACCTCATCACAATGGCTGGTGGTAAGTCGCCTCTCTCTCCCTCCTTGTCGAATCGTTCCCTCGTCGTTGTCCGTCGAAACCCCGGTGAAGCGGCAATTCGGACCGGCGCTTGGCCGGGCAATGGGCGAAAAGCTTGCGGATTCTACGGCGCAAGAATGGCACCCCGCTGAATCGCTCTCGAGTCGAGAGCAAAATGTCGCATGCGTCAGCGTTCCTAGCCGAGGCCAAACCCTTGCGGCGCGCCAACGAAGGAACTTCCGCCTTGCGTCATTTACGATTGACAACGAGAATCCCTTCATCGCCCTGGGCCATACCCCATCTGCGCTGCCGAAAAGTGTTGCCTCCATTGCCGCCGACATTTTTTACGTTTGCGCCACGTCAAGCAAGCTGCGACGCTCGGCGCCGGGCAGACGTCGCGACGAGGGCATTTTTGTCTGGACCAAGAGACTCAATTGAACAAGACAGCTAACGAGGCTATCTCCAGGCGACGCTAAGAAGGGTGCCAACCTCTTCAAAACCCGCTGTGCGCAGTGCCACACCGTCGAGAAGGGCGGTGCCAACAAGATCGGCCCTGCGCTGCACGGCCTCTTTGGCCGCAAGACGGGCTCCGTCGAGGGCTACGCCTACACCGACGCCAACAAGGGCAAGGGCATCACCTGGGAGGAGGACACCCTCTTTGCCTACCTCGAGAACCCCAAAAAGTACATCCCCGGCACCAAGATGGCCTTTGGTGGTCTCAAGAAGGACAAGGACCGCAAGGACCTGATTGCGTAAGTGACCTCGAGACCTTTTTTTTCTCTCCTCTCCAGAGACGGCATGCTAATGAATAACGTCCTACAGCTACCTCAAGGAGTCTACCGCGTAAGCGAGACATACACACACACACAAGCGCTTTGCGCCAAAAGCGCAGTTAATTGTACCAATGATATGAGAAAGAAAAGACATTCATTTTTCTGATAGACGGGATGGGAAAATGTCGGCGATTAAGTTGTATTATAGACCAGTTAGAGGGTTTGCGCCAATACTAGACGACGGCGCACCCAAGGCTTTAAACAGAAACTCCTCTTTGCGAGCAGAGCTCGTGTAATCTGTACCAAACAGACTGCTTTGAATGTGCATGTGTATTTGGCTTGGGCGAAACAAAGTGCAGAAGACGAGGACGCCTAACCCCAAATCTATGCTGAGGCGTAACAAGGCCGCAGGGCAAATGAAATAAACTAAAGGTAGCAACGCTGAGTAAAGGAATGATTATGTACTGATTTTATCCATGGAGCTTTGGTGTCCCCTATGCGCCTCCTAGCTTCGCCTTCAACTTCCTATATGTTTCCGGCTTCGTCACGCTCGGCTTTGTGACCGCCAGTGCCGCCTCCCAGTCCTGCACGTCGATTACCTCGGGAACAGCGTTCATGTTGCCCCTGGCCAAGTACCGCCTTAACGCGAACTCGGCCGCTTTGTGGTGCAGGCCGCTGAGGTCTGCGCCTGAAAAGTCGCGACAGCGCTCGTCCCGGGCGATGCCTTCGAGCGGAGCCAGGCCCGCCGCGTGCGCGTCTCCCTCCGCGGCCTTGTGCCTTGTGCGGTAGATGGTGCGCAGTATATCGACGCGCTGGGTCGCCGACGGCAAGTCGATAAATATATGCTGGCTGAGGCGGCCGGGGCGCAGCATGGCTTCGTCAATCATGTCGGGGCGGTTGGTGGTGGCGATGATGTAAACACCGAGGCGGGCTTGCGCGCCGTCGAGCTCGGTGAGGAGGGTATTAACAACACGAGTGCTTGCTTCCGAGCCACTGCCACCGTTACGGCTGGGTGCGATGGAGTCGAATTCGTCAAAGAATAAGATACAGGGGGTGGAGGAGCGGGCTCGGGCGAAGAGCTCGCGGACGGCGCGCTCCGACTCGCCGACGTACTTGTTTAGTAGCTCGGGCCCGTTGATGAGGATAAAACTGGCATGAGCCTCGTTGGCGACGGCCTGGGCGACGAGCGTCTTGCCGCAGCCGGGCGGACCCCAGAGCAGGCACCCGCCAGGGCGGTTGAGACCGTGCTGTTTGTAGAGCGAAGGGTGGTCAATGGGGCCAACGATGGAGAAGGCGAGCTGGTCCCGGACGGAGGCGAGGCCGCCGATCTGGTCCCAGGCCACGTCGGGGACGGGGGTGAAGCCTTCCCTGCGGAGCGTGGGCACAAAGAGCCTGCGAGCGACATCAAAGTCGATGGGGCTGGGCGTCGTGCCGTCCCACGGGGCGGCAGTATCGGCCTCATATTCGGTGCTGTTGGTTGGGTGGAGGGTAGCGTAGCGGCGGCAGGCCGCGTTTTGCCTGGCACGCTGGACGAGCTGCATAATATCGCCGCCGACGTAGCCTTCCATCTTCCAGGCCAGACCAGCGTAGTCGAGCTGCTCATCGACCTCTGTAACGTCCAAAATTTTGCGCAGTATGTCCTCGCGCTCCGCCACGGTGGGCACCGACAGCGTCGCCCGGATACAAAAGTAGCCGCCCTTTAGCAGCGACGGGTGCACATCCGACTCCCGCGCCGCCGTGGCGATGCACACGACGAGTGCCCGCTGCGTTCTGATGCGCTGCATCTGTTTTTTCCACAGGATCAGCACGCGCTGGAGCTGGTCGTTTTGTCTCGCGTCGCTCGTCCTAGGCAGGCAGCTCTCGATGTGCTCGACGTACACGAGGCACGGGGCGGACGCAATCGCTGCATCAAAAGCTTCACCGATGTTCTTTTCCATGCGCTCGAAATCTAAGAGGCAGCGCGTGACGTCGATGAGGGTGACGTCTAGGCGCGCAGCAAAGGACCGCACCCAGGAGGACTTGCCGACCTCGGAGGGGCCGGTGAGAAGGGCGCCGACTTGCCGCTCGTGACCCGGGTTGAAGCACTGCGGCGCGTTCAACAGTAGTCGGAGGTCAAACTCCACCTTGGCGTATACGTCACCCAGGCCACCGAGTCTGGGGCGGTCAATCTGCGACTCCACGTCGAATGGCAGCGCTCGAGGTGTCTTTTTCTGAAGCTTGCTGCCATCGGTCGTCTTGTTGCCGTCCTTGGCCTCCTTCGGCGTTGAAACGGTTGTCGCACCTTCACTCGCGGCCATCGTCGTATTTATCTCCTCGCCATTGCCATTGACATCCACCCTCCTCTTCTTCTTGGCCGGCTGCTCGCCATTGGTCGCCGCCGGCGCAACATTCCAGTGCTTGGTCATCTGCTTGTTGAGCAAGAACCGCTCCTCGCCTTTTGTTTCGGGCTCTTCGACATCAATCGCCGCCTCCGAGTCGTCGCTTTCGTCGCGGGCCTGTTCCAGTCTCCGGACGTCGAGCACGCGGAAAAGCGACTCTTCTAGTGGACGCTTCTTTTGCCGGCTGAGGCTCGAGTTGGAGCCCTTGATGGCGCCGAAAGCGGCTGAGACCGACTGAAAGAGCTTTCCGTCATTGTTGCTCTGTTCGAGCCGCCGGACGACATGGTAGACGTCGAGGTCGAGGGAGGCGGGCATGGGGAAATGGCGGCTGCGTCGTGGTTTCGTGGTTGGTTGGACGAAGTTTTTCTGGGAGGCGCGACCAATTTTTTTTTGGCGGGATGAGTGGGGTAGTGACCACCTTTGCTGATAACGCGGACAAGCAGAACAGGGAATGTCAGTTAAATTGAACTAATAAGAGATAATTACTATGAGCAGTAATTTTTACATATAAAATTATCAGGAGGTTTTTCTTTTTGAGGAAGCTAGGTAACTTTCAAGAATGGTGCCCAGATGCTGAGTTTTTGAAGTTTTTGATCTCTGGCTGAGATAGTTACTTGAGCCATCTTGGGCAAAATCAGCATCACTCCGTTATACAAAGAGCGTCCCTCCGGCCGGTACTGCGTACTCTCGCCCATAACATCCACTATACCTAACTATCTCAGCCAGAGATGAAAAACTTCAAAAACTCAGCATCTGGGCAGCATTCTTGAAAGTTTCGCTGGTTCGCGCTCAACTATCGGTGCTGGTCTGTACATCATACCCAGCCAATACACCCATTTGTCAAGCTTTACATCTTGAGGCGCATCAGGCTAAACAAGCCGCTGAAATACGGAATCCATGACAGAAACCACAAACAGACGCGGGGGCCAGAGCCCAACAACTGCACAACCGGCCAGTTTGTGAAGTAGTCACCTTCGACGAGCTGTAGCCGTTTATCCGACTTTAACACATCTTGGAAACTGTTTGGCGTGTAGCCGAATGGAGCATCAAAGTCCCCGAGTATTTTAAAGGGCCATTTCTGCAACGTTGCCATCTGGGGCGAGACGAGGTCGACCACCAGCTCCCCGCCTCCAGGTTCAAAATGGCTCCGCAGTCGTCGAAGGAGTCCCTCGGCGTCCTTGACGCGCAAGTACATGATTAGTCCCTCGATGAGAACGAGAGTCGGACGATCGGTGGGAAGGTCTTTGAGCCACCCCTCCGCCGTTACATCGGCCGCCACCATCTGGTACGAGTACACTTCCCCCGCCGCTGTCGCCATGGCGGGCTCGGGCATACAGGCCGCGACGCGTCGCCGGGCGTCAATGACATCGGGCAAGTCGAGATCGATCCAGCGCACGTTGACGCCGCACTTACCACGAAGACGCAGCGCGCGAGCATCCAGACCACAGCCGAGATGGACAACGGCGACGGCCTGGTCCCTGTGGCGGGCGAGAAAACTCGCTGCCCATGTATCTATGGTGTAGGAGCGCATCGGAACATACGGCGAGTGCTTAAAATAGGAGGGGACACGCGCGACCAGCGCGGCTTGCTGCTGCGGATCGAGGTGGTCGAGGATGGCGACGGCCCAGCGGTCCGCGAGGAGCGGCCGGGACCGGAAAAAGTCATTGTACTTGCCGACGAGCGTGATAAAGAGCGTCTCTTGGATGCCAGAGAGAGAGATGCCGATGTCGGCGGTGTGACTAGTGTTGGTCATGGCCATTGCTGCTTCGTGATGGGATGTGGGAGTTCGTGTTCTGATGGACTACTTTTTTCTCCTTGGGTGAATTCTTGGGAAAGAGTTCGAGGAGGGGTAGGAGGATGCCATCAAGTACGCACCATCTGAGCCGATTCTCGCGGTTGCTGCTTTGTCCGGCTGAGTAAAACCGGCAGCCACCAGCATACTGGATGATGCAGCCATGCATAGTATTGACAGTAGGACAGACGTGGGAATGATTTGGGGCGTCAAAGGCAACCCCCCGAGACATGTCAAGTGTCTTTTGGAAATGGTGTATTTGGTCTCAACAATTCGGGTGTATGCCAACTCGGGAAGAATGCCCGTCAAAGCAGATGAGATCCACCGAGACAGCACCATGGCATACATCAAGGCGAACAATGATGCGATGCACGGCGAACATGTGGTGTAACGCTGATGAGACATTGAGCCAGCTGAATCAAAGTTGGGGCTCAAAAGAAGTTCCTTGTCTTGTCTTGGTCACCCGAAATGGCATGACCAATCGTGTTGATGCCATCTACTCATTGTCACATGCCGCTCGACCCGCGCAACCGGCGCCCGGGTTTTTGCCTTTTCTTTCTTGCCTTGAAAACAAACGCAGATCAAGCACAACTTTCAGACACAACGCGAATAGATGGGCTTCTTTTCGTATGATAAAAAAACTCGTTCCTGCTAGTTTGAGTAATTGTAACCGGGTGGATCCTGGAAGTGAGGGCCAGGCAGGGCTGGACAAGTTCCGCAGTGGAGAGAGTGTGGCGGCGGCGGCGGCGGCGAGTTGTAGGTAGATGATGATGGTGAGAAGAGAGGACGACTAGGGTCAAGTCGGAAGAATGTGGATGGAGCGCCGCATTGAGGAAAAAAATGAGTGTGCTGGGATATTGTGTGGCAGACGAACGAGATGGTCGGTTCTACAGGCACTGGTTGTCATTCGTAAAAGCGGCACGTTGTTATTGGTTATATATGATTTGATAATGAAATCGATACAAATTACTGGGCCATCTATTTGCTTGGCAAGCCAGATGTACCGTAAATCTGTCTCTCCAAGACCTTGGCAATCGTGGGCTTGTCGCTGGTCTTGTCCGTCTTGTCCCAGGTACATGGGAGACCCACGGTCATCATGGTGCTCAACAAAGAACCACCAGCGTCGCAGCCTGCACAATCCCCGGCAACCGACTTCGAGCCGAAGTAGTTCGGCTAACCCTTCCCCACAAGCGAGCTCAGAAACGAACCTTGGTTTTTTTCTTTTCTTTCGTTGACAGGCTAGTTAGCCCTGAGACCCCTGGCTCGGGTTCTGTACAGTGTATAATTGGTTGTGCCGTGGTGGGAGCGGGTCACTGATTTGATTGATAAGATGATAAGATGGTGCTGGACTGGACTAGACCGCCCCGCCTTTTTGCAACTCAACCACCTCCCCCTCGTGTTTGGTTTGTTTTCCCACACGTACCATTGTGAACGGCAGAAAGAAAAACCTTTTCAGAATGGAGTCCTGTCGAGCGGGGCTCTAGAACCGACTTGAATTCCCCGCCCTCGTTCTCCCATCTCTAGAGTGTCTCGCGGAACGGGACACTCATGTCAACCACGTGGTCAAGTATCACGACTTGTTCAAGCAAACAAAAGCCTTCGATAATGACACAGCATGAGCAGACCGACCCTTGCAGACCGTCAGGTGTCCCGCATACATACCACCAGAATGACAAAGTGGGAAGATCCATCCAGCCCTCTTTAGACTTGGTCATGAGAGTTAATCTGAGCTAATCTATAGGCAGGCCCTGGTAGGGGAGGGAGGAAGGGTCCTTGCGCACCAGCGCGCAACGTTTCGGCAGCCCCATGAGAGCTGAACGATGGTCCGACGTTCTCAGACCAGGGATAACGGGGTAACCAAACCTCTCCCCGCCACACACCCACCAGCGCCGCGCAAGTGCCGGGCTTCCATGGATGAAGACGTTGATTTTGCTGCCTGCCTTGTCCTTCCAATCCCGTACATCAGCATCGTTGCGATGCCGGCCGGCACGCGCTGCCCTGTTTGGACAAAGGCAGGGCCTAGAGCCCCCAGACGCTGTGGACTCTGCGGATCTTTTCCTCTCTCTCAGAGTTGAATGGGCGGGGGCAAGGGACCAATCGGCGGCTCTGGCGAGTTTGAAGACGAAGAGTGAGGGTTTATCAGTCCGCACGAGCGCGGAATAAGAATGCGGGCGTGGAATAAGAATGGTGACGGTCCCGCTCCCCCAGAAGTTCGTTTCACATGGAACCGTTACATTGACGGCAGCTCTCCTCTGGGTCTCACACCTAGAGTACTACGCTTTCACGTGGACTTGAACGAGCGGCGGTCACTTGTTGTTGTCTTGCACGCACGCCAAGAATCTGCAAACGCATACCTGCTGTGACGGGTTGAACAAGACTCGACCCCCCCGCGTTCGTGTAGAACAAAGCACAACTATACTGTCTCAGTCTCCTCTTGTACTGTCCATTCTCCTTCTATTCTCTCTTCATTCATCTACCTCGGCTACCAATTCAAAAAAAGGCAATTGCATTCTCCGCGCAGGCTTCACGCCAACCCACCTGCTGTCATGGCCAGCCACTCTTGGATCCCGATCCTCAGCCTGCTGCTGGCGCTCCTCGGCCTTGTCGGCGCCGACGTCACCAGCCCCGGCGCCCACGGCTTCATCGGCTACGGCATCACGCTCTACGACCCGTACTGCGCCTTTGCCTGCTTCTTCAACCTCTACGTGCCGCTCAACTGCACCACGGCCGACATGGCCATCGTCCCGCAGTACCTGCGCCGCCGCGACGAGGAGGCGGCGGCGCCCGTCTACCCCAGCGGCGACGGCTGGGCCGTGACGGCCTCGGCTACGCCCACGTGCATGTCGCGCAACGAGTTTTACCTGCAGACGTTGGCGTACTGCATCAAGTCGTACTGCACGGCGCTGCCCGTCAGCGGCGCCGAGAAGTTCTGGGAGGAGAACCTCGTCCGGCTGCCGGACGGGAGCGGGCCCAAGTCTTACACCGAGGTCGTGGTGGGCATCACGAAGCCGCCGACGGTGCCGCTCAACGCGACCGAGGTGCTCAACTTCACGGCGCTCATCACCGAGGAGCAGTGGAAGCTGCACTACACGGACATTTACCACGGAGCGCGCAACGAGATCAAGCACTCGCTGTACAGCCTCATCATCCTGGTCACGGGTGCCGGCATCCCGATTGCGATTGCGCTGCTGCGCTTCCTCCCGTGGCCGGCATCGTGGATCACCAAGGTGAAGGCGTACCTCATCCACCCGCCCCTGGTCGGCTCCAAGCACTCGGCGCCCATCTGGGGCTTGGGCATTATGCCCACGCGTGGCCAGGCACTCTTCATCTTCTACCTCTGGGCGGTCAACATCATTCTCTCGAGTGTTGGTTATGAGAATGAGCTAGGCACCTGGTACGAGACCACAAAGGCCGAGACGATGAGAAATGTGGCCAACCGCATGGGTGTCTTGTGCTATGCGAATGTGCCTCTGGTGATTCTGTACTCCGGCCGCAACAACTTCTTGCTTTGGCTCACCAACTGGTCGCATTCCACATTCCTGCTCCTTCACCGGTGGGTGGCCGTTATTTGCATGATGCACGCCGTCCTGCACAGCTTGGCGTACCTCGAGATTGCCCTGCACACTGAAGGATGGGCCGAGGAATTCACCGAGCCGTACTGGTACTGGGGATCCGCAGGCACGATTGGATTTGTGATTCTCTGCGTCAAGTCAATCCAGCCGGTTCGCCAACGGATCTACGAGATATTCCTGTCTGCGCACATTGTCATCACGGTGCTGGTCATTGTCTGCTCGTACAAGCATGTCAACGTCAAGTACACAGACGCGTGGGGATACCAGAACTGGGTTTGGATGGCCTGTGCCATCTGGGGCTTTGATCGTCTGGTGCGCCTCGGACGCTCGATGCGCGCTGGGTTCAAGAGGGCCTATTTCACGCCCATTGACGAGGACTACTACCGACTGGATATTCCTCGTGTCTCCGCCGACGGTCATGTGTACCTTCACTTTCCCACCATCAGCACTTGGCGCTTCTGGGAGAACCACCCGTTTTCGGTTGCTGGTGTGACGTTCCAGCAAGAGACGTCTATCATGGCCAGCTCCGAGGTGAGCGACGAAAAGAAAAAGGGAATTGCCAGTACCACGGTGGTCGGAAGCAGCTCGGGAAGCAGCTCGGACAATGAATCCGTCATGATACGCAAGGAGTCTGGCATTGCCGTGTTCATCCGGTCCCAGAGCGGCCTGACAGCTCTGCTCGCAAAGAAAGGGCCCTGCCCCAAGGGCATTCCTGTGTTTGTGGAAGGCCCATATAACCACAAGGTGAAATTTCTGCAGGAGGACCACCCCGAGCCGACCCACGAGTTCCCCAACCTGCTGTGCATTGCGGGCGGCGTCGGCGTCACCGGCGTGCTCCCGGCTCTTGATAAGTTCAACACCGCAGGGAAGCCGCTGGGGACCAAGAAGCTGTTCTGGGGCGCACGGACGTGGCCCTTGGTCCGCGAGGTGGAGAGGATGCAGCTCTGCGGCCCAGCCAGCCAGAGCACGTCGACGCAGCGCCGCTGGGGTGAGGTGGACGTCACGCTCGCCGTGGGTGAGCGACTGGACATTCGCAGGATCCTGACTGACGAGCTGCGTCAGCAAAAGGGCGGTACGGTCATTGTCGTCTGCGGCCCGGCGGGCATGGTGGATGACGTTCGCTGCATTGTATCGGCGCTCGGCAGACACAACGAGAATGAGAAAGCGGTTGTGGTGAAGCTGATGATTGAGAGCTTCACTTGGTAGATGTTTAGACGGTAAGGCGTGATGCTTGACGGCCGAACTCAACTGGTTTTATTAAGAGGCGTTTTGGAATCTTGGATATAAACAGTATATAACTAGCAGTAGAGATAGGAAAGCAGGGAAAGCAGATGCAGGAAGGCGAAATGAAACAGCGTTGCACCTATGACAACAATCGTGAGGTGTGTCTTGAGTGGCCCACAGTGGTGTTTCAGTGGGCGTTTAGCAACCTTCTGGTGGGCTCTAGGGGGCTCCATCCGCTGTAATTCCTTCGAATGGCGCCGTCATCGGCGGGCCAGTGGCCTGGTGACAACATCGCGGGGCCGTAGCGCGAGATAAGCAAGGAACCTGTTTACAGATTACGACAGACGGCCAACGCAACTCTGACCAGACACCAACCTGCAGCCTGGGCAGGCAACGACCATTCTGCAATCACAGGGGACTCACCCTTCGAAACAACAGATACATAATGGGCGGCAACACCAGCAAGGTCACCGCCCAGGACAAGTGAGCACGCGCACCCGCCACCCTTGCGTCCCTCGCATCCTCGTGTCCCACTGACCATCCCCCCCCCCCATCTTGCAGGGCGATTCTCGACCTCAAGATCCAGCGCGACAAGCTGCAGCAGTACCAGCGACGCATCACGACGCTGACGGACAAGGAGACGGACGTTGCGCGGCAGATGCTCGCGCGGGGCGACAAGGCGCGCGCGCTGCTGGCGCTGCGGCGCAAAAAGTACCAGCAGGGCCTGCTGTCGCGGACGGACGCGCAGCTGGCGCAGCTCGAGCAGCTGACGGCGAGCGTCGAGTTTGCGCAGATCCAAAAGGACGTCGTGTTTGGGCTGCAGCAGGGCACCCGCGTGCTGCAGGAGATCCAGAAGGAGATGGGCGGCCTGGACCACGTCGAGAAGCTCATGGGCGACACGGCCGAGGCCGTCGCCTACCAGAACGAGGTCAGCGAGATGCTCGGCGGACGCATCTCCCGCCACGACGAGGACGAGGTCGAGGACGAGCTGGCCGCCATGGAGATCCAGGTCCGCGGGCCGGCCCCGGTAGAGCAGCAGCGCCTGCCAGAGGTGCCGAGCGCGAAGCTGCCGGAGCCAGAGCGCCGCGTGTCGGATGAGGTACCGGTGCGGGAAACGAGACAGGCGATGCTGGCAGAGTAGTGTGGTGGAGGGTGGTGATTTTTGTTTTCTTTCTTGTTTTTTTTTTTCGTCGTTCTCATCATCACGCATACGTTTGGGTGCAAACTGGTACATAGACAGCCCAGACGACAACCGGGTTCTTCCTTTTTTCCACGGCGCTCGACGGAGGGGGAAATCATCATTCTCATCATCATTATCATGATCAAGCAAAATTTGTTCTTCATAGACTACTACAAACACGGCATCAACAAGTTTCTCTGCGTACTTTTGGAACCTAGCCACTTCATCACGACGGTGGTGCCGCCGCGATCTCCTTGGGGGCAAAACGTCGGGTACGGGCGGCAATTGCGTTGAGAGGATACGGAAATCTCATCTATTCCCCCCCGGAAAAAAAATCAAATAAAATGGTACTGCACGGGAGGACGAACGCTTGAATGGGGCGTCGGCGTCGGCGAGTTGTGGACAAGGCGGAGCCGCCATGCGCGCTCATCATGGTGACACTGGCATCCAAGTCAACCGAGTGCCAACCGCTTGCCCCATGGCTTATCCTGCACCATGTTGAACATTGTAGTTTGATGGGAGCAGTTGCTCCAGCACTGAGAACTAGAGGGCTTGGTGACGTCAAGTTTACATGGCCTTGGGCGAGGGGCCAACACACCACATCAACAGAACGACTGCAGTAGAGGGGGGTAAAAATGATGAACAAAACCAACTTAATTGCTTCATTATCTAATCTATGGTATATTGCAAATTCTATCCGTCAACTCCGTAATATCCGCTCCAAACGCCAGAGGCAAAATGCTCGTGCCAGGGTCCGCCCCACACACCGGCGCCGCCGCTCGTCCGGACTCGATAGCCGGCAGGCAGCAACATGCCGGTACTAGTGTCGTGATGGTGTTTTAGAAATTTCGTGTGTGGTAATGGTGTACCAAATGTTGTAAATCGCAAAGCGAAGGAACAGATGTGATGATTCGTTTCTTCAGTACGTCGAAGCAGTAGGATTCTGCAGGCGCCAAGTGGTGTAAGCGACCATTGTGTAGATGGCTCTACAGAAGACGCTTCTCCGACGCACACTCGGCATCCGACTCGACGTTCAGAGACGCCGTCTCGGAGCTGAAGCCGTTGTTGTTTCGGGTAGGGTGGTTGTAGGGCCAGTCAGAGCCCTGGGGCTTCGCGGGAAGGCCCATTTGCTTGTTGAAGCAGTCCTTGCACCAGCAGGTCTGCTGACCGCGCCAGGCAGGAGCAGGCGAACAGTGACGAGCAAACCACGACTTGATGCCGGATCTGGAAGGCGACGAGGGAACAGAAGAAGGCATGGCGAAGCTGGTTGTCTTGCGTGGACAGCAGTGTATAAGTTGTTGAGAGAGTGTAAGTGGAATCTTGGTGGCTGAGCGTCGGGAATCTTTGGGGGAAGATATAGAATATCGAGACTACGAATAGAGAGGAAACGGTCTCTTTTTATAACATTTACAGAAAATTCTTCCCCTGCTCATAGCATGGCATATGACTTGCGATATGGTCCGAGCTGGAACAGTCACCGTTGGAGTCCCTGGCATGATGTTTTTTTAGTGGAGCCGACTCGCCAAGCCAACATGCCGCGGAATCTGGTTGGCATCGCCGAGCCATCGCCGGCCCAACTCGGACTATTATTACCTGCCCAGATATATAGATGCATATTCTCACTCGGCCGTAGCTCCCCTTGGAAAGCCCTCATAGCAGCCACGCTGACGCCTGTTAGCTTTTGCATGCCACTTGTGCCATTTGCGATAGAGCTGAGGGGCATTTCAAGCACGGTTAATGTCTCGGGCGCGCAAGGCCGCTGTGGTTCGGGCAAGGGCACTGATCACCCGGGTAAGGATATGTACATGGGCACATTTACGACAGATTTCTCGCCCGGGAACTGTGAGCGTGGAAATATCGTCTCATGAATAAAGTCGGTCAACCCTTGCATCGAGAATAATACTGTTCCGAAGCAAACATGTAAATAGGAGACCACAGGCAGGCCTATGTGGCCAATCGGATTTGCGTCGGCGTCCCTGCAGAGCCTCAATCAGGAAGACGCTGCATGGAAATGGCTGTTCGGCCCACAGCGGGCGCTAGAAAACGTCTGAGGCTGGTCCAAGTTAGACTGATGGTGGCAACCATGAGTCGAGACGATAGATCGACTTGCTGTGCTGCAGGAACGGCTTTGTTTGGCAATGTCTGTGGAATACGCGCCTCGGATGAGGGAGTCCGAGACGACGTTTTCTTCCGACGTGAGCGTCATGTCTCATCGAAACGCTGAGAAATTTTCGCGGGCCGTCAATATGATTCATGTCGGAAGCTCTCCATGTCCACTTTCCCGACCCTTCCGCTATACCCGATCGCCGCGTTCTGCCCGGGGTTCCACCGCGATGCTGCTAGCTTTGATCGACGGGATGTTGAATGTCAGCTAATGTGTCAGCTAACATGATGGACGTATTTTCTGGTCTCTGATTCGTCACATGACAAAAAGTGGCGGTTGTTCCTGTTTTGGCGCGTCAACATTGAGCCCCAGATATGTCCTGGCAAATTGCAAGGGGCGCTGCGCTGCTGCGTGGACCAACAGTGAATCTCGATGCTATACTCCGTACTATTGCCCTCAATATGTTAGATTCGCGCATGGCATCATCCGTATAACGATTAGATCGATCTTTATACGCTCCAGGGCCTCCAGTGTGTGCTGGTTGTTTGCGTTTGCGTTTGCGTTTGCGTTAGTGTCATTCAGTGGATAATCGTCGAAACAAACGTGGCGATCTGATTTATGCATGAAAGCAATCCGGATAATGCGAGATGCCAGAGGAGTAGAATTCTGGCTGAAGCTCGATTTGGCTTGTTTAAATGTGCAAGGGAGATGCCATCAGCAGACAGCCACCGACTGTGGCACCAATGCCTGCCAGCTGGCAGGAGAAAGAAGGGGCTGCCCTTGTAAACACCACCACCATTGAGAAGAATCCTTGTTCTAACCTTCCACAACTTTCATTGACCTCACCCCGACCGCATCATAAGAAATGCATCCATTCGTCCTGTACTAGCGTCTCTCCGCTCCGCCGTGTAGACGATAGCTATCCGTGCCCCGCGGCCTCCCGAGCTGGTATTCATTGTCCACCTCTGGTCGGCTTTCGTCCGATAAAGACATATCTGGGCCACCAATTAGCCATTCCATCGCAACTTCACCACGTCGCGGGAAGTCCATCACCTACAGCGGAAAGTACGCCTGTTTCGGCATGTTAGCAGCTAAGCGGGCCATTAGTCATGTTCATCGCCCTACCTTGAGCCCCGGGTCGCCGGCCTCGTCTCGGGCCATACTGATCAATTGCTCAAACTCTTCCATCGGCATTCTACACAACCGGTCAGCCGTCTCATAGCCTGGCACATGCATATCTCAGGCGCTACAGACTTTGTTTGTTCTGTGAGGGGATAAAGAGCTGCTGTCTCCAGCAGCTCCTTGACATTCTCGCGATTTGCTCTCCCAATCCTTTGGTCTCGCGCTTCTACCAATGAATGCATCATCAGTATTTGTCCACAGTTTCGATCGTGCGAGCATCGTACCGGTCGGCCAATCGCTCATCGGAAGCGTGATGAGTTTCGATTCGATGTCAACAAAACCCGCGCTCTCCATCCAGCCTGCCATGTGCAGAGCGGCTCTCGGGTTCTTTCGGGGAGACAAGGTATTCAGATAGCGACTTGACCATTTCGACAAAGCATGATCTGCACAGCCACAACGTTTAGCAGCTTTCCACTCTCCGCAATGAAATCTGCGAATCCACTCACCATAGGTTAGTCTTCCATTGTCTGACTGCGCATTCAGATACAGTTCAACAATCTGACACCATCCCCCAGGCTTTGTTACGCGATAGATGTCGCGCACATAGCTGGGCCATCTACTTGCATGCACCCCTCCAGCAACCATCTGGCTGTGAACAAGATCGAATGAATTTCCCGGAAACGTAAACCTGCCTCGACAGTCAGCCAACGATTGCAGCAACCGACGGGATTCTTGCGGTCAAACCTTGCGTTAAGGTCGTCGATTTGAAAATCGAGATTTCGTGGTGAATGCTCTGGCAGCATATGCGGACTGACATCTATCCCCAGTACCTAAGCGCAAGTGGTTTACGTTAGCAAAGCGTTCCAACATCAAAAGAAAGACGCTGCCATTGGTAGCAATAGCCGCGGCAAACTCAGTCGTGGTATGTAGCCCCTCTCGCCATGGTCAGACTGTCTCTACACCATCACCATATACCTCACAGTCAGGATGCTTTTCAGCTACATCGACAGCCCAATTGGCGGAACCGCAACCACAGTCGAGGATACTCCTCGGGGCCGCCATTGGTGGGAAAATGAGCCTATTATCGAAGACTTTGGATAGGACATTGTGCATCAGCTCCAACCGCTCGACTTCTTCCTGCAGCTTGTGTCAACAGGCATGGTGACGGACTATGCGATCGATCGCGCAAACCTCGTCCACTGGCGCGAAGTAGGTGCCGGTTTCCAACGAATACTTGTGGAAGGTGCGGCCGCAGTACTCCAACGTGTCTCGATACTCGTCGTCCAGGGGTACTGTACTCTCCCTGGGGAGACCCTGTATTAGTGCCAAGTCATGGGAATAAGGTTTGACGTACGGAAAGCTCATGTTGCCCTCGACAAGCTATTGGCTGTTGATGTCGGAGGGTCACTGGGCGTGGAGGTGGTGAGCTGATCGACGTTGTGGGTAACCCTCCGTCTTCGCCTCAACCACAAGCGTGCGCCGTCTTTCAGACCAGTCAGATTACTGCAGCTATTGTGCTATCACGCTCAAGGCTGAGATTCCTCCGCGCGGCGTTGAGACTAGACCAATCGACCTGGTTGGGTGGCGACGCGTACGACCTAAGAATCATGGGTTAGGCTCCAAATTCCTTGACAAGCCAGAGCCATATGGCGCGGGACACATCATTAGAAGGACTCAAATGACAGGGAAAATCAGCAAGGCCGAATATGCAACGGTGCTCTCTGGCTGCATACTTTAGTGGGCTAGGGCTCAGTACGACAGCACATCTTCTGCGCCTCCTTATGACAAACAGACCTCAGACGAGCGGTGCCCAGGTCACCGGGATTAGAGGAAAAGCGTTTAACGTGACCGAAGTGGGGACTCGAAGAATTTGTGGCGGTAAATCGCTCGTTCGCTCGTCGGTCGCGACACTCTCTGGTTGAATCTGCGTCTCACCAACCTCGTGGAAGAACTTGGTGACACCAAACTCGTTGTACCAGGCCAAGTGGACTAGAAGGAGAACTTATACTCACAGCCCGGGAGAGCCTTGGAGATATTCCATCATGCATGGCTACTCCAATTTTTCACATCGAGCGCCAAAGTCTCTGGTTATAGCATAACGACGATGCCTCACGGTCGGAACTCCGCTGCGGTGGTGAGGCCGCCGTATTACCATACCAGAAAGTGCCCAATCAGGGCATCAATGCTGGGAGATTACTTGGAATCAGAGTCATGTTATGCGCAGAGAACAGCCTGCTATATCGCGCTGAATAGCCTTTCATCTTGCAGTAGACGACCGACACCCCGCCGCAAGGTCGGAAAGCCACAGCGGCCAGCATCGAGAGCTCGGGACACTGTTCATCTGTCTGCAACAGCAGCCCTACGCGAACATATTCTAGAACCCTTCGAAAAAGCGTTCATGGTTAAAGTTTGTCGCAGCTGCAAAGCAGGGACACCCCAGAGAGACGTTACCGGGTCCCAAGGCCTTGCTGACTCGCCATCTCTCAGCGTCAGCACACACGCGCTCAAGGCTCAAGTTCAACCCATTGGAGGCTTCATGGGGTTTTAAACTCTGTTTACTAATTAAACTGGGAGAATGGATAAAACCACCGCATTGAAACTCACACCTTCACTGTGAGGTGGGCCAATGGAAGCGGACATATCCACATGGATTGCCATGTCCTGCATCCTGCCTTCTTGCTCTCCCATGTCAACATTGGTTCCGGATTGGTACCGCAAGTTGTTACACGGCGAAATAACGACAAGGCCATTTTGGCCCCGCCGGTGGCCGCGGTTCTCTCCTCGCCTTTAATGATTATCGGCTTCATCTCTGAGTGCTGGTGTTAAGTCACCGTGGATGCTGACCGCTCAACCGAGATTCAGCCCAGGTTGTGCTCGACTGGCAAACCTTATTGATGTGCAAATATATAGTCACCTTCCGGAACGGTGAACAGTCCTGGAAACAGATGCGGGTCTTTATAAATGCCCGGGCGTTACTGGTACACAGCCACTCTACAGTTCCAGTTTATCGCGAGCTTTCCAGCATTTTTAAACAGGGAAAGAAAGTGAGGGAAACCATACTCGTGCGGCCCCGCACAGGTACATCCGCAGACGCAGACAATGGTTTCGAGGTCAACTGCAGCCTAGACCAAATGCAAAAACCCAATCGATGCACACCAGGCTGTATGTACAACTAAAATTCAGGCTGTTCCAAACTCTCGGGTCAGCTTGTGCGTGGAGTCGACTTGGGTGGCTTGTGCTGTGCTCCTCGGCAACCACAGCGTTTGGATACTTCAATGCGAGAGCCTGGACGACCTGTCATCGGTACGAGAGCGGACCTCTCCTCAACTGCGTCAAACCAAGCCGTATTTGGTGACTACGGAAGACGAATCCGGTGACAACAAGGGTCGTGATTGAGCAGTGTTGGGTCGAGACCCATGCTATTTATGGCCTGCATGAAAGCATGATGACATGCGCGAAAAAGAGACGGAGATCCTCCACTGAGAACAAACGACAAAATTGGGGTCCAGGGAGACAAGTGCAACAGCTGCAGATATAGCTGGTGCCAAAACTGCACAATGAGAAACACGCGGGCAGCAAGCCGAGCGATGCCCAGCTTTATTTCGCGCCAGAAAATGGATTTACAACGGGGAATAACCCATCACTTATTCGAAATCAAGTGGCTGAAAACGAAGTTGGTCTTCACGATGCTGAGGACTGGTATCGAGTCAGCTCACCGCCTCGCAGCCACCACGGGCCGCCGACCGCCCGGGGAACGGAAGAAATCTACAGAGGCGTGCCAATGTGGAAAATCACAAAGAACTACATCAATGTCCGAGTACAAACCACGCTACGGCTAAATGCCACGTTGTGGAATGGCGGGGGCCGGCTGGAGTGGGAACGCGGCCCGCTCTTCAACGCAACATTTGTATCACGATGTGGTTAGGCCTTGGGATTTCGGACCCTTGAATAATACGAAAGCTCGCAACGGCCAAGGCCTTCTCTCCGCTCTGGTGATGTCAGGTTATGTTATCGCTGCCTCAGCTTTCAAATGTTTCCAGCCGAGGCATGGCAGTCGCACACCAGGCCATGGAGCGGTGAAGGGCGCAAAACCACACGAATATCCCTGTTCAAGACGCTATGCCGCGATCAGGAAAGTCGGACGTCCTCTGCCAGGATATTCAAAATGACAGGTTATCTCCTTCGTCATATTTCGCGCTATCAGCATCGGCGATTTATTGGCTAAGCCAGGACTGGCCAGGCCTGTCGCGCATATGGCGTAGGCGAATCCACATCGAGCCCTCGTTGGCGAATCTCCGGAGACCCTCGACGCAGGCAACTCTTGATGTCTTGTATTATAGACAGGGTCGATATCAATATGACAATCTTGACTAGGATCGCGATGTCATCATTCGTTCTGGAGCGGGCGTGACGTTGCATTGTGCAACAAAAAGTCCAGAGCCAGCCTCACGCTCTTCAATATCGGGAGCAGCACCAGGGGTGGTTTGAGAGTTGAGTATACTGGTGCGTGGTTCTGCTTTCATAAATTACACACCCGCATCGGGCGGAAGTAATCGGAAGAGGGTAACTCAATGGGACAGGGTCCTCATGGTCTCAATCTTCCCTGGTATAGTGATCAAAGGCGCTGACCGAGATGTTGTTACAAGTCCAACGCGCTCGTTCATGGAAAAGGCGAAACAAGCAAGATAAAATTCAAGAACGAATAGCTGCCTGAAATGTCACTGTTGGCAGCCCCAATGCAGTGCAACTTTGCGGGCGCATCGTCATGACTTGCCGTCAGCCAGTTCGCAAACTCACCCAGCCAGCTGTAGCTTGACGAGCGAGGCCCCGACTATGACGATAGCAACCTCGGCTCCACCAGAGTCTGTTGGAGTAGATCCGTTCTCTTTCTCAGGCTTTCTTTATGTTGAATTTGACAAGTACGCCTTTCCATTGCGACGTCTCGCTAGGCCCGACGGCGAGCCACTGCGCTTCGACTTTACCGTTGCCTTTGAGGAATCTACCTTTTCCGTCACACCTCATGTAACTTCCTAGGCGCTTTCATACCACGGCTCGTCCATGTCTAGGTATTCAAGTCGCAATGTAACCGGTCGGCTGCTCCACATCTTCCATCGGGGTCTGTACGCCGCACCGCCCATCTTACGACATTTCTGCAAGTTTAGATAAACAGACGCATCGATACGTTTTTGAGGAGGTTTTTGGCCCCCTCGGATCTTACGTGCGAGCTCGGCAGCGCTGCGAATATTCCTGGTAAGTTTCCCACCTTTGCAGGCAGGTACAATTCCCGCCGACGTCCCGGAAGCGCGGTTCATGGAACAGAGAAATCAAATTTCTGCCATGGATAAATGCACCGTATTTCTTTCAATGACCCTACCCGGCCGTCGGTGGCCAAGAGTCCCGTGCTCGAGGGAAGCGATGCAGTCTCTCGCGACGAACCACCGGAATAGGCGCGCCGGCGCCGGCGGACAGCACGAGCGACGCCCCGGGAACTGGAAAAGCCGGGCATAATGGAGCCGCCGACTGACTAGCAGTCGCAGGGTGGTATCGAGATTCGTAATCTTTGCGCCTCGGGTAGGAGCCCTACGCCGGCTTCGGTTGCTTCATCCAATCGAGCATCAGTGCGCTTTTGGATGCGTCAATGGGCGCGAATAACCGGCCGGTTGCTGCGACAGCTCCCTGCGTCTATCCAGCCCGGAGAAAGGTCACCATCTGCGGTACCGGTCAGCTCCTCCGACTATAGCGACACTACCACAAGTGACGGTGTCGACATTTCCCTCGTGCCGCTCGACACGCTCCGCGCCCGTCTCCTCAGCGTCTCACAAGAGCTACTCCTATTCTCCGTCACGACTTGCTTTAATCTCCGCCCCGGTGGCAGGTGGGAGGATCCGTGTACCGGACGAGGCGACGATCGTGGTGGATGCAGCGACAGAGCGCTTGACGATGCGCTTGACGATGGTCATGGTGGCCCTACACGGTGCTGGCCGTGGCACATCGGCTAGAGAATGTGCCCAGGTTCGACAGGTTGCTGGTGATGCATCCAGGTGAGCTGCTGAGGATGAAAACGCCCAACGACTTGATTGGGGAGGAAGGTCAGTTGCGCGCATAAACAAGGACGGGGCAAGGCTCTTTTCTTTCTAAGAAAAAGAGAAGGAATACAAAGCCACCGCTTTAACCACGCCCAAAACTCACCTTGAAAAATGAAAGATTCTCAACACGATATCATTCCATCACAAGAGCCCGTTGCATCGAGTTGATGAGTTGGAGACGAGCATGACGGAGAAATCAGATTATGGGATACCTCATCAGAGCCTAGTACGATTGTCTCGGAAAGTCTCTATATTGCTGTCTACCACAAAGAAGAAGAAAAAACTCCCCAAATCAGCATCGGGGAAAGGTTAATACAAAGAGTAAGGGAGGGAATAAGATGGGCTCCAAACATGCAACACAAGACTGGAAAAGACGACGCCGAAAAGAATGACGCCAATAAAAGGAAAACAAAAAGCCGGTGACAGCTTTCACCATCAGGGATACAAGTCCCGTTTTGCAGCCTGGCAATATTGTTGGCAAGGGAAGGGATAGCTATTGACGAACGCCCGACGTGGGCTCTTTCGACAACCTACGTCTCTTATTTAATTTTCTCCTCCACGCTCCCACCCAAGCCTTTCTTATGCAACTTCCATCAACATCTCCGCCTTCTTTTCTATCGCAAGGACATTTTCAACGCGTTTTTCCACGATCCCGGCTGGCTTGTCTCAACACCATGTAAAGACGGGGTTGCTGCTTTTGACGGCCTCGAGGCGCTCCACGATGACCTTGCGCTGGTTGCCCATCTGGCCCTCGGCCGCGGCGTAACCGAGGTCCCCCTCGAGGAGGTCGTCGTCTCGCCCGCCGCGGCCGTAGTCGTAGCTATGCCTGCTGCTGCTACCGCTGCCGTAGTCATCGCCGCTGTAGAATTGCACATTGGCGTGGCTGCTGCGACGACCGCCGCCGGCGGGCGTGCTGGCAAATGAGTACCGGCGCTGGTGGCGTTGCTGGGAGCGGCGGTTCTGGTCGGTGTTGCGGGGCGGGTCGTAGGTGTTGAGGGAGCGCGGGGGGCCGTGGTAGGAGGATGCTGAGCCATTCGGTCCAGACGGTCTGGACGACGGTGGGTCAAGGCTCGAGTGGGAGGCGGCGACGGAGCCGTTGGGTGTTTCCTCTGATGCGTCCAGCCGGGGACTGGTGATTTCGAAGCGTCCTGGGTTCGGGAGGTCGCCACCGAAGCCGAGCAAGTCGGCATTCGGTGCAGTCGAGGCCGTGCCGGCACCGGCAGCAGCAGGCGCGGAGCTCGCAATGTCGGCCTCGTCTGGGTCCAACGAGGCGCCGCCGCTGCCGGCCAGGGCGGCGGCAGACCGGCGCATCTCCGAGGACGCGACGCGCATGGGCACGGCGACGGGCACGTCGACGAGGTCGTCCCAGACGCAGACCTTGGCGCGGCGGGTGAGCTCAAGCGGGCCGTGATCAGGCGTCTTGAGGGCTTCGACGACGTTCCAGGCTTGGCCCTTCATGACGGCGATTTGTTTCGCAAACATGCGCTCCTGAAAGTCCTCGTCAACCTGGAAGACGCGCTTGAGCGCCAGCTGCGTTTGGCTCCACCACGCCGTCGAAGTGAGCAGCGGGAGGAAGTGTTCGCGCGTCTTTTGCGAAAACGGCCGCCCGATGAGGTCCACTGGTAGGAAAAGCCAGCCAAAGGGGAAGCTGCGCCAGGCGTCGGGGTGCTTCCACGGCCAGGAGAGCGAGTTGTCAATGGCGCCGAGCACCATTTGCGTTTTCTTTTCTGAGCCCGGCCGCTTGGACGACGCGTGCATGGGCCGCTGTCGCTGGTATGGGTAGGAGGCAGTCGAGGTCGTGGCGGGCATCTCGCTGGCGTAGACGGGCCGCGTGCGGTCTACGTCGGGTTCGGGCTCGGCTTCCATATTGAGATGCATGGGTTCTGTGGCAATGGAGACGGCGCCGGAGTCGTGGTCGATCCTGACCATCCAGTTGTCGAGGCCGCGATCTGTATTGCGCATAATGTAGTCGAGAATGACCAGCTTCTCGAGCTCCTCGCGAAAAGATTGTTTCAAATCTTCGGTCCACGCAAATGGAGCCGGCTGCTCTGGGGCCGGCGAGCGCTCGCCACCCGCACCTGGGGATTCAGTCTCGTCGTCATCCGAGTCTGCATTCTCGGGCGGGCTCGACGTGGATGGGCGGCAGGCGTCAGACCACTTCTTGTTCTTGCTATTGCGCGTGTCTTTATTGCCTGATGTGCGAAAGCCGGCCCAGTACTGGTCGGGCCAGGGGTTCTCGCGGAGAAAAACGTTGGCGTCCTTGAAGCCCTTGAGGAAGACCTGGAAGCTGCCGGGCTTGGCTGGAAAGGGCCTCTTCTTGCGGTAAAAGTTGCGACGGTCCCAGAATGGATAGTGAAATGATTTGGAGGAGAGCCAGACGACATCAGTATACGGGACCAGGTTTGTTCGTAATTGGCGGTCGAGGACGTAGGCAGCGGCTTCGCTGACGTATGATAGGTTAGGAATGAGGCTGCTCATATTAGCAAGTGACTGCGACGTAGCCCAGTTTTGTATTCGCCTTACCATGCTCGGCCGAAACAGCAGGGGAATAGATTTCGGTGAATCCATTTATTCCATTTTGGGTTTCCGGCCGCGTAGGGCTCTTCGTCTTTGGGCTTGAAGACGCCGACAATCTTGCCATCCGGGTCGCGCGCAAAGTAACTACCAGAGCTACCCTGGGAGATCATACTGGGGTGAATCTCTTGCCGAATGGCACGTCTGACGCTGTCGACAAGAGCGTCGAACTCGGCCTTTGTAATGGGCCCCTCGGGCGTGTCGGCAAGGCCTTCGGGCGTGATGGGTCGGATGCCATCCGGGGCGCGGAAGACGGAGTGTTGAATCTCGAGGCGTTCCTCGTCGCCGGCGAAGCTCTTCCCGCGGCCGCGCTTAAACTTGGAGGCAATCTCGTCGGCCCAGCGCTCAAAGCGGGCATTGATGGCCTTGATGTCGACGCCGCCGGCGCTCCCTACGCGACGCCGAAACTTGGGTCGCGTGGCGGTGGTGGCTGCTGGTCGGGGAGCGCCAGGAACGGCACCGGCGGGAGGGTTCAGGGCAGCTGAGGGCCCTGCAATGGCAAATTCATCATCTGAATCGTCGCTGAAGCGGTCGGCCTGGGCGAGCTGCTCGTAGCCCGTCGTGGGTGGGCGTGTCTTGGGCATCGTGGGCTATGATGCGTGATGGATCGGGACGCTGGAGCCGGGGTACCCGTGATGGACGGGAGGTGATGGGATGGCGAGATTATCGCGGTGCCATTTGCTACGACACAGGTCGCGTTCGGATGGCAAGTGTCGGGGCGACTGATTGGGTGATGCCTGGGAAGAGCACTTGACTGATGAGAGTAGCACAAACACGGGGTCGTGGTATGACACAGAGGTGGCCCGGGGGGTGGTCGTTGGCTGGGTTGAAGGCAGCGTCGTCAGTGACGCAGTGGTCGTCTGCAAGGAGCTAGTGCAATTGGAAATCGTGTACGGAGCTCAAGGGCGCACTTGGTAGTGTAGAGACGATGCAATACGGACAAGGCAGGATGAAAAGAGACGGTAGCAATGACGTTGACCTAGCTGCGATTTTTGGCCTTTTTAGGCCAGATGTCGCGAGCTGGATGGCAGCGGATCCACTCCGGCAGCGGCCGTGTCAGGGGTAAGGGTAAGAGGGCGTGCACCAGTAGAAATGTTACGACGTTCGTTTCTAGTTACGGGAATCCTTGTTCATATCATACTAAAGCCGGTGATGTTATCCTGTTGCAGGAGTAGAACGGCGGGTTGCATTGCCAATGCTGTTATGATTAGTAGCGAGTTTAGTGGCCTTGGAGATGGACTTTGTAGCGGCCAACCCACTGTAATTGAACAGATATATTCGTGACCCACTTATTTCCGGGCAACCTGATCATCATCTTGACCAACTTGCACCTCGCCTCTTTCAGCCGCGAGCTCCTCAGCCAATCTCCGTCCACCCCCATCTCCGTATTCTTCGCATTGTCCTGCACTGCCGAACCCGAGCCGTCAACTCGGTGTATAAATCCACAACGGGAATCGAGCCTGGCGTCAGCAGATTCAAACCATGGCGGTGCTCACCATCCTATACGTAATCCCATACTCACGCGTCCAGACAAACGGCTGCCATGGCATCGTGGTCGACGGGTACAAATAGATGCCTCCGACGCCTCTCTGTTGCAGCACCACAACACTCAGCAAGCATTCGCATTCTTCTAATTCATCATGAAACTAGCAAAATTTGTCTCCATCACCGTGTTCCTAGGCGCAGCCTATGGAGCTACCCTACAAACAAGAACAAACGCCTCACAGTGTCGATGCAAGCCCAGCGAACCATGCTGGCCATCCCAGAACCAGTGGGCATCTCTCAACGCCTCAGTCAGCGGCAACCTCGTCGCACTTCAGCCTGTCGCTCATGTCTGTCACGATCCTGGCTATGACGCTGCAGCGTGCAATGCGTCCATGGCGCTCACCGAGTCCTCCGTCTGGCGTGACCAGAACCCCGGCGCCGTTCAATGGACGAACTGGGAGGCTTGGCCAGAGCGCAGTGAGACCTGCTCCTTTGACCTCCCCAGAGATGTTCCCTGCCGCCAGGGCCGCATCCCTCTCTTTTCCGTCGTTGCCGAGACTGCGCAGCACATCCAGGAGGCAGTACGCTTTGCTGCCACTCACAACGTCAGACTGGCCATTAAGAATACCGGTCATTGTTTCCTCGGCCGCTCATCCGCGCCTGAATCGCTGCAGATTGCCACCTATAAAATGAACAAGATGGATTTTGTAGACAAATTTGTCCCCGAGGGCGCACACAGCAAAACGTCCATGGGATCCGCAGTGACCCTCGGGGCTGGCGTTGTGCTCATGGACATTTACGCCGAGACGAGCAAACGCAATCTCACCGCCGTCGTTGGTCTGTCGCATACTGTCGGTGCTGCTGGCGGCTATATCCAAGGCGGCGGCCACTCGCCGTTGGGTCCCTGGAAGGGGATGGCCTCGGATAATGCTCTACAGTTTCGAGTTGTCACGGCTGATGTAAGTGCCCATCTGCGTCTGGTGTGGAATATTGCTAATAGTAGAATAGGGAAAGTTGGTTGTTGCTAATGAATACCAGAATAGAGACCTCTTTTGGGCGCTTCGAGGCGGTGGTGGCGGTACCTTTGGCGTGGTCGTCGACGTTACGATCCGCACGTTCCCTGACGTCCCAGCTCTGGCTCTTATGTCTGACATTACCCTTCCTGGACCAGCCGACGACAGGTTTTGGGATACTTTGGCAGCTCTCCACCGACGTCTCCCGGCTCTCGCCGATGCTGGGGGCAGCGGTTACTATTTTTTCCTGCCCAATTCTGATCAAAACGGCGCACCCGTTGCCTCCATCACCATTCTCATGTTCTTCCCCGACAAGACGGACAAGGCGCCCGTCGCCAAGATTGCGGATGCATTCATCCAAGAAGCCCGCAAATCCGCACCCAGCGCCAACTACACCCTTGAGCTGGCACCAACGCTCGGTGGCTCGATCGCCTACGAGCTGGCCCAGACGCCGTACGACCCTACCGGGGGAATTGCCATTTTGGGCTCCCGTATGATCTCGCGCAATCTCCTCAGTCAGACAGATGGGGCGCAGCGCCTAAGCAAAGCACTTCGCGACATCTACGAAGGCAGCGGCAACAAGACTGGATATACCGGGCACTTCATCGCCGACGGAGCGGTTGCCAGGAATGACAAGATCAAGTCGGCGCTCAACCCTGCCTGGCGCAAGACTATTACTCATATTGTCTTTAGCCGAGACTGGGCACCCAATGCCACTCTTGCGGAGCAGAGAGCTGTGCAGGAGAAGCTCACCAATGTTGAGGTCCCCATTCTCAAGGCGCTCGAGGAAGGTATGGGTGCGTACCTGAACGAGGCCGACCCCTTTGAGGCCGATTTCCAGCAATCTTTCTGGGGTGAGAACTACAAGAGACTGTATCGCATCAAGCAGCATGTTGACCCCAAGGGCCTGTTTATTGCACGGAGCGGCGTCGGCAGCGAAGACTGGGACGCCGATGGGCTCTGCCGTGTCCGCAAACCGTCAACGGGCAATTTGTCACAGCTGCGACTCTAGACTGATTCTACGAATACATGCATTTTTCTTCTTTATAGTTTTCAACTGCTTGAGGGCCGGTAGACATGACCTTTGCAGTTGCCTGTTTAGGCAAGTCGACGGGCGTCTCCACCCCGACCGGCGAAAGCCGAGCTGAAGCTGAGATGACTCAACGGGACATGGCAGTAGTTAGAAACAAACTGCTCATCAAGCCAAGTTATCGCAAGGTTCCTTGCGGCGGCCTGAGTCACTCTCGACTGCACTTAGCTAGCGTTGGATATGCGGTCGACTTGAATGGGAGCTAGCCTCGCATGTATGTGTAGATAAAACAGTGTGATGCGCTCCTGGTTCGAGGCTTTTGGGGCGTTTCATTTACATTAGCTTTTCAACAAAATTCACATTATTTGAAACCCCAACAATGTCTGCCTTTTCAGCCGCGCTCAACAACGCCTTTGAATCGGAGCGGCTCCGGTACATTGCCGTCGACGACGAGAGCGACGACTACAAGAGCGTTCTCGCCGAGATGCTCAACGAGCCTTCCCTGCAGGCTCTCTCCTCGGAGATGATTCTCCGCCTGCAGGGCAAGACGGACGTGCAGTTCCTCGCCACCATGTACCGCAAAGCGCTTCTCGGCGTCGCCATCTGCCTCCTCCCGTCGTCATCGTCGTCGTCATCGTCGTCCGATCCGACGAAACCCACCATCATCGGCACCCTCTGCATCGGCTGGGGCGGCATCCCGGACTCGCTGCGGCACAACCGCAACGCCTACCTCGGCATCACGATAGCAGCGCCGTTTCGCGGCAAGGGGTACGGGCGGGAGGCGCTCGACTGGGGCGTCGACTGGGCGTTTTGCCACGGCAACCTGCACACGCTGTCGCTGACGACGGTGTCGTGCAACGAGGTCGGGCAGCGGCTGTACGCGCGCGCGGGGTTCGCGCTCGCGGGCCGCCGCAGGGAGGTCGCGTGGGTGAACCGCGCGTGGGTGAACCGCGCGTGGCACGACGAGCTGAGCTACTCCATGACGGAGACGGAGTGGGAGGTCCTGCGGGGGCGCAGGAGCGAAGAGAGCTGAGGGGGATGGCAAGGGGGGTTGTTTGGTCTTTCGCGTTCATTCTGGACGCGGGGCATGACGTGGTTGGGAGAGGAGTTGGCGTCCAACTGTTCCACGGCTAGACCAGTGGCCAACCATGCTTGGAAGATCTCGATACTCACACATAATCTTTTACGATGTAGGAACTGGGAACTGGTTCGCCTGCTGGAAGAGCGCCGCCGTCACGGCTGTCAGCGCGCAGCTGCGTACAAATATATTCAATAGTTCCTACCGACTTTCCGAAAGGAGCAATCCATTTACTAAAATACGGCACCAGTGGGCTTGTAGCCCTGCGATCCTGTTGACTGTTGAGCCACTCTTTTGAATAGAGGTCTAGGTTATTGACGAGCCCAACTCAGAGTCCGTGCTGGATGACCATGGAGACGAGAACTGGAATTGAATAGCAGGCACGATGAGATGGACTGACGAAACGAGTTCCTTGATAAATCGAAGAAAGCCAGAGAAATGAAATTTGAATACCTAAAGCTAAGCTAACTCACGCCACGACAACATTCACAATGCGGCGAGCCACAGTTGTCGAGAAGCGTTCAGACATTTCCAATCAGAATGCGGCCACAATCTGACGAACAATGTCGTGCATGGCCGTTCCTGGCAGAATTTTCTGGCCACCGACGCAATAGTCGTCTACGATTTCCTCGGCCGCCTTGGATTTGTGGCCTTTGCAGTGGTGGCAGATGATGGAGGTGTGCGCGCACGCAGTGGTCTGCGTGAGCGGGTTCGTGGCCTCTTCCACGACAATGCCCTCCCATTCCGTCGTGACGGTAAAGTCAATCTCGTCACTAGCGGGCATGGGCATTCCTTTCGGGAACATGATGGTGCCCCGTTTGGTGTGAAGCTCGAACTCGGTCCATCCCGCCTGTTGCTCCTCCTCCCCCTCCTCTTCGCAAAGCAGCTTGAGACCAAAGGTGCGCTGCAGTCCCCTCTCCACAACAAGGCTGGCGAATTCAGCGAGGAAGGCGTGGGAGAGGCCTATTTCGGGCGCATTTCCGATGGCGTACTCGTACGCCTGAAAGCCCGCGTCCTCTGTGACGAAGAAGTGTATGCCCCGAAGCTGGCTGTTCTCGTCGGGCACAACCGGCTTCAGAATCTTGACGTGGCCATGACCGGGGACGGGAACATTTTGGAGCACCATGACCTCCCCTTGGGTGGTGTCGAAATGCTTATGAAGCAGTCTGACGCTGACACCCTTAGGGACATTGTGTTGGCGGAGCAGGGTGCGGAGGTCCTCGAGATCCAGGGACCGGGTGTCTGGGGCCGCAGCTACCTCGCTGATCAAAGGCAGCGCATTGTATACGGCGGAAGGAACGAGGCTGTCAACAAGAAGAGCCATGATGGCAAGGAATGAAAGATGTTGGGATAAAAGTGGTGTGTTGGAAAGTGGTCTGAAGACTGGTAGGAACTTTGTGTGTTTGAGTAGTTGGTGAGTAGTTGGTGAGTAGGTATAGTTCAAGTTAAAAAGGTCGGCAGCGACACAAACTTATATAGGTCGACATGACGGCGCCAGATATTGTGAAACGATTTCGAGCCGTGCTTCTTCCATTCTATTTCCGCTCACTACGCGTCACCAAAGTACAGCCGTCTGTCACTATGCAAGATGCCGATTACTTGGTGCTACCGTGACAATAGTGACCTGTCATTCCCGCACTCCCCGGTCCTTGATACATGATGGGTGCTGGCATCAGCGGCCCTCCGTGTCATCATCCAGCAAAATATCGCTGTCGGTGAAGAGTTCATCAGTCCTCCATGGTACACAAAGAGCCTCACGACACGGCCCGGGAAAGAGTTGGTTGCTGCGTTACACAAAGACTCACTCACTGCGGGGTATAGACCGCCTCAAATACGCCGTGCCGATCTATCATTTCCTTTGTCCTGCCACATCAACATCCATGGGTGTCAAACGACGCAGGGTTGCACAAAGTATTAGTGGAAATCAATCTCTGCGTTCTAGTTACCCCCCCTCCATGGAACCTCTTTTCTCTCTTTTTTCTCTCTGACCTCCTCAGGCTCTCTTTTCTTCAAAAGCCCTTGCTCTATCCAAAGAACTTCTTCTTCCCGAATCCAACAGTCCTTGCTGCCATGGATTTTCAATACTTCTTAAACGAGGTCAATGGCTGCATCACCGCCGCCGGGCCGTGCTTCATCACGAAATACTTTGGCCACGTCGAGGCATCGTCCAGAGAAGTTCCAGAGGTTCCGCCCGTCTTGGCCGCACCCAGCCGCTTTCCCGAATGGTTTGTCAACTTTGCCTCGACCAACAGGGACGGCGCTCGCGGATCATGGAGTGTCACTGAAAAGGACCCTCAACATCACGAAAAGGGATTCATGGACGAATGCACCCAACTTGCCTTGAGACACGACGACGCCGAATCCAAGACTGCCGGGTCCGACGACGTCCACGCCATAGGGCTCGTCTGCGCCGAAGACGCCAGCTATCGCGACGGATTCATCACATTGTGCGCATCTGCGCAGGCAGTCTTTTACCAGCAGCCGACACGTCCTTTCTTGCATGCCGTCTATATCCGCGGCGCGTTGGTCGAGCTGTTGGTCATTGACCGGTCCGGCGTATCCTGCAGTGAAGTCATGGACGTTGAGAAGGAGGCGGGCCAGTTTCTGTCCTTGTTTCTGCAGTACGAGCGGATGACGAACCAGGCGCTGGGCATGGGCTGCGTCTTCAGCACCGATGACGAGGGCCAGTACATTGTTCTGGACGAGGGCAGTAAGTTATACATTGACAGCAAGCCCGTCATGACGCGACGGATGTTGGTCGGGCCGTCTACGGTGGTGTACCGGGCGAGGCGTGCTGGCTCGCAGGAATGGAGCCACGCCGTCAAGATCAAGTGGCCCTGGGTGAGGGACCGACCCGAAAAGGAACTTCTCGAGGTCGCCATGGAGAAGAAGGCATGGGGCGCCGCCCACCTCGAACTGTACCGTGAGCTCGAGACGACGGCTGCTCTCCGCGCCGGATTGTGCCCGGACAAGCAGAGAAGGTTCTCAGACACGGCTGCCACAGACACGGCCGCCACCAGCCAAGAGAGCAATGAGACATGCACAGAGAGCGACGGTCCATCCGGCATCATGCAATTCACCGAGGAGGAGACGCGGCGGTCGTTCCAGGACCGCGTTCTCATCTGCATGGTCACGTCGCCTGTCGGCCGGGCACTTTACACATTCCAGTCCGGGCTGGAGCTGCTCGAGGCGCTCCGCGACGCCCTCAAGTGCCACCGCTCGCTGTTTGTCGACGCCCGGCTGCTGCACAGCGACATTTCCCACGGCAACATCATCATCCTCGATGACGACCCCGGCGTGCCGCGCCGCCCCCGTGGCATGCTAATTGACCTCGAGGGGGCCGCGTCGCGCGACCCGGCGCCGGCGCGCAAACCAGGATACCTGTTCGGCACGCGACCGTACGTGGCTATTGGCTACATCAACGACGAGGCCAAGACGTACCGCCACGACCTCGAGTCCTTCCTGTACCTGCTCCTGCGAATGGTCGTGGCCGACAGGGAGATGGAGCTGCCTAAAGACAGCAGGCTGCGGGCGTGGGAGGAGGGCAGGTGGTTCGAGCTGGCGGAGCGCAAGAGCAGGGACATGCACCCGGACAACTTTGGGCGCATCGTCGACGAGATTCCGCCGGCGTTTGCGTCGGTCAAGAGCTTGGCGATTAGGTTGCGCGCACTGGTGTTTCCGTTGCGCGACGGCACCATCTGGACTGGGACGGAGGACTCGCCTGAAGCAATCGATGGCCTCTACGACGGCATGATTTCGGCTTTTGAGGATGCGATTGCGTCGGAGAAGTCGTGTCAGCATGATGGACAAGTTAGTGGCATGGTTTTAAAAGAAGATTGATTGGCTTTGAGAACGCCAGGGCACCATCCGCCCGCAAAGCACAGCTCCAGTCTCCAATGAACAATGAAACTTATTGAATACAATAGCGACACTGACATGCCATTTGAGCAGTGCAACACTGCATGGTGTACCGCTCGTCGAGGATCGTCGTTTTTGGTAGGAACCCTGATTTTGTTGGTAACCAGCTGTGTTGTATTATACCACCTGCTCGCGTCATTGAACAGGATGGGGTTTCATTTACCTGGAATTAATTTATCTGTAGCTGTCATGGACCGTCCCAGCATCCTTTTGTAACCAAAACCTTGCGCCATTTGCATTAGTTTTAGGCCAGTATTCCGGCCATGGTCTATATGTGACCAAGACATTAGATCATTTCTGCATTGCCTGTTTCAGTCGACAACTCGCGCCGCTAGTTAATCAACACGCAACCGCTCAAGGGGCGCACGAAATGCTGCCAGATATTAACAACTGCTTCTGGAGGCAAAGGCATGGCATCGCATGGCCGGCCCGGCCGTCTCGGCAGCAGCCAAGCTAGTTACCAAGTGCCGAGGGCCGGGCTTGCCTTTGGCCATTTTTGCGCCCGTCGCCAACCACGCTTTCGCACCACTCTACGGATAAAGCCCTCCGGAACATGAGGTGGTAGGGAGACAGGGTCAGCTGGTCAATCTGCAATGTTAAACTTTGGGCGTGTTGAAAACGCCACTTTGTTCTCCCCTCTTCTTACGCGTTCCAGTAGTTAATCTGCGTGCTGCCGGGTAGACTGACGCACGTAAAGCTGACGTAGGATGACAACCGTTTACGCTTTCGCCGCCACCCTCCTTATCGAACGCTCGGCAGACGTGCGTGGTGGTGGTTTGGCGAGATGCGTTGATGGTTCGATAACTACTGCTTTGGGCTTGAGAGGATCGGCTGGCTGACTCTCGGCTGGTGGTCTTGGCCGACTGCACATAATGTGAGTGGGATGATGTGGTGTCTAGCCACTAGGATCCTAGTAGGGCGTAAAGAGTACGTATTACAGCGAGAGGAGCAACTCGTGCGTCGGTGGTCAACGTGCAGTACGCATAATATGACAAGGCCAAGCGCGCGACAAGTATCCGTAGAGGCGGTTGAGGAAACACGAATATGAAACAAATTGCTCCTCGTTTGCTGCTGGTTCCTGACTGCCAGTTGGCCGCCTGCTGGTCGACCCAGGCGGCTGGGTTAAATTTAGTGCTGAAGAGGGTGCTGCCTCGTTGTCAGTGCATGGTAGGCAGCACATCTGACCCGACCTAGTTTCATAGCGCTTGGGTTGGATCATGGATGGCCTTGTCGCCCGTCTAGCGCCACGGCTGGAGTTCCCCGCGCCCGGAGTGGGAATGAGCTAGTGAGGGCCTAATCCGTACGGAGTACTCCGTAGGGCGGATTGATTTCTCTAATAGTTGTTAGCTACTGCCCAAAGGGTCAAGACGAGGCCACGACTCAGTCTGGCAGAGCTGTGAGTGAGGCCCCCCGACTCGAGCGCTCGCGTGGGCAAATGCGGCAAATGCACGCCCAGGGTCGGCAGGGTGCCAGCGAGGAGCGAGATGGGCAGACAAGCATAACTGGTCGTGGCCATGACTCTGCACTAACTAGGTACGAGCCAGTTTGCTGCCCAGGTAAAGAGTCATACATAGCCTAGAGTTGGTGGCTGCTGCCGAGCGAGGGCAACAAGCCAATGACTAGACGTGTGCAGTGGAGAACAGCGAGGAGGCGTCGGTTGCATCTCAGAACGGAGGTACGAAGGATGCGCCATCGATGCCCATGTGTCTTAAGTGCGTTTCTGCATTGTGTTGTCGGTGCGTGTGGTGTGTGTGTTGTGGCATTGGCATTCTCTGGTGTATCCTCGAGGCCAGAGGTAGTTATGCGCATCCATCAAGGTTTGGGCAACGGCTGTGTGACGGCGGTCGTGTTGGCCCTCGACCAGGATTTTCTAGTTATGCCCCTATTCATTATTAGATCCTGGTCTGAATATCTCCCAAGGTGGTCCTTGCGGCGATGGGCGTGGGAGGGAGGCAAATTGCCTGGGCACCCTGTCGGGAGAGGCGAGACAGGGAAGAGGCAGACGGGAAGAAAACAGGTAGCAAGAAACTGGCGGCTGCCAGAGGGCTCATGTGACCACTTGACCCTTTCGGCAAGGTTACTTGGGCGCGCCGTGCTACGCCGTGCTATTGCCAGGCCAAGGTCACGCCAGCAAAACGAATAAAGACACTAAAAAAAATGAAAATAACAAGATTAGGTACCTAGTTTCAGTGAGAAATTGAGGCGAATATGCAGGTAGGTAGGTACTAAGTATTAATACCTACAGTAGGTACCTAGAGATCAACAGTGTAGGTACCTATCTGAGAGGTGCTACTACGCAACACACAACCTCCCTTGAAGTGGTTGCTAGCGCCCTGCACGTCTAGCCTGTTTAGTGGACGAGTGGCTCAAACTCCCGCTAAAAGGAAGGCGCTAGCTGGGCACTCCGAACTGCTGCCCTGAAGGAACCTTACTATCCTCCCCCAATTCCGACAGCCCAACTGCTCGGGTCACTTTTGCAGGGGGGTCGATTCCTTGTAGTACTCAGTATAACTATTCACACATTCCCTCCGCGCCACCATCTCTTCCTTCTCAACCTTTCCTTCACTCCCTTCCCTTCTTCCCCTGTATACCAATTTTTCCTACATTTTTTACTCCTCAACTTCCTTCCTCCAGGCTACACCATCAAACGTCTTGGCCGTCTTGTATCATCACTGTCGCCCCCATTCACCACTTACACAACTGTCAGCTGTTTGCCGCCTTCTTACTACCTTGCCAACACGAAACACTACCGCTGCCATGACTGCCAGCAGGACCAGCGACGTCGGCTATCTCGAGATGGCTCTCCCGAACACCGCCGATCTTGATATGCGTGGCCGCAAGAGGCACCGCAGCCTGACCCGTCCCGAGATTCGAGCCCTCCGCACCACCGAGGAATCCAGCACTCTGCGCGGCCGCTCCCGTCACAGATCCATCTCCCCCCATCGCTCTCAGACTCGCTCGCGTGCCCGCTCCCGCGCTCGCTCCCCGGTGCCTCTCACCTCCAACGCCCTTCGTCTCGCCTACCACGCCCGCCAGCGTGAGGCCCGCCGCGATCACTGCCCCTCGCGTGCCGCCTCGCCGCACCCGACGGAGCCGCCGTACCGTCGACAGCAGAGAACCAAGAGCCGCAACCGACCGGCCCTCATGGAGCTCCGACAAATGACAAAGACCAGCGAGTCCGGTTGAGCGCTGTGCCGTCATTATATACAGCAGCAAACGGGCGACTGAGCAACCGCCCGTATATGTATCACCACCAATCATGCTCCGCCACAGCCGAACAATTTGTCTTACCTGAAAAAGGGACAGACTCGCGCGAGTAAGATGCGAAAAGGAACAACGCAATTATATTTTACCGTTTATACCCAAACCACGGCACACGATAAACGGCTGCTGCCCACCCGCGCATCACAGAGATTGAGCCCCTTGGTACTGTAAACGCAGTTTACGAACAAATGGCAGCGCAAAAATGGCCTCAAAAGTGTTTTAAAATGCCATGGATTGGCACGGAATAAAAAAAGGCGATACGAACAAGTCCACTCATGGAATGCCGAGATTCCATCGAAGCTATGTGACTGGTTCTTCATACCTTGAATGTATTTTTAGTCCAGGTCAGACGACCACTCTGCACCGCACTTGCGTACTGCAACAGTTTTGCAGTATTATTGTGACCTAGTATTATCAGAACAAATTGGAATTTTCAAAGCGATTACTTATCTCTTCCTTATAACTTCTGCTTCTTCGTGAATGTTGTCCCTGTCATGGAATGGCCTGAGGTTCGCTGACCTATACTAGGCGAGTGGGCCTCTGGCCAATTACACGTGGAGCCAGACCCAGTAGTAGTTATTGCCGAAGCCAGAGCTCCAACGACGCCAACTTTTTCCGATGCCATTTTCATCACCCTGACCACCCTCAGCCGGCCGCCATTCGTCTTTGCTACAGATCTGTGACGAGGCACATTTCGAACTGCTGGCACGGTCAAGGTTACTACCGGCCAATCGAGATCAACGCACGACGAATCGATGATACAACAGCCCACCGACGCCCACCGACTCCCGGGAACGAAACCGATCTCACACGAGCCCGCAACGACTCCCTTGCGCCGCAGACTTCCCATACGGCCATGTTGATGTCTTCATTGCCCGCACTCTCTAGCACATCATAGCGGCTGCCCAGGTCGTGGGACCGCCGCCCCTTGCCCCGATGATTGAACGGGCGGTGGCGAGCCTGGAGTCGGGCCACCTCCAGCGCGCCATCCCCAAGACACGACGGGCCGCCCGCCGGTCCCGCCAACTGCACACGGGCTTCTGGCAACACGGTGCTTCGGCGCTCGAACTGTCCAGTTTCTGGCCTTTTTCGCCTGGCGAGTCGTCGTCGTCTGAGAAGGCGGCTGCCGCGCCCGTCGCATCTGGCCTGCTCGAACCCAAACTCGTCGCCACCTCGTTCTTGCTCGACTTCCTATACCCCAGCGAGTCGCAGTCTTTTCTGCATCGTGTGCTGGCTCCCAGGCCCAAGTCGGACCGGCTGCGGCCGCTGCGACGAAGGCAGTACTCGGCGCAGCACATGGCCTCGTTCCAGCGGACCGAGCCTTCTATCCTGTGTACCACGCGGTTTGAGAGCGTCGCACAAAAGTCCTCGGATACGGCTGCACGCTATCAGTCCATAGCTGCGGCGAAAGCGGAAGCGATTGGGTCCGTACCTACCGATAAGTCGGCCGAATTTCTTGCAGTACAAAAAAATACCCAGACGGCAAAACCTACAAAGTCGAAAGCACCGGCAGACACCTTTGTCGGCCAGTTTAGGTCCCGAGTTTCAAATACCAGCCCTGTTCTTGACGATGCTTGGAGCCGTTACCAAAAGGCTTCCCGGGAAGAGCAAGAAATGCAGCGTCCTGGCCTGATAATTGCTTTTGCGAGAACAGACGATTATCTCGAGTGTTCTCGGGCGACTTCTCTATTTCGAGAGCTTCCACAAGAAGAATGGTCAGACGTGCTACTCTCTTCTGCGGTTCGGTCGCTGGCGGCGTGCGGCAAGTTTGAGTCTGCTCTCAGAAAATTCAAGGAGGGCCTTCAACACAATTATGTGGGTGGCATGCAGTACATTGTGGCCAGCGCATTTACCGCCCGCAAGTGGCAAGAACTATTTCAAGTATGGTTCGAATACTCCAGCCTGATTGAGGAGCACATCGACAAATCCATACCATTTGACCACCTTCAACATGTACCAAAACTGGACACACTCTTTGCAGCATTCGAAAAGCATATCAAATATACAGGCCTAGCCCAAATCCGAGCGGAAAACAAGGGTATCTACTCACGACAAATGTTCGACAAGTTGCGGCACTTGATGATTCGATCTGTACTGGCAAAGCCCTGCCTACCAAGCAGAGCCATGGACATTCTCTCCCGCTACGCCAAGACTGATTACTACGAATTATACATCGAGTCAGTCTTGCAATCCGCTCAAGCTGGGAAGCAAGCCAAATCAACAATGAGACATCTCAGCAAAATATACAACGACTACCGGCAACGACCTGATGCCCAATTCACCGCCGACATTCTGCGGGGCATGTTTAATGTATATAATCCGAACAACCCCGCTGGGTTAGCATTGCTATACGAGGACTGGACTAAATTGGACGGAGGCATGGACGAGTGGGCTTATGAAAATTTTCTGGCATTTTATGCTCGCTCGGGTGATGTTCCTGCTGTCCGGGATTTATGGCAGCGATACATGACGGTGTTCCCAGACGCTGGAAAGAACGCCCGAGGCTTTTACAGCCTCTTGAACGCATACGCTCAATGCGGCGACGTTGATGGTGCCAAAACTGAAATCTCTATTATGAAGGAGTCAGGCATTCAAACCGACGCGGTAATCGACAACGCTTTACTCAAATGCCACATCAGAGCAGGCAATTACAAGGAGGCTACAGCTTGTTTCACTGCAATTGGGGAGCAGCATGGCCCGAACCTCGAAGCATTCGAACATATGATGGAGTTGCACTCTGCCAATGGCGACCTTGAGAAGACACTTGCTCTGTTTAATCAAGCCCAAACTGCCCTACTTCGGCCATCCGAGGGCATGGCGACATCGCTTGTGGTGGCATACTTGCACAATGGCCTGATCCAAGAGGCGGAGCAGATATGTCGGGAAATGGCACGCCGCGGCATCACATGCAGGGAAATATGGAACAGTCTGATACAAGCCTATGCAACCGCCGGCAAGCTGGACAAGTGCTTCCAGCTACTACCAGCGATGCAGAATAACAACTTGGCTTGGGACCACGATACCTGTCAGGCTGTTCTCGTCGCCCAGGGACGCGCGAAACAAACTGCGTCTGCACACCGTCTACTACGCAGCGCTGTTGCCGATAATCTGCTGCCCATCACTGCCGATCATTTTGCCATTGTCATGAACAGTGCCATTGGCACCAAGCAGGCGCCGCTCGTTGATATTCTCACCACGGAGATGGAGCGCGCTGGGATCCAGCCCAACTTTGCCACGCATCTGGCGCGCTTCGAATCTGGATTCGTCCGCGCGCCGACCGCCAACCGCACCACACGACTCGCCAAGGACCTTGTGCAATACATGCGCAAGCTCGTTCACAATGCTGATGCACCACCCGGACAACGAAAAGCCAGCCCCTACACGGCTGCCGTGCGCGACGTCACCGAGCTGAACCGCGAGCTCCGCGATGTCGGCGATGCGCTCAGGCTCCTTATTGACAAGCGCGAGATGGCGCTCGCCGAAGACTTGGTGACGCTGTACGCCAACATGCGCCCCTTGTCGGAGCGCGGCCAGCACATGCCCCCCGACGTCCTTGGTGTCATCATGGGCGCATACCGCGCCGACGGCCGCCCCGAGCGCGTGCTGCAGCTCTGGGCCGTCATCCTCGGCGACATGCGCCGGCGCGCCGAGAATCCGGCCACGAAGCGCATCTTTCCCGCGTACGCCTACCACCTCAGCGGGCCCATGGCGCACGTCGCCCAAGTGTACCGCGACACGGCCGGCGACGGCAGGCGCCTGTTGGCCTATACGCAAGCCGCCCTCGACGCCGGCTTCCGATTCACCCGCGACACGTGGAACACGCTCATCTGCTGCCTTGCCGCCCTCGGTCAGTGGGAGCCAGCCATGCACTGGTGCGAGACGCTGCTGATGCCGCGCTGGCGCGGCTGGGCCGCCGCCGCCGCCCCTCACCGCCGGTTGCCGCTCGCCGCGCGCCACGAACTCACCGACGCGCGCGTGCTCGTGGCCTCGCAGCC